TCGCCGTATTCTTTTTAGCTTTTGTTGTTGGATCCGTAAAATATAGCAAATATCGTATCCATAACTCCGTATCGAAACGACATCCTTACAACGGCTTTGCGTTACATTTTAACCCTACATTTAACAAGTTGGCAGCGCAGAAACGCGCGTGGTGCGCGCTGACCCGCGAAAGATGCGTCGCGACGCGCCTGCTTTCCCACCAATGAATAACATTATTCGGAGGGACATGTTAGAAAATTGCTAGGCTATTAATAACATTATTTCGTTTTTAATGTTATTCACTTATTATAATTTTCTTTTAGACGGATGAAAAAACTCTGTTTAAATAATGTTGTATAGGAAGGGTAGTGTACATTCTTTATCACAATCTTCATTCAATCAAAATCTTTTGCAAACGTAATTTATCTTGGGTAATGAAATGTTTAGGCATTCTATTAATGTCTTTTTTTTACATCATAAAAGTCGTAACCTAAAAACAATATATGTACGTTCTGCTGATTTTTAAAATTATCTTTTTATACAAAAAACTAGCTTTTGCCCACGACTTCGTCCACGTGGTAAAGTTACTTTAAGCAGCATTTCTAACGAATATTTATTCATTATATCGTGTAAAATACTTGAAATAAAGTTTCATCCCCTATTTTATCGCCTTAGGGGTGGAATTTATCAAAATCCTTTCTTAGGGGATGCCTACGTTATAGTAGCTTTATGCATGCAAAGTCTCAGCCCGATCGGTTTAAAATTGACAAATTTTCATACAAACTTTCATCCCCTATTTAATCCCCTTGGGGGTGGAATTGATTAAAATCTTAGCGGATGCCTACGTCATAACATCTACGTGCATGCCAAACTTCAGCCCGATCCGACCAGTGTTTTGGGCTGTGCGTTAATAGATCACTATGTCAGTCAGTCACCTTTGAGTTATATATATTTAGAAGCTTTATATATTATGAACCATACATAGGTGGTCCCATATAAATTCTATTGAAATCAGATTAGAAGTTATGTTTTTATAATAAAATCTCTGTTTTCTCGCGACTTTGCACGCGTAAATTATAGCCTATTTCAGCCCCGTATGGTGTAGCTACCTGTAGGTGAAAGAATTTTTTAAATCGGTCTTGTAGTTCCAGAACCTATTCGATAAAAACAAACTAACAAATCATTCCTCTTTATAATATTAGTATAGATAACAGGCTAAATAACAAAAATTCTTTGTAGTTATATCACCGAAAAAACAATAGATCGGCGTTTTTCTTTCTTATGATTTCTGTTAAATTAATATAAAATGTTATGTATCACAAAAATATTTTATTTTTGAAAAATAAAACCGTTTATAAATATAATACTCTGCTTTAAAGCAGTACATTAGTCTCCGCTCGATTTCAATAGAATTTTCATAAAATTAGTTATTCCAAAATCTATTTGATTTTATTAAATTTTTAACGATATCACTATGATTAAATATTTTTTTATGGAATACATTATTAATACTTTATATAAATACTTTATTGTGTTATTTTTTGTCAGAAGGTATGATATGCTTAAAACACTATAACCATCTAGACAAAATATATTAATGTAGTATGTTAGGATTCTTGCAGTGATTATAAAACAATATATCATAATACAATCGTCCAAATAACCAACCCACTCCGTTCATATTGAACTATTAAAATTCCTTTAGGCCTTTGTTCCCCCCTAACCGTCTGCCGAAACCATTCCTCACCCAATTTATGCAAAATTCAGTGCAATAACTGGCACCCGTTATGGCTATGGGTTTTTTAATGAGTGCATACGAATTTGCAAATAACCTCTGGTGAAATCCAATAAACTTTATTGCGGCGGTTTAAGACCTACTTTACAATCTGTTTGGGCGTGAGTTTTTATTACATTCGTACGAGTGCTAGACATAGGAAGGTTTAATTTAATAAATGTAGTCTTTATAGACTAGCGTGGTGACAATGTTCTCCATCTTCAAACGAACTAAATTATATTCATATGTTAATAAAATACCAATTTTTAGTGCTAATGATCATGGATTTGAAATTGATTTTTTTATTTTATTAAGTATGAGGAAGTCTATAAAAAGAGCTGTGATGTTACTGTCTAATTATAAAATCTATCAAAATCGCTTTCAAATTTATAGCGATTGATGGAATTATGTAACTTTTGAAGTAGCCATCGCTTTTTAAATGAATGATTATTAGAATAATCAAGACACCTAATAAAAACTTACGGCCGGTATCTGAATTGAGAAAAGTACAAAATCTCAAGTGATTATAGTCAATAAGATTTTTACTTTCACAAGGAAACACCTTCTAACTGATCATTAAATAAACTAAAATCAAAACGAAAACCTGTTTAAGTACAGTTTTAAGACGTGCTTAATTTTAAATAATTAAATTAATTCAGATATTGGGTGTTAGTTAAACCCGTCGAATGATTCAAGTTAGTGTTTAATTCTTTCCTTTGACATTTCCCAATAGCTTTCAAATATATTTACGTCTAACGTTTGCCTTAGACAATACAAATTAACGATATGGTTCATTATTACATATCTTTGAAAAATAATTGTAGAGTGATATTCGTGAATATCTTTTTGAAAAGGATTGAAAACCAAATTGAAAAGGATTGCCTTAGATATTCAAATTAGAAAATTAGAAAATTAGATTCTTGGCTAAATATATCATTGTATTTTCTCTCTGCAGTTTATACCCGTTAGGTACTAGTATTGTTTCTCTATTTAGAAATATTTTAAATGTTATCTTAAAGCGGCTCATCGGATCTATATAGCAATTTGTGTTGAAATTTCCGTCGAGCTAAAATAGATTTCTAGTAAACGTTTCGAGAAGTGATCACTAACCGAAGTGGGTTTATCGCATCGTTTTCTATTATAAAAGCTTTGTTGTTTATAGCTGGGATTTTCAAGTAGTTTGAACATATCCAAGACGGGAAACATCAAAATTATTTGGTGCTGAAGTTAACTCATAACTAAAAGGGAATTGATGTTTATTGAAGTACGGTCTGATTAAGCCTTATGGACTAACACCAGAAAATTTAAATCTCGAATTCATTAATAAAATTAAAAAGCCCGTTGAGTTCTTGTTATACATGCGTACGACAGATCCGTCAAAGACAGTTCACATGTTTCTAAGAATAGCTCTCCCAGAATACAAACACAGGTGATGGTGTAACGCCATGTGGTCGACGACGTACGAGTGTAGTAGGTCTGGCCCTATTTTTTATAGGCCAAAATGAGTTTATTGAGTTGCCCATTTATTTTAAGAGCGATTGTAGTCGGAGCCTGTTACTCGAATATTTAATTATATAATTCAATTTTTTAATTGTAAATATTGTTCTGTTGTATATTGTATCAATGTATTGATGTGATATTTGTTATTAATAATATACAAGAACTTTAGAAGAAAGGAATTCATATTATTAACAAACAAACGGTTGCTTTAGTATTGATGAATTCGTTCATTTGGACATTTTCCCCAGAATTGACATACTTTGCATGTAAAAAAAATTGCAATTTTGAGATTTTATAGTGTTAGTACCCCCATAGTTATACTATATTTTGGGAAATGGTTTAGAGATAAATGTAATCGACTTGACCCTCCCTGGATTAGAAAAATGAGAACAAGTGACAAAGAAATTCAAAACATTGTAAAATCTTTCTTACTCATAGTAGTTGTATATGTACTGTATGTATATTACAAACGCGAGATTTTCTCGCATGAAATAATAAGTGTCAAGTTTTAAATGAAGCCAGTCGCTCACAGTATTCACCGCCACAGAAATAAAATCTGACTCAATGATTCGCGTCGGCGCGTTCGACTGAGGCTCGGCATCTATAATAGGGTTACCTGATAAATATATGTATCTTTATCACATACGAAATTACTCAGTTGAAAATATAGTTTTAAAATAATCATATTGTACTATATATACAACTGTCGCTTACGAGTAAAATACGAAATACATTGTTTCTATCTCTTCTTTTATGGAAATTTTAATTAAATAGAGTGTAGCCTAGATTTATTTTCTCCCAAATTCATTTAAAACATCACATATACCAAATAATTTATATCAAAATATATGGCAGCTGACTCACAAGCAATAGCCACGCAATGGAAATCTTAAGACGGAGGCATTGGTGACATAGGTTTCTCTACCGCACAACGTGAAAAGACTGAGAAGCTTTATCTAGTTTTTGGTGTCCCTTAATCACAATTTGTTATTCATACGTATAGAAATTACTTTACTAGAAAAATTAAAATGGCGTCAGTTCCAGAGACATCTGTCAAAATATCTGTATGGGAAAAGAGCAGGCTTAGGCATTTCAATAAAACGAAAAAAAAGGACCTTAGTTGTTGGTATATACAAATCAAAACTGAATTCATAACTTAGTTGTTTTCGCTAAATAAATTCTATTGGTTAATAAATATTTTATCGTTAGATTGACAACCCTGACCCCCCATATAATGCGGTCCACGCCCGTCTGTGTTTTGTTTGAGAACTAGTGTTTACGTTAGAGAACTAAACGGCATCGTCGCGTGAATGAGCTTTTGGCGATGACCTACGCTATCGCGGAAATCAAACGTATGTAGGTGGGGCTCTTGACAGATTTGAAAGTAGAATGACGAAACTAATAAGACCAAGATACATCTGTTCTTTATCACCAGCATCGTGTTTGTTTTACTAATATTATTAATTATTAATGTTGGCCCACAGCTGCCGACTTTGTTTGTATGAATTTTTGTAATCATAAATTGAGTTGTGATAGTAATATTGTAAGCTTCCCCATTGGTGAAATTTACTCATGTTGTACTTTGGACTTGCTGTCGTCTTTTAGTAATTCAAACCTACACTTAGCTTTTATAGTTGCTATGCACGGTTAAAAGTTTCTTAAGCATGTAATGTGAATAATGGGCGTAGTACCGTTTTCAATAGCAGTGTTGTGATATTTTGGTCTAATAGTAGCGTTTTGTCTCCAGGTGCCAAGCGACCCGCTCTCACCGCAAACACAAGCGGGCGCGTGACGTTCCCTCCGCGAGCGGGTTGAGCAAGCCCTACACGATAATTGGCGCCGGCTGACCGCCGCCGCTCCAGTAAGTTGATTAGTATATTATGTAGAAACTCACTTAGCTATTATCGAAAAAAAAAAATAAGGCGGGGATGCCACACACAGAAAAGCCAAATACGATTAAAATTGAGTTACGAAGCTAGGCCCCCACCGTTACTCTAAATAACAAGATTAGAGAACGATTTTTCCTCTTGGTCTTAAATTTATGAATAGAACAACTAAAGCAAGTACAAAGACCATATCTATGCATATCGGTTATTCTCATTTAGATATCAATATACAACCTGCCTGATCACAGTTTTAGATTGGTTAAATAGTTGTTCTGTAGAAACTTATACATTTAATTAAATTTTGTGTCACCATCAATACCAGTACGCAACTATTTTTACCATTTTTCAGGTTATTACGAAGTCATACCACGATCAATATTTATAAACTCGAACATCAGTTTTAGCTTGAAGATCCTAAAGACATCTTCCGTTATATTTAACAGAGCTCCCCACAACCCCGGAACAGACGACGCTCATTCAGTCAGGAGAAACGTAAACAGCGGGAGAGACGTCCAAGTGCGGTCTCTTTAGACGTTGAAGCGGGCCCATACCGCACTGCTACTATACATAGGTGCGTTTAGTAACATACTCTATTTTGCTAAATTACATCAAAGAAGAGAATCTATCTGTATTAAGGGCGAACGAGGTAGGGTACCACAGGGCTCGCTACTGGGACCTCTACTATTCATATAACAAATACTGAGTTCTACGTCTAGATAATATTTAGATTAACTTAAAAACATGCAGGATACTGTATGTCAAAATAAATTAAAAAACTATAGATTGAAGCTTTGTATGGCCGTATGAGCCGTAATTGATTTATCAAAAACTTGTTTGTAATTAATTCATTATTTTTATATTTCATATTATATTTAGAGCCCGCTCATTAAGCAAGATGGCGACTCTATCGTTGAAGATATCGTTAGAAGGTGGTAAAGTGGTGAAGACTATCCAATTTGATCCCTCCACCACCGTTTACGACGCCTGCCGCATCATCAGGGAAAAAATCTTGGAGGCGACCACTAGTGATCGTAAGTGCCGAAATATCTTTGTAACGAAATATCGAAAACGTTTGAATAATGAACTCGCTGGAATAATGTAGACACAGCACAGACACTATTTAATTAAGAGATGGGAAATAATAAATTAAAGGTGAAATCAGTATTCAGGAATTTTATTTATGCGAGACACATGACATATAAACCCGTACCAAATGCTACATTATAATACTCGCACTCTTATCCCAAGTTTAATCTGTCAATTAAGTTATGTAAAGTTAATTAATTTAGAGTCATATTTTCTTGCTGAATATTTAAGACTACCACTTGGTATGGAGAATGATATATAATTAGACTAGATTGTTTTTCAAAATTTCGTATTAATTATTATTATAGTGCTCGGTAATATTATCACGCTAATCTAGTTAAACCAAGTCTTTTTAAAACAATCCAAGTTATACATTGCATAGGGTTATCGTTTTCAACTGTAATACGGGCCGACACTCCAATACGTAATCACGACAATCAGAGAATGTTCGTTGCGTTCGTCGCAGCATTATTTGATCAGGAATATGGTTGGAAATCCAGCAAGTTAAACAACGAAACTTTTATGTTATCTATCATACTAATTTTGTGCCTTATGAAGTAAATAAATAAAACCATTTTTTTTTTTGTAATACAGCCAAGGAGTTCGGTTTGTTCCTCGCCTCGGAGGAGGACAACAAGAAAGGCATCTGGCTAGAGCCTTCACGCAGTCTCGACTACTATATGCTGAGGAATGGAGACGTGCTCGAGTATAATAAGAAAACACGGAATCTACGTGTCAGAATGTTAGATGGTCAGTTTTTCTAATACATAACAGTAATTTCGAAGATACGACAATAATCCCGCATTTATTTAGCTATCAATATTGAACATGATAAGGAATGGTAATGATTACAATTCATTGAAAAGAGAGTGCACCTCTTCATTGTACTCCTAGCTGAAAGATTATATAAGGATTCTGATGATTCGGCAAACGCTGATCTGCGAAGGGGCATATTTTTTTCGAAAATAAAAACTTTTTTTTTTCTTCTCCTCCTTCGGCGCGATCGATAAGGGTTTAAATGCATTACTTTGTTCACTGAATTGTGTATGTATTACAGGTACTGTAAAAACGTTGCTGGTGGATGATAGTCAGATAGTGGCCAACTTGATGGTGGTGATCTGCACCAAAATCGGTATCACCAATTATGACGAGTATGGACTTGTGAGTAAAACTTGAGTTTAAATAATAATAATAAAATATTCGATAACTTTAAATAACTGTTTATCATAAGACCCGCCTGTTTCTGATGGAAGAAAATGTTTTAAATCATAGAACGAACTAAAGAAAAAAATGTTTGTTTAAGTTTACAGATTTGATTGTAATATTAAATTGAATATACTTAAATAATAGGTGCGGGAAGAACAACAAGAACAGCCGGATCCTTGCGACAAACCTAACTATGGAACCCTTACACTCAAGAGAAAACACCACGAGAAAGAGCGAGACGCAAAAATGGAACAGCTCAGAAAGAAATTGCGCACCGATGACGAAGGTAACTGATACAACTGAGCGCCTATTGCTCGACTAGGGAGACTGTCGAATATTCTAAATTACTTAACCATTTTGATACAAGTATTTATAGCTTTATTATTTTTTAAACTACTATTGAACTATACTATATCGAACTGATAGCAGTTCGATGTTTCCCCAAAAATGTTATTGAATAAAACATTTTTATTCATTGATCTAAATTCTTCCGCAAAAATGACACGCGACATTCCGAGATGTGACGTCACATTTCAATAAACATTTTATACTCGCAACAAAGACTTGTTGACGTTTAGTTTATTGAAATGTGACTTCAAACTGTCATGGCCGCTCGAGTTTTGGTACTTGTAGTCCATATAAGTCGCAAGTTAATTTTGTAAAATAAAATTACAATTTTCAATTAAATTTGACTTTATTTCATATATCCTATGTAGTAAATTGGGTGGAAGCGGCCAAAACTCTACGCGAGCAAGGTATAGACGTAACCGAAACTCTGTTGTTGCGTCGCAAGTTGTTCTTCTCGGATCGTAACGTGGACTCGCGCGATCCAGTACAACTGAACCTGCTATACGTGCAGGCACGTGACGCTATATTGGACGGAACGCATCCCGTCACACAGGACAAAGGTAATTATAATCGAAATTTAAGTGATATTTTATTAAAGTTCATTTCTGTAACTGTGAAACTACCACCAACACCCAACCATCGAGTGATGGCACTGTAAGGTTTAACAACCGCTGAGGATGCACCGTGAAGTTATGAATCACGATGAAACACGTATAGAGTAGTGGTTGCGAGATTTGTTGTTTGTTTGTGCGGGAACATTTATTTGCTAGCGCTGCAGAGCAGAGGAGAGGTGTGGGTGTTGCTAGATATAATAGTTTAACAATTTTTAGAAACTATTGCTTTGAAGAAAAAGTTTATATGAAATGCTTTAACTTTGACAATTGAATTGAAATGGACTAGCTTTGGGCTTCATGGATTATGCTTTGCTGATGTGTAAACCTAAACATGGACCTGTGGTCGGACATACGCTTAAAGTATACTTCTTTCATTATCAAGGGTTTATAGTTTTCTCTTGTCTACTCTACAGCATGCGAGTTTGCCGGTATACAATGTCAGATACAATTTGGAGATCACAAAGAAGATAAACATACTCCAGGATTTTTAGAGTGAGTACCCAACTCACGTATTATTGAAATTTTTATGAATGTTACTGTTTTTAAGTTTCATCACCAGTTTTTTAATGTCCCTTTAGCTTCATAGCTGGGTTCATCAGTTTAACGAGATTTTCAAAGCTTAGAAGAAGCTCGAGATAATATATTTTTGGTCTCCCATCATATAAACAGCCCTTGCAGAAGTTACAGACAACACTTATTTACCACTGAGTTGTCAAGCAAAGTGTGGTAATAATGACGGTAATATTGCAAAAAAACTCGTGTCGAGTCTGGGCGGGTATAGTTGTACCTACGATATTTCAGATTTCGTAATACGAGTGCTTTGGCATCTTATCTTTGAATTTGAGTAATGTATGCGCTGTCTAGTATTTAAAAAAATATACTTAGTTTGAAGGAAACTAAGAAATTGAACTCTAATATTTAAAAAAAATCTCTTAGTTTGAAAGAGTTCCTGCCCGCTTCGTACGTGAAGGTGAAGGGTATAGAGAAGAAAGTGTTCAAGGAACATCGCAAACACGCCGGCCTCAGCGAACTGGATGCTAAAGTACTATACACGAAGACAGCGAGAGATCTGAAGACATATGGTGTCGCATTCTTCCTTGTCAAGGTATGTTCCAATAATTACAATCTGTATATAAATAAACGAATCCTTAAATAGTTATAGGACGATAAATTGGAGAGTGTCTACAGCAAATAAAGTGACTTTTAATCTATATTTTAAGTTCTTCCTAGGCAAGATTTACAATTTACTCTATGGCCTGGTTCGGTATTTGACGTATTACGTCATAAGGGTAGTAATACTGTTGGAAAGAGAGGGATATTATAATTAAGAGATTCGAGTAGAGTCTGTTTGAAGAAAAAACTGATTATGATCAAGAGACTCAGAAAATGAGCATTATGAATTTAAGATATAGTCCTTTTCTAATTTACTGTCTCAGTAAAGTATATTTGCTATGCAAATACTATTTTTTTAAATTGATGGCATGTGTTGCTGCAACAAAATAAAAAAAATCTAAGTTTCAATATCATTCAGGATTGTCTTCCATCCTTGTTGATAAAGACCCTGTTTCTCAAAAGTTACATAGTCTTGTAATTATATTGGTGACCATAGTTCAAATATTTAAGAAAATAAATTTTATGATAAGGCCCTGGTGTCCACTCAATATTCATTGAATTATTTACGTGAATTAATTATCAAATTGGTTTCACTTTCTCGGATTAAAATTTTGTATTTAATGTTCACTAAACAGGAAAAGATGAAAGGCAAAAACAAACTGGTGCCACGTCTATTGGGCGTCACAAAGGACTCTGTTCTGCGTCTGGACGAACGCACTAAAGAGATTCTACAGACGTGGCCGCTGACTACAGTGCGACGTTGGTGCGCCAGCCCTAACACGTTCACACTAGACTTCGGTGATTATAGGTAACTATTGTACACTTACTATTTTTGTTTCACTTAGGGGCTTGCTTTATGCACTATTCCCTAATCTAATTAATAAATTAAATAAATTTTAGTTTTTGTGCAATTTCGTGACTTATTTTCACTACCGAAACTACTTAAGTTATTAATTTTAACTCACTCCTTCAGATACATGTGTTAGTTGCATTTTTTATCTTTATCGTCCATTCAGAATTTGAATAAAACGTAAACACCAGTACATTAAAACCAACCAATCTTTCTAATCAAACGAAACAAATAATAAAAAAGCCAAGTGCAAGCCGCACGAAGGGCTCCGTACCGGAAATGAGCGCGTTTCTTGTGTGGATACATATTTATATAATTCTTTGAATACATATTTATTTTATTCGATTTTTAAATTTAGTTGTTATAGAGCCAACAAAAATACGTAAGCTGTGAAAATTTCAACTGTCTTGCTATCCAGATTCATGATAAACAGCCTGGAAACAAACAGACGGACGGACAGTGAAGTCTTAGTACTAGGGTCCCGTTTGACCTTTGACTATGGAATCCCAAAAACAAGTATAATAAAAAATTTAATCGTTTTATACTATTGCCCTAACAGCGATCAGTATTATTCGGTGCAAACCACAGAAGCGGAACAGATACTTCAAGTGATTGCTGGTTACATCGACATTATAGTGCGAAAGAGACGCGCCCGCGATCATCTCGGCATAGACGGAGACGAAGGTTCCGCCATGTTGGAAGACTCCGTGTCGCCATCAAGGTATTAGCTAAGAATCCATATTAGTCTGTACTAGTTTTATAAATGTGAAAATAACTGTCTCCATTTTCATCATCAGTTACTTGATTGTAACGTTATTTTGATAGGGAATTATATAGGTTACTTTCATTCGGCTGTTTGGGTGGATTGCCTGAACACTGATGAAAATACGCTCACTAGTAGCGAAAAGTAGCAAGTGTTTGAAAAATTCGTCAGCCCTGTTAGGTCCTATGTAGCTCAGTGGTTAGAGCGGTCGCCCGGATTGCGAAAGGTCGTGGGTTCCTGAGGCAATTATTTTTTTAAAAGTATTCTTCATTAAGAATATACATAATTGCTAAAACAATTTTTATGAAATTCAAAGATGAATTAAAAAGGTCTATATTTAAATATTCCTTGTAGCATGTGTTGGTGGAACGATAAAGGATAACATAATTTAGTGTAAGAATTTTCTAATAACACCAGGGCCAGTTGTTACTTAATGCTTCCCAGGATTTTCTCAGATAATTGATTTTTCTATCAACGCAAAAATATTCAAAATATGGAATGGGTTTCTTACTTACCTATTCATTATGTATCCAACGAGATCCATAATTATCTATAGTTTTATATTTTCTATAGTTTCGTATGCAAATTCTCGAATAAGTCAGGGAAAAAATATCTGAATTAACGCAAATTTGTTGCAAAACTTTAATTATTTACAGAATATAATTCGTACTCTACTAATGTCTATTGATTTTCTTTACTGTATAGAGCCAACATAATTCAGCACGATACTTTCAAATCTGGCAAAGTGAACACCGAATCTGTTGCAAAACCGGCCGTGCACCGACCCGGCGCCGAAGGTAAATATAACACCTACAATATACATAATGTGTTCATGAAAAACGATTTAAAACTTGAATTACTTACTTATCAGGGTTAAAAAGTAAATGAAGAAATATTAGACTTGAATATAATCTGATAATCAATCAATATTTACGCGTAAATTATTAAGTAAATTCAAAGGAAATCAACCCATTTTTCCTTAGCATTAAATCTTTGTCACTTGGCACATGAAATGGTGACAAGTTATTCACTGGAGAGCGAGCCGTTATGTCAGCATTTTGTTTTCTTTTGGCTGCCATGTTGATGTATATATTTGTTTGTTTAAGCCTTCAATCAAATATTAGACTTAATGCTATGGCGCATTCCCCGCTCAGCTGGAGAGTATGCCGTAATATCGATGAATTATAGCGAGATTTTCAAATTATAGTACTATTACTATTAAATTATAGTACTGAAATCTATTTATTTTTGGTGACATGTTGTGTTTATATAATTTAATCTGTTCGAATGAATGAAATGTATATAAAATTTATTTTTAATTTGCCAAATGTAAATTGTTCAACTCACTTTTTTTTATTTTAAGTGCACACTTTTATTTTTAAGTATATCACTGATAAGTAATAAAAGCATTAGGGAACGGATTCGCAACGGAAGTTATGGGGACTTAGTTATTTTACTCGAATTGATTAGCATTCATTTATTTTGCTACTTCCCGTACATATAAAATAAGAAACTGATTTGTAAGTATAATTTTAGTATCGAGGCCCACGAAGAGGCGTCATCAACCAACAGCAAACGAACTTTTATATAAGTGCGTCGGTGTTATTTATATTCATGATTCTACTTTATTTATTTATATTGTAATCTTCAGTACTTTATAGGACATTCTAAAAATATAGATGTACGTTATCCTTTTGCGACGATCCATGTTTGATTTTTCACGACTTATAAAATCATCAGCATAAGTAGATCACGATTCTAATATGACTTTTATTAGGCTTTAATAGAATCAGGCATTATCTTGCCAAAGTCCATTTCTATAATTGTGATAGTATGATATTTAGCAACTTCCACACCCAGTCCAAGCAACACAAAGTACATAAATTCACATGTTCATACTGTTTATCGGGGTCACATATGTAAAAGTTGCGAATCCGTTATAATAAGAGTAATACACACTTAGTCCCGGCTCGCTTCGCTTTACGTAACCTTACGTTTGCCAATAGGCGCGAAGCCGTTCGCCGTCGGCCACATGACCGGCGCCCAACAGACCACCGTATCGGGCCAAGTCATCACCGGTCACACTCCGCCCGCAGTACGTAAAGCTTGCCGTTTTGTTTTTGCTTTTTCATTGCTACCCTGTTATATGTCGTATATACTACCTATTAACGTAAACATAATAAACCCCCACGGTGTTGTCTTATGCGTATACTTTATATTCGTTTTTGCTTTGTTTATCGCTACCCTGCTGTATATCATAGAGTTTTTACTTATTAACGTATACGTCATTATCCCACGTTCACACGGCATTTTTCCACGCGTTTCTTGGACTTTTCTTTGCGCATACACTGTATTCAGTAATATGGATATTACGATATTGCTGAATACAGTGTACGACTTTAAAATTGTTTGTTTAATTTATAAAGTTATTTTTGCGCTTCTAGAGCAATATAGTCGGATAACCTAATTAATATTGTTTATAAATAAAATCTGTTTTGAAATATGTCATAATATATAGCACTTCAACCATATATTTCAATTTTTAAATATGGTACAGAATTATAGATTTGTTTTTTCTTTGTTTAATACGTAATAAAATTACTTGATAAAATAATAACAAATATTACGCGAATGAACTGTTTAAAAGGCTTATCTTACTGAGACTGAGTTATTGAGAACGGCTGTTAATTACGCTTCATACGTGTAACACCTGTGTTTATTGAAAATAACACCATTATGAATGGCTAACTTAGTTTATAGCATATCGAATTTGGCGTCTTCACCTTTATGAACGTATTTTCAATACCGTGTGCTTAGTTAAATCGTTATTTTTACTTGTTGTTTATAATTTCACGCACCTTATTTACATTCTTGTTTTTTCATTGCCATTGCTTTAACCAGTTAGTTTGATATTCGAATAATTCTATCGATGCGATTTTGTTCTGTTATTAATTTATTTTCTTCCCTTGTTCCAATGTTATGTTATTCGATGCCGGTGCAATATATATTCTTCTTACTTCGTCTTATAACTTTCTATCATCTTACACTCAGTCTTTCAATTGTTCTTCTTCTTACTTACCTCCATACTCATGCTCATCACCTTTATTTAAATGATAATTCGTTTTTAATTGCTTCTCGTACATTGGCAATGGAAATGCGGATGCCAAATTGTATCAGTGAAGCAACTACAAATATAATCCTTATGACTTAGGTAAATAAATCAAAATATCTTTGTTTCATGCTTGCCCCTTGGAAACTTTACAGTCGTGGAGATGGGCTGTGTAGGTACATAATTGATGATACAGTATAAATAAGTTGGTTCATTGAGGTTTTGAAATTATAAATTACATTTTAGGTTAATAAGTAAATCTTGCAATAACGTTCAGCAATGTTATAAATTCTTCCCGAATTGCAGAAAATTAACATAATACTTTTAAGTTCACCTATCAAATAATAACAAACCCTTGTGAAAGTCGCTTAATTTATTGTAGCTTAGCGACCCTTAACGTACCTATAAAACAAGTTATTTATTATAACAGGCCGCACAAGTGCAACAAACTAAAGTGACTTCACTTCTATCGGAGCCACAGAGAGCGCTACTGTCAGCTATCACTACTGGTCGTGAAGTCATCAGACAAACAGAAGAAGGTCTCGAAAGGGTGAGTATTCCGATGAGAAGTCAGTACATATTCGTATACGTATATACGTAGTCGGATTATAACGAAGTTATTTTTTAAGTTCAAGTTATAATGGTCATTAGCGGTTAACTTTAATGCTCCGCTAGGGCAGTATCTACATAATATTTGTATATAAATTTTGCGCATAGTTTTTGATGAACCTTAAACGTATGATATATTTTGGTCCGGTCTTTAACTAATCCAGTTGCCAAAATTTTGCATCTAACCCATTTGCCAACGGATCTTATAGAATTATACGATAATTATATATTGTATTTGTTTTTTTATTTGCCTTCAGACGGTGATGCCGGAGCTGGGTGCTGACTCTGCATCGGTCAAGTGGAAACAGGTCACGTTAGACACCAACAAGCAAGCTGTCACCAGTCATATAGCGGCCATGAATGCGGCCACTGCACAAGTGGTCACACTCACGTCTGGTGAGTCGATATAAATCACCAGTAAACTCGCAGCTAACATCAATGGAAATTATAAACATCGCAATGTACATTATCCAGGGGTCGTCTTTTGCGGTGACATTGCACCAATCACCCGTACACACGCTAAAATGAAAACGTGCGTACAGGGAAATAAATATATCGTTTGGTATGTGACTAGCTATGGGACCGATAATGCAGTCGTTATCGACATATTGTTATTATCAAAAGTTATTATTTGACACCTTCAAACTATCAATAGTGCCAATACTGTGGCTTGGCTACCATGCTTTATGTGAATCGTATAGTATGTAGATATTAAAAAACCTATATTTAAATATCACCAATGCTCCGTAGACTATGCACTGTGAAGCTTAATTTCAACCTTGTTTTACACATAAGAAATCAATTTTAAAATAAATTTAATTAGGCTGAAACGAAAGTTTATAACAAAAAAGTAATATTTTATTAAATTAACATTGCTTTTAACATGTCTACTACCGATTGGTTATTTCATTTTTTTTTTCAATAGGAGAAATAAACAATGAATCGTGATTTAAAATTAACCAAAATACCTTATCACCATAGGTACAACTGAGGAAGTTGATCACACAGCAGTCGGTGCCGCTATCACAACGATCACTACAAACTTGCCAGAGATGACTAAAGGTGTGAAGATGATTGCCGCTTTGATGGACGACGGCGATACGCTGTTGGACGCTACCAGGAAACTGTGTAGTGCTTTCTCTGATTTACTTAGAGCTGCTGAACCTGAAGCAAGAGAGGTGTGTACGGTAATAATTTTAACAAGAATAAAATATATATATATACCGAATTCGTTATTACCAAATCAGATATTGCCACTGAGTAACTTAAATTTTTTTTTCATCCCAAATTAGTCGCAGGAACATCTACTTCTGAGCATAATACGATAGCACGGGATATATGTATAAAATAGATAGTCATACTGTTCTACCGTTTATAACAAAGTAGTAAAAGTTGTGGGAATAAAATATTATAAAAATATTACTGGTGATTATTTTTCTCCACAGTTTACAATTCAGCTCCATTTGATTTTTTTTTACATAAAAAGGATCTAATAACTGCAAGCGATAAAAAGTTGACATGATCTAAATTAAGCCGTTAAATAATATCTAAAAAGTTGTTAATAATTAAAAAGTTGTCAACAACTAAATATATTGAAAAGATCGCCTAAACCACTAGGTAGGTAACAAAACTTATCCTTTTATCCTTCTTTTCAGCCACGTCAAAACCTCCTGAACGCAGCGTCCCGCGTCGGAGAAGCATCCACCACCGTACTTCACACCATCGGCGAGGAAACCGAGGAAGACAAAGAAACCCAGGTAATGCGCCCAGGGAAAAAGTCTCTACTCTACAGGCGACTCAACTATTGCTACGATAACTTTTACCGGGCATTCTTCCATCGACACGACGCCGACTACGACGGCTACGACACCAATGACGCCTACGATGACCACGTCTACGAAGATGTAGACACTACGCGCAATTGGAGCGCTTTGGACGCAATACAAGAGGAATCTGATAGCGATTACTATAGAAGTTTAGATTATTGCAATATGGTTTTTAAAAATAAGGCTAAAGATCGAAAAGTAGAATCCGAAAATGATAATAAATTAAATAATAGCGTCGATAAAAGCAACAGTGATATAGAATCTGTTTTGTTGAATTGCGAAAGCTATTTGAAAGGTGATAAGAATGACTGTGATAGGAATATAAATAATGTAGAAGATAAACCCAAATTGCATCCTAAATCTATGAGCGATAAGATCTATAGTTTCAAAAGGGACTTCTCCAATCATGATTACGATAATATTGATTTCATTAACAAACATGATTACGAGAACGTTGACATGGATAGGAAAACTAAGAATGATTTAATGCGTGAGCGTTTCTTTTCAACGTTGAACAGTAATAATAAGAATGATATAAACGAACGATTCAATCGCTTGAACGATTCCAAAAAGATCGAATGCCACAGTATTCGGAATGATGTCACTAAAACCGGTCCTGATGTTAAGGTGGCGGGCGCTTTAAACATGAAACTTTTTAATCTCGATAGGTACAACCGTGTTTTGACAACTACAGAAACTTTCATGGAGAAAGCCGAAACTAGTTTCACTAAAAACCAGCTAAGCAAAAACAATGGTGACTTAGAATCTTTTATAAAACGTAGTGAGAAATATTATACTGAAGAATCTAGGGATAGGAAGACGACGGTCACACAGTTGAATAACGAAAAAGAAACAACCGCCGGACAGACGGAAATACGTATATTTTATAACCCCACATTTAGAGCTACAGGAGATAAGTATCTGAGAGGTTTCTGTCAATTTTGCAGACGTAGATGTCCTAGAACTGAAATGAAATGTTGCCCCAAGTGCATATGTCTCGAGTTGGAATTGAAAATGATTTGGAAAGAGAATTGGTTGAATATATTGTTGATTTTAGGATTGCTCTTCGTTTTGTTAGCGCTGTTCATCCAGTGTTTTATGCCGACAGATATGTGCGAAGGTCAAAATGGGAATAGTACAGATGAGAAATGTTTCGAGATGGTACGATAGGTGTGGAAATTGTTTAAAAAGGGGAAGATATAACACAGTCGTACTTGCATCAAACAAAATAGTCCTTATAGTCGAACACATAAATTAAAATCGTTTGCATGATTACGTTGTCAAACGACAACCTTGCAAACCAGATGGATCGTTGCGTTTCACCATTGTTCAGTTCAGTTGTCACTGTTTCATGATATTGTCAGGCATTTCAAAAATTCACCCATAAAAAGAGCTAATCATTAGAGATGCCGTGATTGTTTATTATCCTCGTGTTGTAAGCCGCCTTTTCAAAGACTTACTTGATTATTCTATACTAGCCTTCCGCCAGCGGCTTCGCCAGCATGATCTAGTTTTAAGTCCAGAAATTAGAAAATTACATAAAAACTTTCATCTCCTAATTTACCTCCTCAGGGGTCGAATTTTGTAATATCCCGTCTTAGTGAGCACCTAAAAAGAACCCACATGCAAAATTTGAAAATCCTATCACTTGTAGAAACGAAGTTTCATACAAACTTTCATCTCTTTATTTACCCCATTAGGGGTCGAATTACGTAAAATCCAGTCTTATTGAGCACCTACGTCATAAACAGAACTCGCATGCAAAATTTAAAACTCCTAGCACTTGTAGTAATGAAGTTTCATACAAACTTCCATCCCTAATTTACCCCCTTAGGAGTTGAATTTCATAAAATCCTGTCTTAATGAGAACCTACGCCTAAAATGAACTCGCATGCAAAATTTGAAAGATCTAGCTCTTGTAGTTACTGAGATTTCGTGATGAGTGAGTGACCTTTCGCTTTTATATACATTATCACGCGGTATATCTTGCGTGGTAGGCATAGAGGACTGAAGTTTTGTTTTAATTTAAAACATATCCTTTGCAAATTACGGTTTAGGAGAGCAGTCATGTAAATCGTGGGGCGTGGAAAATTCGTCTTGTCATATTTTTTTATCCGTCTTGTTATTGAACAATATTATGGCTTAAATGCGCACTCACAAGATGCTTGCGCCGTATATTTCTAATATGAATGAATTTCTAATATTTTTTATAATAATCGCGAACTTATCACATGGTACATAAGTTGAACTATAATCAGTGGCACAATGTCGGGTCTCAATAGAATTGCGGAGGTGGATCGTAGCATGTAACAATAGCAACGCAATTATAATCTATTACTGTATCTACACAGAAGACCACCAGTTGGGTTCAACCTACGTGTCGCCCAGTATATATTATGGTTACTCAAGTATGCTGGAATAGACGAAAATATTTGAATGAATTTTGTAATAGGTACGGATGACATAAAGCGTTATGATCTATTTACACTAGTCAATGACATCCGCCTGCTGCGTGCGGACGATTTTCGTTCCTCGCTTCCATTATTCTATTTTTTTTTTAACTTACCAATGAGCTCATACGCTCTCCTCATGTGGGAGTCCACATGAGAAGTGCGTCGTCCTCGTCATCGTCCATCAGAGTAAATGAGCCATTATGAAATGCCGGCATCAAAAGCAATGCTTTGGTAGCTAAAAGAAAAAGGCAACTATTTACCTACTTATATTGTGTAAAAAGTGAATAGTTTGCAAATTATTTTTATTCAATACAATTTTGAATCATTTTTTTTAGGATTTTTACTTAATGCTATCATATTTGACATAAACAAATTCAGTAGTTTTTTACAATAACGACAACAAGTTTCCAAGAATTTAAAAGGACACAACAGCTAAATTTAAACAATAATATATATGGGAAGGGACTATAGTAGTTTTTTTATTGTATACAGGGGTGGTGATCTGAAAACCAATTTTCGACATAATCGTCAACTTCTTTGTGTTCTGTCCTAGTTTGTGAAATTAAATACGCAAGTTAGTGACAGCAGGATGGTTTCTTGAACAGTGTATTATATATATCGAATGTTGATTTTAAATAACAAGGACTTTTTTACATCTAATTAAAATAAAATTTTATATGATGTCTAAAATTCTCGAAGATAACAAAAGTACTAAAATTACACATTTAGGGTTACCACAGTCATGCTTTCAATATATGTATTATTATTTATGGTTGATTGATTCAATATTTCTTTTTTTTTTGTTTATTTTTCTTCATTTAAAAAAAAACTATTGATTAAAAATTAATAAATACATTTAATTTTATTTCTCTAATCGCCTCTGTTAAAGATTTTCAGATTTTTTAAAATTATAATTATTTAAAAAAGTTATTAGTATTAGCACTATTTTGCCAGTCTGTAATGACATAACTATAAAAAAGACTGCAAAATGACAGTATATTTTTAGACTAGGGAAAACATTAAAGCAAGTGTTATTAAAAATCGACTATTTATAGCCTATTCATATTTTTAAAATCTATTTTTATTTTACAACCCGATATTTTCAATATGATCTATAAAATTAGACTGTTAAATAAAAAATCGACTATACCTAAAAAAGACACCTGTTTTGGTATTTATTTTTAATTGGTTGTTATTTTGTTTAAAACATTAACAATGCGCCTGTAAACTAATTAATCTAGTCGTTTAGTTTTGTATTTAAATAATGATTGAAAAATTAAGACATGTTGCGTTTTTAGCTATCACAAAAATTTATTTGAAATATTAAAATGTGACTTATCCATATGTATACACATTATACTTTGCAGTAATGACATATTATTATCGATTTTGCAGTGGTTACTTAGTAAGTTTGTATTGTTACGAAAATATATTATAACTTGGTGCTTGGTCTGGTTACGGTTTTAAGTTTTAACAAAATGTAAATAATTTTCTGACAACTAACAGTCGATATGGTTATTCATTTGTGGCGACATAATAGGAAATACAGCAGTACACGTTTACCTCAGAAATAACAACAATTATTACTATCCATTTTAAACTATAACATATACACAATAAGGTTCAAAATCCAATGGAATAAACGGTTTTTTTTTATAACCTGAGGTGCTGAGATGAACTGAGACTTTTTGAACAGGTGCTACCTGTCATCTCAGTTCATTTATTTGTGAACCTAACCTAGATGAGGTTAGTCGTATACAAAACTTATTTTCACATTATTCACAATATCCACTAAGTAAATTGTTAATATCTTAAACATAAAAATATGTTATTTTTTTCTATTTATTTATTTAAATTTTGTACAAATTTTATCAGCTTTTTTTTACATTATTTTTCTAGTTACTTTTTATTTTTGTATATTTTTAATTTATTAATAATTATATTAATATCTTGAATGTTTATGGACTAACCATTATATGTTAATTTTTTTTTTCGCTCTTCACTCTTTCTGTATATTCGAAAAGGAGCGATAAAAAAATGCGCTAACGAATGTGTTTAGTCCTTGGCATTAAATCTGTCCTTATGCTTCGATAAACAGTGTAAATACTCTGCTACTATAATGGCGATACTTTCCTAGTACATGACAATATATTAACTATGTCATTATTCTTACCATTTGGATGATTATAGAGATGTTAATTCATATCACATCATACAGTGAAGTATTTTTTTTTTCTTTCACTTTCTCGACTACGGTTATGACTTTTAAAATTGCATTATATTTTTCTGACTTTATCAATATTTTATTTTATCCATGGTTATTTATATAACACCAGCAACCTCTCGGAGAACTAAATAAACTCAATACTTTGAGCATAAAAACCTTTAACCATATAAGATTTGATTGTACTCGGTCCGGGTAAAACCTTTTTTATAAGATTTAATTGTACTTGGTCGTGACATTTACAGGTCCATATTTTATGATATTCGTAAACATAAGTACGAATGCTACGCTTACGCTCTGTGCGGGTTACCTATATACCTATTTAAGTTGAGGAGTTTGGGCTTGCTATGTTACAACTAAGTAGCAAATGTACAAACGTGTGACGTCATGCGATATTTCAACTCAATGTATCGCCGTAATTTATTGATCACACAAAAATTAAATAATAATTCATGTTTAATATTCTCTAGTAATCTTCCTTATCCCTATTATCCAAACTCGTAGAGTGAACGTTGTTGCCTATCTATTCTTGCAAGATTGCTGGTGTTTTACAAATAACTATTTTATGAAACAATTACTTTTCAACTCACCTTAACAGTAAATTTAACAGTAGCAATATCAGTTTATACTGTTTGTCAACTGAAACTTATTACTTTACAAAATTAAAGGGACGTCATTAAGGTTATCAGAACTGATTGAAACAGACTGAGTTATTTTAGAACGATCATCACTAAAGTATAAGTTAATATGGATAAGACACCGGAATCTGAGATTTTGTTTTCTACCACTTTAATAAGCAAAACTGTACTAAGCAATCAAAATCAATAATAAAAATAATAATTGTCTGTTGGTCGATTTATATTAACCATATATTATTATTTCCGGAATTCTGAGCGTATCCATATTATGCAACATTATTGAGAAACAAATATAACTTAGCCTGTATTAATCACTTATGTTTGTATTATTGACTTATTTTATTATATACATATAGATAGTTTTAAAAAATGAGTTTGAGATCAATGATTTGTCATTGTTTTTTTTTTCACACATATATTTTAATACTCTTCATTTGCCATTGTACTTATCCTATACTAAGTTACGGAATTGAGCTAGGTTTGAATTTTTTTTTTTTTTGTTTATATTATTTTGGTATACAGAGTGATTAACAAGCTTTTATATAATTTTTAAAGAATAAAAATTCAAAACCATTAAGTTAAAAAGAGGCGTCTATAGTAGCAAGTTTGAATCCGTCTTAATACAGTGACATTGAGATATCATTCGAATATAGATTTTCTTTTATCAATATTAGTAATCGTTTACGTATTACTTCAAAACTAGCTCAAATATTTTTATTATAAGCCCATTATATTGCCATAACGGTGTTATTTTTGTTAATACATTTGCTTTTTTTACAAATGGGATGTTTTTATTTACGACTAACTGTCCACAAAAGTGAATGTAGTGACAAAAATAGCAATACAATTACTAATATACCCTGTATATATATGTATATAGAATTAACATTGAAATGTTTTAATTATTTAAAGGTATTGATTAATTTCTTAGTGAAGTCACTGCAGGTGACTTACAATTCCTAGGGGAAAATTAAGAAGAATATGTTTTAAACAGAATAACTTGAACTATCGGCATGACAATGGTACTACAATATTTCAGTATTGAGATTGCAGTCCTGCCAGTTTGTCATTTTTTTTAATTATGGACCAGTTAAATTTGTCTCTTAAAACAAACTGTAAAAAAATGGCTTGTTTCGCTAATATACAATTGCATATATATCATAAAACTTGGTACATGTGTATCTATACAAATTGCTACTATACAGTAGGTTTATATCATTACAATTTCGGTGAAAAGAATCATGTTATTACTTGACTTATTACAGTAAGTATGTGTTATCTAAGTTAACTTAATATTGCTAAAGATCTTTGGAATTACATATACCATAGTTCAAAAGTCTCGTAGTTTGAACCTTCTTAAGTATAAATGTTTATATGACCAACATCAGCATTTTTGTAATTGTGACCTGTATATAACTATAAGGAAAAATTACATTAAAGCGATGTTATTGCATTAAATATTAAGTGTTAAAAATATATTCGCTAATTATTATATTTGGTCAATGTTGCATTCATAATGCTACTCTGAAATCCCACCTCAGAATACCAGGGACAAAGTGGATTTTTAAACATTTTTCATTAATAATATTTTCCAATATTTCCATCCTTACCGAAAGTTTTATATTTGTAAAAATATTTTTTTCGGCCGTTTGGATGAATTGCCTGACCATTAATGAGAATACGCTCTGTGGTTGCTAAAAAGTAACAAGTGCTTGAAAAATTCGTCGATCCTGTTAGGTCCTGGGTAACTCAGTGGTTAGAGCAGTCAACCGGATTGCGAAAGGTTGTGGGTTCGAATCGCATCTCCGAGTGCCAGGAACAAAGTTTTTTTGAAAACAAAGAAACAGTGTTTTTTTTTTAACATTTTTCATTAAAAATAATAATTGCATCATTTAGTTTATGACGGTATTTTTCAAGATTTTTTTCTCCCTTTCTACAGGACATCTTGCTGTCTTTAGCAAAAGCCGTTGCCAATACAACGGCGGCGTTAGTTTTGAAGGCGAAGAATGTAGCAGCCGCTTGTAAAGACGAACAGACCCTCCAGAACAATATTATTGCGGCTGCTACCAACTGCGCGCTCGCTACTAGCCAACTCGTGGCGTGCGCCAAGGTAATGTGGACTTAATGTGTATGAGTATAGTCCTTATTTTTGTTTGTATGAATTATTATGTATGATTAAGCTTAATTGACTAATGAAACTACATGATATTCTTATTTTAACTGATATTGGTTTTACTGTTTTTCTTTTTTGGGATAAGTATATTTACGAAAAAACCATCAAAATACCTTCTTCGAATGATTTCATTATTTTTTTAATAGCTTTTTTTTTGTGATTCACAAGTTGTGTATATCAAGTTTCGCGCTCCATAAAAATGAGACTTACTAGTATTCGTGGTAATTAATTTAACAGGACCTTATTAAAACCTGATCTTAACACTCTCTCGTTTAGGTGGTCGCTCCTACTTTACACAGTGCTGCTTGTCGCGAACAAGTAGTGAGTGCAGCGCGTGCTGTGTCCAACGCCGTGGAGAAACTCCTTGACGCTGCGCCTCCGTCTGCCGCGGCAGCTCATAAACTCCCAGAAGCGGCTAAACGCGTTACCGACGAGCTGGACAGGTTGTTAGCTCACTGCAGTCCTGGTGAGTATCTTTGTATATAAATCTAACTTTTTTCGTTTGCGCGATTTTCACTTCAAACGTAACAGATTTTTAATTTACCAGTCAAGTTAGTAAAATACTAAAATGAGTGACCAACCAACTAATATTATTATTGTTGATGCTCCTAATAATAAAGGAAGATGATATTATGATATTCTTCTCTAAAGTAAAAGAGCAGGGAACATTTTCGAATAGCTGTAAGCAGAAACGTAACTTGGATATTAAGAATAATTTGGATAGAAGCATCGATAGCTTATCTGCCTCTCAATAATTATAACTATGCATAGTTAAGGACAAATATAAACAAATCTGCAGATCGTTCTGCTATGCTCTTCTTCCAACTACGCATACACGAGTAGAGAGCCAAAGAAAGAATGCCACAATTTCTCTCTTTATACAACCAATATACAGATGTAGGTCTAGTTTCCCTAGTCTATATATAAAACTTATGAATGTCTCCCCATCAGAACGCCAAGCGACACAAGTGACAGTGACCGAGCGCAGTGTGGAAACTGTGATGTCAGCGTCGGAACGCGTTTCGGCGGCGGGCGACGCTGCCGAGATGGTCCGACATGCTAGACTACTCGGACAGGCGACTGCACATCTCATCACCGATATCAAGGTAAGATTGTGTATATAAGACGTTGAATTATCGATTGATTCCAAGAACCTTTCGAACGTACAATAACTAAAAATCTACATTTTAAAATTATATATTTAAGCTATAATAATTAGGACTATATCAAGAAGACCTTGTAACGAAAGTTTTCTTGTGTACATTCTCCTCCACAACTGAAAGAAGTCTGGAAAGGAGGGTAGTATAAAATCAACCAATTTATATAAATTTATTTATCTTTTGCGATCATAGTAAAGTACAATGTTATCATAGATGGAGTTGGATCCGTTTGTGAGTTATATTTCTTTTTACGAAAAATGACCAATCAAAGGTAGTTAACAAATGCGTATGTTATTATAGACGGAAGCGGAAAGGCAGCCATCAGATGCTCAGCGTAAACTGTTGGCGGCCGCCAAGTTATTAGCGGACGCGACCGCGCGAATGGTTGAAGCGGCGCGCCAGTGCGCTTCAGAACCACAGGTTTGTGTAACCGACTTGCATATTAATAAATAAATATAAGACACCGAATACATTGCTCAGATTCCAAGATGAGTATCTAAAGCTAATTATTAAGTATCTCAGACTCAGACTACGAAAGTATCGCAAACTCCAGACCAGTGACAAAATATTAAAATCCGGGACCGCAGAGATGGTGACACCTTGAAACCGGCGTGTGAATTAATCTGCTATGGAGATTCTATTTTATTGTTTTCATATTTGTACTAAGGAGATCTTTACTGAAATGTATATTACTAGCAATTATTATTTTGCACAAAATAAACTACATTTATTTTTCAGGATCGCGAGAAACAAGAAGCATTACGTCGCGCAGCCGAAGAGGTTAGATACATCACGGCTGATTATGCGCAGGGTTCAGACATAGTGAGCTCCCAAGTCGCCAGGCTACAGGTTTGTATATCCATCAACTGGGATCATTTGGGAATTAAGCGAAAATAATGTAGTTAATTTTTTTAATTATTTCATATCGTGTATTTTAAGTCTTGAAATAAAGTCAGAATAAAAATTGCGAGGCTAAGCGATACGAACCCTACAATTTGCAAAACAAAGGTTTGCTACACTATCCCAATGCGATTCGAACTGCATAATAATGATTTGCTACGTTTCGTTTCATCTACTACGGAAAAATATTCTTTCTTCATAAGACTAAAAAGTGCACAATTACCTATTACCTACTTTTTTTTTTCTACATTTTCAAGTCAAACTATAACACCTCAACACAATTACAAATCTGCCTGACCTCCATATAAAAAGATGCTTAGATATTATTTTATTTTAAGGAATTAAAATTGTCACTATTGGTAGGTAGACACGACCTTTAAAAAAACATGTGACAGGTCATCAATGTATTAAAAGTGGACACGATTCTTTTGCTAAACTAAATTCTGCTATCATCATCATCATCATCATCAGCCGGAAGACGTCCACTGCTATAAATAATTATAATTCTGCTATACTTCGCTAATATTTGTCATGTTACCATAGAAACGTGGGTTGGGAAGAGTATATTAAAAACCTATTCAAGAATAAAAATATTGTGTATTTAGTTTAATATTTAAGTATGTATACATGTTGTTTATATTATAGGAAAGCGCACGACAAACGGCGGCGTGCGCCACACAACTAATCACATCGGCGCATAACGCTACCCAGTACAACACGAACAAGTATTCTCAGGTGAGAATATAAATGAAAAAAAAATTATCAATTCTTCTTCTAAAGCGACACCTTTTGTAACCAAAGGATTTTCGCAAAATGAGCAGTACTTTTACTTTAACGAGTTATATATAAGGAATCGTTCTGACCGCACAATCGCTATTCTCTGTCACTATTTATTTTATTACCGGACGTAATGACTTGATAATGCACAAAGTCGGTCTTTTGGCTTTACGCTCCTTTTTATATAAATTTATCATTAATAATGTTAATTTTGTTATAACTGGAGACTGTGAGTTAGAAATTGATTTCTATTATTAGGATACCCTCCTGCAAGAGTGTCGTATAGTATCAGAGCACGTGCCCCGAGTGGTGGACGCCGTGGCTCAGTACAACGCACGTCCGCACGCGGCCGCCGCCCATCACGCTCTGCTCACCACCTCCGATACCATACTGCAGGTATACATCAACATTTATTGTAATATGTACATATATGTATAATAGTCGATTACTGCCAAATAAATCAAGTATTTGTCTATATAGATAACCGAACGAGGCATGGTTGTGTTTTTTATTGATATGGATTGATACTTTTGTAACATTATTATAAATTCTACGTATCATATGCTATGTATAATTTTAAGTACTATGTCAGTATTTCATACATTTTTGCCTTGTATCTTTTGAGTTATAATAAATTATGTCTTTCATAATTCATATTTTGCATAATGTATCTGTATATATTTATGTAAGGATTTAAAAGTAATATGTGCTATTTTGTATGACAGTCGAGCACTCAACTGGTGAGTGCTGCTCGAGCAGTGTTGCCCACAGTACAAGACGCCACTGCTGCAAAACATCTCGCCGACAACACGCAACGGCTCAACGCGAGTGCCGCGTCACTAAGGTAATAAATAATGACTATAGTTCAACGAAACGAAACAGTTCTATGAAATAATATTCCATGTAAACAGAAAATCCATATACGACCTTTTTATACTTTTGTGAGTTAAAAAAAGTCCCACAACTATTCATATTTAATCAAATGAATGAAAAAAAAAAATCAAGCATGTCAGTATTGTGCACAAAACTTTTCAAAGGGAATCCAAAAACTTGCCAAAACACAGTTATAAGTTACATGAAGAATTTGAAATCTGTCGAAATCATAATTGAGACATATTTAAGTACGAGATTTGCCAAATGTCTGCCAGATTTTAAAGTTTTGAAACAACCTAGGCATTATGTTTACTTTTGCTCAGAAGTTTACAGCTTCAATATATTTGGAAACAGGTCTGCTGTCAACCGTGCCCGTATCTCATGCAAGGGTCTAGAATTCGATGCAGCGGCAGAAATCCTGCGAAGCTTACAAGACGATCTTGATGAACTGGAAGAGGCTGCGCGCGCAGCTCAACTGCGACCTCTACCCGGACAAACAGTAAGTATAAGCGCTATTTGTGATGAATATATTTCTTATTTGTGAAGACTTTTTAAAGAAGAAATATGAGCTCAGATATTAAAGTTTCCATTATAATTAAAAGTGATGTTAACTAAGTGTTAATTTTTATTTGTTTGTAAAAATATGTATAACCGAACTACTTTTGTGTGCTTGGGAAAATAAGGCTTTGAACTGTAGGTTTTCAGAATGTGCTGGCTTTTTAGCCATTTTTAGGGTTCGGTGTCCAAAGGATAAAAAACGGGGCCCTATTACTAAGACTCCGCTATCTATCTGTCACCACTTGCATCTCATTAATCTTGATAGATAAACAATTGACGCTTTTACAGCCTGTTGCCGCTATAACAACAAATACTGAAAAACAATGAAATAATTATTTCTCTTCCCCCATACAACAATCAACCATTTGTGCGTGAGTCGGATTCACTTGGCCGGTTTTTAAATAAAGATAAAGTTAAAGAAATTTCACTTTTTAGATCAATTAGTTTTACTTTTATTATAAATATTCTAAGTGTAAAATATAATGTTATAAATGGTAATTTTATTTCATATTTTAATATATAAGTTTATTTATTTATTCGGTAACACAATAGACATTAATCAAAATATATATGAATAATAAGTAATAACTGTGTAGTGCTAAATTAATATCCTAAAAGTGTTTACACAATGAGATATGATTTACTAATATGCAAAAACAGAAAGGATAAGTATATATCAATCTAGATGATCAAAAAGATGCGACATTTAGGTCTACCACAACTTCTTTAATACATATTTTGAACTTAAAGAGATTGGTATTAAATTTGTCTAATGCCTGATTAACTGGGACGATCTCATTATAATATAAGTTCTACAAATCAATATATAAGAGTCATCTGCTGACAGTATAAAAAGAATTAAACTAAACATTAAATTATGTAACGTAGGAGGAATGGGCCAACGCTACGATGCATACGGCGTCTCGTGCTGCCGCGTCTAGCACCGTCCAGCTGCTGTCCTCAGTCAAAAGTGGGGGCGAAGGCGCGGGGCGGAGCGCCTGCTCGTTGGCCGCCGCCTTACAGGACTTCACCGCCGGCGTGCACGCTAGTGTGTCCGTCGCGCCGCACCATCATTCGGACAAGTGAGATATACTTGCTTTTATTAGTTACTAGCTTTTGTCCGCGTGGCTATGGCGACACACCTTTACGTCAAATTTCGCAAAATCCCGTCTTTAATATGGGTCTTCCAGAACTTGTAGAAACGAAGTTTCATATAAACTATCAACCTCAAAAACAACCAGTTAGTGAACGATCGAATTCGCCAAATTAGCACCTACGTCCCCCATAGAAAATTTGAAACTTCAAACCACAGCCTTTTTCCATGGCCCTATCCCTTTCTGTCGCTTATTACAGCCATTTGTTAGAGCGGGAAAGATGGTGTACTGCCTATCGCCTCGAGTATTCTGCAGGTTCTGAGCAAAAAAGAAGGACAGGGCGATGAAAATATACGAAACTATGCTGTAACATATAGTCCAACACTTATGTAAGATGATTTCAATGGGGAGGGAGGTAGACCATGTTTTTTTACCTTCCAACGAGAAGAAAGCATTCTTGATAATTCTACAATAACATACCACGTGCTATAATGTTATTAAAACTCGTACATAAATTTTCAAAGTCTCGGGCTACCGGTAAAAAAGGGGAAAAAAACCACTGATTAAAAAAATGCTTTTTCTAAACAGGGTGATCACGTCGTCACGTAAAGTGGTAACGTCATCGTTGAGCCTAGTGGAGACTGTGAAACATTACCTGAGCACATCGGATCAAAACGATATCTCTCACATGTCGTCTATAGCTAAAGAAATCACCGAGGTATGTATATATATTAATTTTATCATAATCTAACCTACGGTTATATGTTCACTTGAATTTGCGCCGAAAAAATATATGTAATTGTTTGTAAAATATTGTTGTATCGTGTATTCTAATTATAGTTCGTTAATAAGGTGTAGTCGATAGCATATAAGGTTACAGCGTAAGGCAATTCTACAATTAATCTTAAGCATTGGTCTATTGATAGTAAAATCCAATATTAATTGGGAAAATTGGGCCATTCACAATAACTTAATATGCTGCTGTTGTGATAAATAGATCTTTTATAAATAAATGTTTAATCATGTTTGTTATAGGGATTGGAAACTACATTAGAGGCAGCACCCTCTCACACGGAATTGGACGCCGCATTGGAAGATATCAATGAGACCTTGCACATACTAGATATGAACGAGTTCCCGCCTTCAGACAAACCCTATAGGTATGTATTGGAATTTCAACTTTATTGTGTCGATGTAATGTAAATGGGTTCTCTAAAGTTCTATGGTATTAACATAATAAGACGTTATGATAAACGCAATGAGTGATGATGTGACAATGCTTAGATGTCTGTAACATTTGTAACACCAAATATAATAAAGCGCAGCCAAAGTCGATCTATTAAAATGAATCGAGTATCACGCCATCTTGTGTCAGTGAGACGGATACCTAATGAATTGTATTTTATACCTTACTGTTATAGAAACAAGACTCGCTATAAATTTTAATTCATCAATATATAGGTCTACTTTGTGTATACGATTCACAATGATTGCCATATTAATTAGACCTTACAATATTTCTTCTATCCATACCTCGTCCCTTTTACCTTCTTTTCCACTGCTCGCGGTCCAATGAATAGTTTGCGTCAATTGTCAAAATAAGAGTAAACAATAATTTCCTAACATTTATTTTATCTTTTAAACTCAGTGAGCTGCAATCGGAACTGACCTCCGCCGCGGTGGAGTTGAATAACGCGTCATCTGACGTGGCCGGCAGCGTGGAACGTCCCCAGACGTTGGCGGCGGCGGGCGGAGCGTACGGACACGCCTTCAATAGAACGCTCGCCGCCGCCATGGAGATGGCTGGTCAAACAGAGGTATTATCATCATCATTATCACCATAAATATAAACTTACAGTGCTCGGCACGAAAGTAAACCCTGTGCAGTCGGTCTTGGATTTACTATTCTTATTAACCAGGACAGTAACTTCGTATGGCGCCCTTCCTCACCACCACCACCCATGAAGCCGTATTAATATATTAAAATAATCTGCAATATATAATTTTGGCGCCTGGGACAAGTGCCCCCTCCCCCCTCTAGATTTGTGTATGCGCTGTAAACAAAAATAGTTATCGAAGGAGGAGAAGTGTGCGGGGGAGAAACTTAACTATACAAAAGGTGGCTGTCATCCCGCGCTTGACGTTTCCCTAAAAATACATATTTTATAAAACAAAACATGGATGTATGTTACATAACACATTTGTTGCCAATCAAATTTAATTTGATAAACACTACTATATTATTAATGTTTTAGTTACTTGTAATATGTGTAAATATTGTTAATCGGTAAACAACGTTCTATATAGGTCCCTTCTTTTAATAATGGTTTTTTAAATTGGTTTTCAAATAATGTTCATAAGAATAATTGTTTTTAATTTTTACCTCGACTATACCTGCGCAATGGATACCATATTGGGTTTACTTTCGTGCCGGGCACTACTAATATCCCCACTGTTGCAAACCTAGCATGACCCAACTGTAACACGTTTCATCTACATTTTTCACAGCACTAGGATGAGATACATTATCGGCGTGTGTTTTAATTTAGATAAAAGTTTTAAACATGCATTCTAATTCTATAGAATGCTAGCCTCCGCCATTGAGATTACCCGACATAAAAAAGAATAACCATCGTCATCGCCATCATTATTAGAGTATTATAACGCTACTGCAGGAAATGTTACATGACGAATTAAAACGTTTATGCTACATCTTTCGTGTAAACGAATAAAGATGCAACTCGGAGTCACTGGCCTAACGAGCCTTCCGAAGCAATAAAAAAAATCTACCAACTAAGTTCTGTTTCAGGATCGTGAAGCACGTACTCTAATGGTGAATTCTATGAAGTCTGTGACTGTGAATTCTTCTAAGCTCCTAAGCACCGCCAAATCTGTGAGTCAAGTGAGTATAGTTTCATTTTGTATTGTTTATCCATTTTTCTGTAAAATGTTTATTACGGAAAGAAAATTTTGAAAAATCTGCAAAATACAAACGCGAGAGATTAATATTTCTCGTCCATGTATCATAGCAATAGATATTTGATATATGTAGAAGAGTATTATTATTGATTATTTTCTACCAACATATTTTTCATATCCCAGGATCTAACTCGACCGAATGCTAAGAATCAATTGATGGGAGCAGCTCGCGCTGTCACCGAGAGTATAAATCGATTGGTAAGTTAACATATCTTAATCCAAAGTATGTACGGTATAGGTACGCACGTTACATCTCAATAAATTATTGAAGTGTATTATTTATCTGTGCTAAATTAATTTATTTGAGCTTGACAGTAATTATTAACGCAAAAAAAGTCTTTGTTATCTTCCATCTTCATCTATTGTATGACCTACGTGTTAAGCATTCGTTTCATCGCTCAACTCTAATACAAAATAATGATTAGTCTTAATATCTGGGACCTAACCATGGACTAATCTCTCTTTCGTAATTCGATTTGATTGGATTCCATCCATAGGGAAGGCTTGAGCCCTTGCAGTGGGGACATTAATTGGCTGGAAATGATGGTGATAAAGCGTGAGCTCTTATTGCAATGTTAAATCCGTGCAGTGAACGAGACACAGCTGTTGCTCCGTATAACGCTGTCCCGCTCTCTGAACGCATTAAATATTGCTATAAGATGTGATGGTAACCACCCTGAACTTTTAGGTGGACGTTTGTACGGAAGCAGCGCCGGGTCAGAAGGAATGCGAAGCTGCCATCCGCAGCATAGAGAGCTCTCGCAGTCTACTGGTGGCGCCCAGTCAGCCGGTCAGTGAACTCGGATACTTCGGATGTCTCGACTGTGTCGTCGAACAGAGCAAGGGGCTCAGTAAGTGTTCATTTATTTATTTATCAATAAGTTTTATTTTACGTATTTTACTGGTGTAGCTCTGTGTACTCGTCTCGTTGGCCAGTCAGACTGATTGATCAATGAAAACAAGGAACAGAAATCACCCACATGTAAGTCTTATTGATCAGGGTAAATGCACCATACTATCATAAGGGTTCTATGTTGAATCGGGTGTATGTAGAAGATGGAATTTTCATATTAACTCGGATCTTGATATTGTACTTTCATCGTTTTCGTAGATTCAGCTATTTAACTTAGGTTCTGAACAAACTGACTATTTTGTTATATTTATTTATTAGTGACTTGACTAAACAATATTTACGATAAATGCTTAAAAAATCCACTTTGTCCATGGCACTCTTTCCTGTTTTCTCCTGGGTAGCTCAGTAGAGTGGTTAGTGCAGACGCCCGGATTGCGAAAGGTCATGAATATATTTCTGTATAGCATTGTGAGTTCAAAATTGATCAAATATAATAATCAATCTTTATTTCATAACTGTGATCTTATTTACTCATCATTATCAATATAGAAACTTAAAATAGACTTGCTTTCGTTCACAAATAGAAATTATCCTAGTCTCTAACCTTCATCTATCATCGGCTTTAGTAATATAACCTCTGTTTACAGGTACCGGTATGTCCGGTATGGCGGGCGCGGTGAAGCGTAGTGAACAGGAAGTATTCGCTCGCAGTGTATCGGGCGTGGCCGCCGCCGTCACTGGACTGGTGGAGGGGGCAGCTCAAGCCGCCTACCTGGTATACCTTACTTATGAATCTATTCGATACAAGTACTCAATAATAGTAAAAAGGTGCCACTATAGATGTTTCAAGATATGAAATGAAAATCTTAAAACAATATTTACTAAATAATATATCAAAGAAATGTTAATGACTTCTAAATTGATGAAAAACTTGTGTCTCATGTATGACTGAAGAAATAACACTAGTATCGATATTTTATAGGGATCGATGCTTGTGAGCATTAAATCACTTTTCAAAAATGTGAAATATATAATGCAAAAAAATTAAGTGTAAAGGGTATTTGTTTGCTTTAAACTTTTACTCTTCCTACTATCATAGACCATCCGCTCGATACCTTAAGTCATGACGCATAATTTACTGTTTTATAGTTAACTCGATACTACATGTATAGAATGTTGCTATGATTGAGTACTCGTAGTAGTATCGAATCAAAAGTATTGACTTAACTAACTAAATAACTTGTTAAGTTGAATGTCCTAATGTAAATGTTTTTTGTACAGGTGGCCATCTCTGATGAGACTAGTGTGGCGGGTCGGCCCGGTCTAGTAGATCAAGCCCAGTTCGCTAGAGCTTTGACCGCTATTGAGCACGCGTGCGCATGTCTGTCAGATCCCAATAGTGATCAACAACAGGTACATTCATATTATACAAAAATATTGGAAGATGCCCATTATTTAATATACGTATAATATTGATATTAGTAGTGATTGAAGCAAATCACCGATATCAAGTTGGTTATAATTATATGTAACCGGATATTGATCGTGCATTTAATTACATATATATAATTTATAGAAATCGTGTGATTTTAAAAACATTTACAAGTTGGTTTACTTAATAACGTGTAATTAAAAAAAGATTTTTTACTATAATATATTAATGACTCACTTTACGTGACATCACACGCGCGACTCTTTTTTTCTATTAATATTTGTTCTTGCTGTGGGTGTTGTTAGTATTGTATTTAGATTTACCATTTGTATTATTGTTATGTAACTCACACTATATTTGCGTTTCTTTCTATAATAAGGAAGTTAGTAATAATAAACGTGCTTATTTAATTGAAATTCTTCCGACCAAATTTGTCAATGGTTTATCATATTACACAGGTGTTATCTGCTGCCACAGTGATAGCCAAGCACACGTCTTCTCTCTGCAATGCATGCAGAGTTGCCTCATCTAAAACCAACGAGCCTCAAGCAAAACGACATTTCGTTCAAGCCGCCAAAGACGTTGCCAACTCCACTGCCGCTCTCGTAAAAGAGATCAAAGCATTGGACACTGATTACAGCGAGGTATTACTTCTATATGTAGTGTAAAACAAAGCAGCTTCCCGGTGTCTGCACGCTGCAATCTTTTAAACTACACTAGGGACTTTAATGCGGTTTTCATGAATACTCAGAGTGATTCAAGAAAAAAGTATATGTGTTCAATGCAGGGCCGCGCCAGCGAAACCGCTGACGGAAAGCTAGTATAAGATATTTCTTTTAATAATTTTCAGCTTTTGTTCGGGATTTTGAATCCTTTTTCTTGAGAATAATATTATGTTTAAAGATATAATTTTAACGTTAACCAGAATATATTTTGTTCATAGTCTTCAGTTTCTTGCAGTTTTAGCTCCTTATAATATTTCGTGCCGTAGATTTCTGAACCCACAGCTTGAGTCTAAGCCGAATAAATGATTAGTTGAACACTGTTCCGACATATATTGCTAAACACTGGAAATAAAAGTTTACTAGGGATGTCGTATTCGAATCGAATATATATAAATAAATAGTAATTAATTTAGGAATGTGGAATTCGAATTGCAGGATTCATATAAAAGCAATACATACTAAACATTAGTATTTATTGCATTACATAACCCCGTTGGGAATATTCGCAGGCGAATCGTAAGCGATGTGCGGAAGCAACGGGCCCGTTACAAGAGGCGGTTCGCGGTCTGTGCGCGTTCGCTGATCGGCCAGAATTCGCGAGCGTACCCGCTCGCATATCGCCGCAAGCTAGGCTCGCACAAGAAGATATACTCGATGCTGGCAGGTAAATATATCGTACAACTAATATATTCTTTAAAATTATCGATTCGAACGTTTATACGTTAAGCCAAATCAATTACCATCATTTGATTAAATAATTTACTGATTCCATGTATTCGATAGAATTACGTGATAGACTCTTGATCCTTATCACGTATACGAGTACTTGAATACGTTTATTGCACTGGTCACGGGCTAGTATATTCGCACTCATTTATCCCTATCAGAAAAGGTTACCCAAAGACGGGCATTTTTCATTCTGTTAGATTAATTTAAGTGCTAGATTTGAATGACAGTAATTTCGCTATTTAATATAAGATATTCAGTGATCGTCACATGTGTATTCTGTCGTTTAGGAACATAATATCGTCGTCGTGCTCAATGTTGGAAGCGGCGAAAGCACTAGCGCTATCACCTCAAGACCGTGCACAATGGCAACGTCTAGCAGCACATAGCAAGACTGTCTCTGACAGTATCAAGTCACTCGTCACCAGCATAAGGTATGTAGTACAAACAAACAGAATACAGGAACTGATTCAAATGTCGGTAGTAGCAAATACAGCAGAACGTCAATGTTTCACCGATTTTGAAGTTTAAAATCGACGTTCTCAAAGATTGCAGCAAATCAGCACTAAAAACGATGTCTCTAATGTTATGATTTATCTTAGGGAAAAAGCGCCAGGTCAAAAAGAATGCGCTTCGGCTTTGGACTCGCTGGGACGGTTACTACGCGAAATAGATCAGGCTTCCATACAAGCCGTGGCGCAAGAGTTACAACCAAGAAGGGCTAACACATTGCAAGGTGAGTTGATCTTTATTTTATTGACTCAACCATCGGTCAGTGTTATAATCAGTAATATAGTCAATTACTTGGGTTAGATGATATCAAATGAATATATTATTGAGGAAATGACTTCGGTATTCCGAGTCATAAAGGTGTCTAGAACTTCACAAATTTTAGTAGCTGGTATTCGTATTATTATTTTGAGATCATTATTGGAACTATTTTTGTTACTTTATTACAAAAATGTATATTTAAGTCTTTGGCGTATCCATATTATATCTACTCATACCCATCACATGGTCTACTTATTACTGGACTGTCATAAGACGGTTTCGAGAATTCAATAACGGAGCAGGTTTTTTAGCTTCGAAAATTATATTTATGCATTCCTACAGGCTATTCTGAACAAGTAGAGAACAGTGCAAGCGAAATGCTAGAGCGTTTGGAACCTCTACGCGTCGCCGCCATATCCCAAGCCGAACTGTTGGGGCATGCTGTCATGCAATTGGTAAGTTTATTATAAACTCTTTAATTCGAGTAACTTACGCTTTGCTTTGTTGTTTGTGTCAAATGATCAAAAAAATATGGATAAGACATGCTGGGAAGTATTTTTTGATATCAAAACTTTTTTTACAAAGTGTCTTCAATTTATATTTATATAATACACCTTTCAAATAAATAACTGTGTACCTACTCCGATGTCTTATTATTATCGTTAATCACATCTCCAACACAATGAGCTATGATAGGAGAATAAAAATTTTTACTTCTCCTTTTTTGAAGTCGGTTAAAAATAATGATGACGTGTAATTGTTGCGGTGTAGGTATCGTACGCGGAAGCAGTAGTGTCGGGCAGCGTGGGATGCGCATCGTTAGTGCAGCAGTCTAGCGCACAATCGCAGGTGTTAGTTCATACACGTACTGTACTAGAAGCAGCGTGCGCACTAGTTGCCGCCGCACGCGCTGCCGCTGGCAATCCGAGGGTGAGTTGTATCGATATCACGTAACAGTGTTAATATTAATACTAAACAAGGTATAGCGTTAGAGTATACTCTAACGCTGATGATTTTATCACTTAGGTCATCTAGTGAAATATTCACTTAAATATATTTAAGTGAATATTTCACTATGTAAGTATTAGTCAAAATTCACATTATTAAACAGTAGAATGTAAGCTAATTCGCAAGTGATGTTAATTCCTACTACGCTCATGAAGTGCAATATTTATATAAATTTATTCCGAAACTAAACCTTGTTTAATAAACACTGAAGGAAAATTCTTGTTCGGGGTAACAGTGGCTAGAATGACGTATGTGTAAAGTACAACGTGCAAAGAAGTTGTTATTTTGAAGTTAATAATATATTTTCTAAACCACATGTACACACGGCCGCACGTCAGGTTACCACAATATTTCCAGTTGATTTCAAACTCCACCGACAAAATATTGAAAGTTAAAAATCAAGTGGAGAAATTTCACAGATTTGTATTGACTGATGTGCTGACAGATTTGTGTTGACTGTACTATGCTGAGATAATAAATCTTATATTAATAATAATTTTCTCTCAAGGAAAACACAAAAATAGTAAAAACAACACATTAAACAGCACATTCTGTTGACAATCTAACATTTCATGGTCATATAAGACGATGTTATCGTGTATAGGCGGTGAGCGCGCACGGTGAAGTGGAAGCTCAAGTATCATTGACAAGAGCTGCTCTAACTGAACTGAATACCCACATCCGAGAGATGAGCGCTGTCAACGGTGCAGTTGGACCGTTACTGGAGTCTTTGTCACGCGCCTCCGCACGTCTCACTGATAACAGGTATGTCTGTAGTACAACACTAGTATACACATACATGAAGGCAAAGGTGGCTGACTGACTGGTAAAGCTCAAATCACTGGACGGATCTACCTGAAAATTGACCAACTTGGAAAACTTAATTATGACATAGAGATTCACTAAAAAGGATTTTGTTAAATTCAATCCCTAAGGAGGTTCAACAAGAGTTTAACAATCATATATTCATCAAAGAAAGAGCAAATACAGGAGCTTATCACTGTGACTCTGCTTTCTGTCTGTTACCAGACTGTCCTCTTGAACAGTGATAGTTGAAATTTTCACAAATGATTTAGCTGCCGCTACAATAAATAGTACAAGAAATAAAAAACTAAAAATACAATAAATATTTAATATTACAAAGTAAAATATTATATACCTACGTATAAACCTAGACAACAAACGTGATTTCTTTTGTCGATAATGAGACTGAACCTTTCGTTTAAGAGTCCGAGTCGCACTTATCCGGTTTTTTCGTATATCCTATCTTACCAAGTTAACAAAGAGAGAGAGAGTATCAATTATTATCAGTAACTGATAATTTTATTTGGTAATCATTCATGTTCCTATTTTTATCAGCCATTCATTCAGAAAAGTTTTTGAAAGCTCACTAATTTATTGAAAAAAAGAAAAACAATATCAGACCGATAACACAGATTTTATAAATATTTTCTTATTACTTCTCAAGTCACTCGACGAATGTCCTCAGTTTTAGCTCTTCTAATACTAACAGGTCTCCCATATTTCGGATTCGGTCATCAATCGTAAGTTCCAATATAATAAATCCTTGACCGTGCAGTTGGATCGCTCGCCGATTTCTATTAAAAGCTTACGACCTATTACATACAGTTCTATTTTGCGATTCTCTTACTGTTTCATATATATCTGAGCAAATCGATGGCGCAGATTCCTTTGGAGCTAATGCTCTCTGTCTTCAATTGCAGAAATTAAGTAACTTTCGCCAAGGTCGACCATAGGATAAGTGACAATGATGTTTTTTTCAATGCATTTTTCTTATTTTTTCTAAGGCCTATTACGAATATTAAGACATTAACTATAACCAAAACTGTTATCAATTTGTAACCTTGTATACTTGAACACTTAAGTACAAAAACAATCGCGGCATTTTAATATTTCATGGAATCTTAGAACCTTGATCGCGCAGTAGTTGGTACGTTGGTTATTCAAATCAAGTTAAATCTGCACATATGAAGACTCGCACAAGAACTAGTGCCAAAATAAAGGAATAGTAATAATTTTTCGATTAATTCAAACTCTATTGAATAAATTTTTTGTCTGTTTATTTTCATTTGAGAAGACTTACAATAATTATGATCTTAGATCATCGCTTGAGATCGAAAGTGTCTGGCGTCCTGCCAATGCACTGAAATATTGCATACATTTGTTTCGCCTAATCGTTCTTAATTAAACTGACTGTTATCAACTTGACTGTGTTCATCGATATAAAAATGGTATCTATTTATAATTGAATACAAATTATATATTTATCAAGCAATAAAATATAAAATAAAACTCTTATTAGTGTTTATAAAAAGAGGGCAAAATTAGGCGAGTGCAAATCTGACTCGCTTATGCAGGCTTCCGTTTAGTAGCAAGCATAGATTAGCAAAAAATACTTTATTTCGTTGAGATCTACAGCATATATTTATTAAATTTTTCTTTCTCTTATTTTAAGTATGAGTCTGGGGGATACACTTATTTTGCCATTACGGAAGTATCTATCTTACATAATTTATAGATTATAACATCGAACGAACGCGGACATAAATATTTTACATTTGGTAATTTAAAAAAAAAAATGTAAAGAGGGTACTTTGCAAGATTTTATCACTTAGGTCATCTAGTTAAAAATAAATTCATGAACACTAAATCTGGAGCGAATAACGCACATAAATATAATTTGTGTCGGTAGATTTTCTATAACCGCGTAGCATCGCCTATATGCATACGCATTACGAAAATACTATCAGTCTCTTTCGCACGTTTACTTTTTATGAGTTTGAAATAACGCGTACTGTTGATTGGTTTTACTTGTCAGTTAGTCCTACGACTAAGACGAATACAGTGATAATTTTGTTATTTTTTATAGCAGTTTATGTGATATTAAATTTGTTTTTGTAAGTACTGGTGTTTACGTTAAGATAATATAATCTAAAATATTGTCTCGTCCACTCCCCTAGGGTCCTCTGAAGATATAATTACAATAAAGTTGTCTACAACTCTATTCTATTGACCGAAACTATATAGATTAGTCTTAATTTATTTAGTTAACATTTATGTTTTTGTTTAGGATGTCGCTAATTGGTTCGTACGACGAGACAGACTCGTTTGTTGACTACCAGGCGCGCATGATCGCAGCAGCTAAGGAGATTGCGAAACTAGCTACCGACATGGTCAGTAAAATTACTTTATACTTATGTTTATAAATAGTAGTATAAAATAACAAACTTAATCTAGAAAAATTTACTTGAAATAAAGATTTTATAGTTTTCCCTTTTATATTAAAGAAAGATCAGAAAAAGAAATAGAGGCAGGCTTTAAATATGACTTGTTTATACTTATTTTTCTTACGATTATAATGACCTGGACTAAACTTAGATTTTTTTAAATAAACTACCTGTCGTATCGACGTCAGTTTGAATGTATTGCTTAAAATTGTATAAATTATTGAAAAGTCTAATAAAAACATTATAAGATTGAATCGAGGTTTCTAACACTGTATAACGCGCATCCTGAAGTTTTGGCTCGAATAATCTATACAAGATCTTTGCTCTTAGATGATATCTATAAAAGTGAAAATTATTATTTAAATATTATTTGTTTGTTTTCAGACGGCAAAAGCAGCGACGGACAGTAGCCGAGTACTGCCGCTGGCTGGCGAGATGTGTTCAGCGTATGAGAGACTTGCTAGAGACAGCGTCGGCGCTGCCGCCACCACGCCTAACACTGATGTGGCTAATAGGTAACATATACACATATATTTAATTGAGCACATATGGTCAGTTCGATTAAGTTTTAATGAAGTTTTAAACTATTGAATGGATGTTTGTGCAACTGGCTGTTAAAATTACAGATATGAAATAATTACTTTGTAGTTTTAAGATTTAGACATGAATTTTAATAAATTAATTAAAGAGATAATAAATGCTTTGTGAATTAAATTTTTTATCGTTATACAGGCTTACACAAATAACTGTATCCTGTAACCTAAAATATTTTATGACTTTCAAAATTAGTTTTGGCAATAATAATAAATTTTAATTTATCACTCGAATGCTAATATTCTACGTTTAAATTACACGCGATTGACCGTCCAAAAATGTTTTATAACAAATATGATTTGATCGTTCCTTTATTTGTCGTTAGTATTCGGGGTGGTGTATCAGAGCTGGGCGAGAGTATCGGTGGACTGGTGAACGCGGCCGCCGCGTGTCAGGGTCCTGCCCAACCACACGAGCGTTCTGTCGCATCACACGCCAAGGATGTGAGCGAGAAGGTAATAACATCAACATTCGTATTAGAGGCATCACCAGTGACAAGTACAAAGCAAAAATTGATTATACCTAATAATGTTCATGGAAGAATTGAGTGTATGATGTATCAAATGTGAAAAGTATAAAGATTACTATCCTGGATTAGTAATATTTATGCTTTATGCACTAGTATTTGATTAAATCGTGAGAATAATTTAAATTTGTGGATTTTTTCTATTAGGTTATCGCAGTACTGAGTGCTTTGCAAGCTGGTTCCCGTGGTACGCAAGCATGCATCGATGCTGCCGCTACAATAGCCGCCATCATAGGCGATCTTGACACAACCATACTGTTCGCTAGCGCCGGTAAATATACAAATAGTAATGTAATATGAAATGAAGTAATTAATGGGAAACAAACATATCATTCTTTAAGATTATCATTTAATTAGAATGACTGATGTGTCGCAAAATTCACGCCCAGTGAGAGCTTACTACTTAACATAAATGCAACTGATCAACAGATATTACTTATTTGTATAATTTATTTTGGACACACTTATAATTTACGAATCTCCTAATACTACACCTTTTAGTTGAAAGCCATTAAAATCGATTCCCTCTTTATCCTTTTTTCAGTATTTGTTTGCCAGTTCTGCATGTCACAACATAGGAATTTCTAAACTGTTATTTGTCACATCTTCTTCGGAACAGGTACTCTTCATTCTGAGAAGGAAACTGACACATTCTCGGATCATCGCGAGAGCATACTGAAGACGGCAAAGACTCTCGTGGAGGACACCAAGACCCTAGTGGGTGGCGCTGCTGGATCACAGGAACAACTGGCGACCGCTGCTAATTCCTCTGTCACCACTATCGGTAAGAAAACTATAAAAGATTTCACCAATTTATCATTGTCATCATCAATTGACTAAGTACTTTTAGAATTTACAGAGAGTAACCTATATTACTTATTTTATGAATGATATATTTTTTAGATATACTTCATGTATATATATACATACTAATATATATATATACTAATATTATAAATGTGAAAGTTTCTTTGTTTCGTTTGTCCGTCAAACACGCCGAAACAACTGAACGGATTTTGATGAAATTTAGTATACAGATAGGGTATAAGCTGACTTAGATAATAGGATACTTTTTATCCCACTAAACATTACCCTAGGGACCAAGGGAAAAGTTGTTTACACCTCTATTATTTGAAATTACAAATTGCGTGAAATGGATCTGTTAACAAATGTCACCGTACCCATGCTACGTGAAACGGACTATAAATAAATAAGTCTCGATGGTTGTGCGTACAGTGCAACTTTGCGAGGTGGTGAAGCAGGGCGCCATGTCCCTGGGCGCGGGCAGCTCCGAGTCGCAGGTGCTGCTGCTGCACGCGGCGCGCGACGTGGCGGGCGCGTTGCGCGACCTCGCCGCCGCCACCACCGCCGCCAGCGGGAAGCCGCACCACCACCCGGACATGCAGCGGCTCAAGCACGCCGCCAAGGTAAACATGTACACGTACACGCATACGCGCACGCACGTATACACGTACACGCACATATACACGTCCACAAACATATACATGTACACATACATAAATAATCCCCGCAAATTGCTGATGCGCTTGGCCTCCGGTTTTGGTCACGTAATTATGTTCAATTATCAGTGCCGTTGACAAATAAACTCTGGTTGATGAGTATATTAGTGAGTTGGGTTGTGTTGAGATCACGCACAAGTTTTGTTATATTCGATTGTTGTTGTTAAGTTTTGTTGTTACTTGTTGTGGTTATCTGAAATACAAAACTATAATACAGTTTCCGCAATAAGTAAAACTGATTTCAAAAAATTGTCTGTCTAATGTCTTTTATTTTATACGAGGGTCAAACTGAAAGTTCTTAGAAAATCAAAAACTGATTACATTAGCCAGTTATTAGTTTTATTATATCTTTTCAAAATATTGTCCATTCACGTCAATACACCGCTGCATGCGATGGAACCACTGGGAAAAGCACTTTGCCCACTCGTCCTTAGGGGTCTCTTCAATGGCATCGCGATACGCAGCCACCGCTTCTTCAGCATTCATAAACCGCTTTCCTTTAAGTTTTTCTTTAATTTTTGGAAATAAATAAAAATCACAAGGCGCGAGGTCGGGGCTATACGGCGGGTGACCCAGTAATTCAACGTTTGATGTCGCCAAATAGTCGATCGTTCGCTTGGCGGTGTGCGACGAGGCGTTGTCGTGGTGAAGGAGGATCCTACTGCGAGGTCGTTTCTCTCGAACTTTTTCCAAGACAAGTGGCAAACAATTGGTAGTGTACCATTCTGCAGAAACTGTTTTTTGATCCTCTAACACAATTGTTGCAAAATGACCTATCCTTCCAAAGAACGAGGCCACCATTTTTTTTCCCGCACTTCGATCTCTCTTCACTTTAGTTGGCAACTCCTCGAAAGGAAACACCCACTGAGCAGATTGTCTTTTGGTTTTAGGATCATAACAGTAAATCCAGCTTTCGTCACCTGTTAGTATGTCGAACACAGCATTTGAGTCACCTCCGTTAAATCTTTCAATCATTTTACGACACCAATCCACACGATGGAGTTTTTGAGCCTCAGTCAAATTATGAGGTATCCACCGGGCGCAAAGCTTCCTGACCGCTAAATGTTCGTGGAGGATTTTGTGCACTTGACTCATACCGATGCCTAAGCTTGTCCGAATCTGTTGATAGGTCACTCTTTTGTCAGTCTCTATCATACGCCGCACAACACAGATGTTATCTTCAGTCGTCGCCGTAGAAGGCCGTCCCTCACGTAAATCATCAGTGAGATTAGTGCGACCACTTTTAAACTCATTAAACCAGTTGTAAACAGTCGCACGAGATGGGGCTTCATCGTGAAAGGCCAATCGTAGTCTATCATAACTTTCTTGTTGACTTAAATGACATCGAAAGTCATAAAAAATCATTGCACGAAAATTTTCTCGTGTTAAATTCATGATGACGTGACACAGACAATTTTCAATTTGCCGCCAAATCGTAAAACAAATGACAAATGAATGAAATATATACTCAGTAATATTGGCAAAGAGTTATATTTTCAAATTTTAGAATTATTTTTTTATTATATTGTTTATAAGTGGCCAGTTCTAAGAACTTTCAGTTTGACCCTCGTAATTACTTTTGGCGAAGTTTAAAGAAATCATAATTTCATTTTATTATTATATTATTAAAAAGTAAATGTTATATTTTTATTTAACTCAAAATTAACATATAAATGCCTTTTTCGAGAATTCTTGCAATAAATTATTAAAGTAAAAATTATTAAATAATTTTAGTAACAATATTTTATTTCAATAATTAATAATTTATATTTAGCTTTTATTTTTTTTTAATAACTTCCCGTAGGTGTTATTTAGACATGGTTCCAGCGCATTACCAATTTGCGGGATTTATACAAACATATACACACATACTTCCGGTTAACGAACTCCATAGCAGTGATTTTTATTTAGTATATTTTTTTATTTACTATCGTAAAAATTTCACATTGATTTACTAAATGGTATCACTTAAACCACTTGAGTTTATGTGTGATACATGACAATCGTTTATTCCATATTAATAGACATATTACAATAAACAGTCAACAAACGGGTTCAGCAATTTCTAGATTTTGTTTCATGCCACAGACACCATGTGTTCCTGTACTTGGCCTTGGGCTTACTAGTACTATGTTCTGAAATATTAATCGTTACAAAACTCTTCTACGATTCTGTCACGAGCTCTTGTACAATTTGATCAAACTAAAGATACAACATTTATGCCTCATTAACGGGACGAGCAAAAACTGCATATCGCCCAATGGTGCTGTAGCCAAAATCATCCTGATTGGTTAGGATTTGCCGCGATATGAAATATTTCTTTTACTGTACCTATTTGAGATGAATCAGTTCCAAGTCCATTTTATATGTGCTCGAACATTTATTTCAATTTTAAAATTGTTTTCTGTTCAACCAACAGATATTTTCCTCTATTGTAGCCTTTTTAATAAAATATTTCTAATGATTATACCTACTTATATTTCTAAAATAAATCTTAGCACGGCTGCAGTTCTTTTATAAACATTAATCAAATATTTCCTTACAATAAACTCTATAATCTGTCAATCAATAATCTATAAAATTATCACACTCATCACACATTCATATGTTATGTAAACAATCCATGTTATTGTGTGTATGTGTGTGATTACGTTCAATATTGGACTTTAAACCGATGAATGGTTGTAGCGGCTGAACGAGACAAGCAAGCGGTGGAGCCTGCCCTTAGGCCCCGTCAACTCCAAACCGAAACGACGATCCCTCAGAATCGATTACAATTCGGCAGATTCGGAAACTGATCTGTTCCAATCTGACCAAGAAGAGGAGCTGCTCAAACTCCTCGACTATTCCAGCCAGGACGATGACGTCTCACCTTCAATATTCCATGACAATTGCGAGGAAATAATCGCTTACATAGAAAGACATATGAAAAGGCCAGACAGCAGAGTCTGCGATGATGACGCCAACGATAGATACAATATGGCGGCAAGAAACAGCCTTGTAGATATGGATTGGCGAGTTCTAAAGTACGGTGAGAATATATTCTTGGGAGAACTAAGGAAATTCGTTGACATAGTCGTAGAGATTGCTGATAGAATCGAAAATAAAAGAAAGAGAGCGATGCTCTCTAGATTAAAAGCCAATAATGATTTGGATAAAGAAATGAATAGACTGTCTCAAGTGATTGTAGATTTGGATACGGAAATCGAAGAGAGTATTGTCACAACGACGAAGACAGTAACACTACCCAAAAAGCCAAAACTAGACGACTTCAAGCTGACCAGTCCGGTGTTCAAAGTTAAAAAAGTAAAACCCGTAAATCTTACTTTAGATTTGGACATCGAATCGGAAGCGAACATATTACCCTTGAGTCCTGAACAAAAACAGAAGGACGGCTCGACCGAAATAGTCGTCGAACCTGAAACAAAGACGAAAAGGGTCAAATTAGAATTTTGGAAAATGTTCAACGATGACTCCGAGCTGTGGAAGGCTTTAGCTAAACGGAATCTAGAGAAAATGGAAGAGACTAGACGTGAATTAGAAAGATTCAGCGGCCACGAATTAGTGCTAGGCGAGTACGAAACTGAGAGAAACAAGTACGAGAAAGAGAAGGAAACATTACAGTCGTTTATCGAGGACGTCGATAAATCGAAAGCTGTTAAAAAAGATTTGGAGTACGACAGAAAATATGAAGACATGATACTCAAATTAATCGAATTCGCTAAGAAAGATTTCGTTTTCAAAGGTTTCGATCCTCTCATAGAACAGTTGAAAGCTCTATCGAATACGCCAATAGAGAAACGCAAAAAGAAAGTCCAAATTCAGGATATCATAAACATTTACACACAAATAGATATTACAAAATACACATATGAGGAATTGTGCCTTCTGGAGAGGTATTATAAAGAAATAATAAGGAAATATAAACACGACGCTGTCAATAAAGAAAACCAAATGCCAAGAGAAGAGAGATCGCCTAGTTTAGTTAGAGAAGTAAAATCAGAATCAGCGCCGCCATCTTATCATAGAAACGTGATATTAAATGTTCATTCTAGTCAAAATGTAACTAAAAATATAAACTCGTACACCAATACGACCGTGCACAGCGTTCATTCTTTAGAAAGACGCAAAACTAAAGATGAGAAAACTAAGAATAACGTAGAAATATTTGATTTGACTCGGACATACCCTATGGAGTATTATGCGAACAACTGGTGGTCTATTTATGAGGACATATTGAAGAGTAGGGAACAGCAATTCGGTTCTATAGATAACTGGTGGAAATTTTATGAAACAATACTGAACAAAGAGGAATCTACTGACGAGGAGTTGAGAAGGATTAGGGCTGTGGTCCAGTACAGAGATAGGGCGAGACGTTCGAATAGTCGTTTGGAGGAGCACATGAGGATGTTAGACGATGTGAAGACGCAGAATTTTCAAGAAACTGAGCAGGTGGAACGCCGCGACGGAGAATCGGTCAGATTATATACTGCACCGGCATGGTGTGGACGGCTTGTCATGGTTGTCGGATCATCCTGGATCTTATCATTTTCTCTAATGTCACGCTGATGTTTTAAACTTGCACAAATTTTTCATAGAACTTGGTAAAAATATAGGGTTATTGTTCGGTCTAAAGACGTTTGTGAATATGAATGATTGTAATTACTGTTACCACTTGATTTTAAAACAATATTTTCGATTGGTACAGCTCAATAAAAACGAAATATAAAGACATAAAAAATTCGTGTTATGATATGAGCTTTGTCATTTTAGTTAATATTTTTGGATGTTTGTTTTACTATTTCTTTCAAAGTAGCATTTTTCATGCATTGTCACGCTCGTTCCTCTGTGCCTACCCTACAAGGGATCCGGCGTGAAGATATTGAGAGTTGTTTTATATTTAATCTACAATAACAAGCATGTTTATAGCTGAATTCCAAATAATGAATTTTAAAGCAATTTATTCTAGGCTATTGGATTGAAGGCAAAGCCATATGAATTTAACAAAATTAGTATCTTAAAAAATGAGAAAAAAAATACTTAAAATATAAGTTTTAAAGCATCAGCGACAACCATCAGTTCATTGCAGATCTGTGTTTAGTATCAATGTTCGATGTCGGCGTGGCATGGCCCCTAACACAACTAAACACATCAGATGGATACCAAATGATAAGCGAAGTTCCATCCACTCATGGTACTTGGTGATGCAAGCTTCCTTCGCTCGTCACCCACTCTCCCCACAGTAACAAAGCCACAAGCTTTCATTTCTATACCAACCGCTTTTAAGGTCCAATATTGACGTATCATTGGTATAAATTATTTGACGCTTTATATATTATATTTATTTTCATTATGTTATCATGTAAAAAATTTTTGAAAGCTTATGGGTTTCCCGCTATAGCATGACGCTTTTGTCGATCGCACATGGGTTTTTTTTCTCTCTATCTATATCTCTGTAATATTTACATTTGAAGCCTAACTTAGTTGGCAACCCTGAGCTTCATGTTTTTAACTGTTATCATAGAGGGATTTTTCACTAGAACATCGCTATTGACAAATCAAATCATTGGGTTGATTTAAAGAGAATGTTAATAGATGTATTTTGATTGGTTACTTTAGTTTTTTTAATGGAAAACGTATATTTGCAAGTAGATTAAAAATCGATCTTGGAAATGGCTTCTTGTGTATTTAATTCAAACACAATAAGGGCGATTTTTCTGTGATATACTGTAAGCAAATCCGTAGAATATGTTAGTTGCATATAATATGCAAGTCGTAAAAATCAATTGAAGAAATCAGTCCTCCATTATCGGCGTACACTGAATTTTTAATAGACATTTGCCAAGCAAGCACTTGTATCTTTGTGGTATAGTTCCTCTCCTGTGGTTAGAATTATATCAAAATACGTCTATTCGTCTCTTTCATTTATTATCAATTGATACGTTTCGACGGATCTCTCTGATTAATAATATGTCCCCGCTCAGGTGATGGTGACCAACGTGACGTCACTGCTGAAGACTGTAAAAGCGGTGGAAGACGAGCACACGCGCGGTTCTAGAGCGCTGGAGTCCACCATTGAGGCTATATCGCAAGAAATCGAGGTAAGCTTACATTGCCTTTTAGGAAAGCACACTGTTTGAAAAGCCAAGAACAAATAGGCATCTAAAGTACGTTTCCATTGCACCAATCCTGCGGTCGGTTAATCAGTAGGAACATAGAGCTGCAATTAAAACGTTTTTATTTTATTTGGTTTTTCGGTAGTTTAGTCTTTCAAATTAGCGGTCTTACTTTGGTGGAGCTACCTTATAGCTTTTTTCTTGAGTTTACTATCTTTATTATGCGGCGCCTCCCGCCGTACATACGGCCTGCGTATGCGGCAAGGTTAAGTGCTTATCACGTCCATAACATGAACAAGTGCCGCGCGTTATGTTATCGCCTCTAAAACTTAATAAATAGTATGAGTAGTGATAAGCACATGTTTTTATCGATGTCGATAATTCACATATCGATAAAATCTAGCGATATTTTTATTAATCAATAAAGAAAATAATTTAGGACTGTATGTATGCTTCTTTTGTTAATATATGGTCACGATACCGACAAAAATACAAAAGTATTCATCAAACTCTGAAATAAACACTAAAATTCACGATATTGTGACAGACATAATAATGGACACTTGTAAATTTTTTTGCAAGATTTGCTTGCAATTTAAATTGACAAAAAGCATAGTCATTCTGCCATTCTCTGGACTCAATTCACATGATTCTCTGGACCCAAATTAATTTAAGTTGGGAGTTTTTGTATTAATATGAACGCTTCCACAGGTACTCCTATCCGATTCGCCGCCTAAAGGTACGGCCACAGCTGAAGAACTAGTGCGTTGTACACGTCAGATGACGTCAGCCACTGCGCGCGCAGTCGCCGCTGGAAACGCTAACAAGCAAGATCAACTCACTGCTGCTGCTAATCTCGGCAGGAGGACCGTTTTAGAGCTGCTACGTGCGTGCAAGGTATGTACCGTTACTATTTATTCCAAGGTGGATTTGCAGGCTTGGCCGCTCTAAGTCATTTAGTAACAACCGCCTCTTTTAGCTCTCATAATTTAGGAACTGCATATGAATTTGTAAGGATAAAAAAGTTTAAATTAACCGGTAACCGGTTTTTATTATCGGCTATTGGCACACAACATTTTATTAACGTTCGGTTATTTCTTGATATCGTTAGTATATTGAAGCCATTATTGACCGCCTTTAAAATTTTGCCGCCCTAGAGCCGATGAGCATATATAAAATGGATGACAAGAAAGCTTAAGATTTAAGGACTGTTTACTGTGACACCTGGTTCTCTTTGGTGGGGTAGAGATCCCGCAAGAGATCTGGTTTGAAGGTATAGCGAATAATAGCGAAGGAAGCCGGTTTAAAAATTGGTCCACTAGTTTCGGCGGGAAACAAACAGTACTTTTCCTCCTTTTGATATTAGTGTGAATAGTGAATCTATAAATCTTTATTAATGAATTTTCACGCTTTATTGATAGATAAACTAATAATATAAAGATATGAATAACTTGTACGTATTCTCTCTTTATAAAAACACAGAAACCTAAATGTTATCACATTATCGAACAATTATTGCAGTTTTACGAGTATCCATAACACAAGCTACTTGGGTTCAAAACGATCTATGAATGATGGTTATGATATTATTTTTACTTTATTAAATCAGGCGGCGGCATATACGGCAGAGAGCATGGATACTCGTAATCGTACGATAGAAGCGGGCGCGGCGGCCGCGACCGCCTACCGCGAGCTACTATCTGCCGTGTTGGCGGCGGTCAGTACAGGGGACAGGCAACATTTCCCTGAACTGTCGCGCCGTGTCGCCCACGCGGTCGCTGATATCATCGCCGCTGCCGAAACACTCAAAGGTGAGTACAATAACAAGAAAATCTCACAGAAATATCTTGGAACGTTGTGATGTATGCAAAAGAGCAAAATCCCATCTTAGGAATGGACACGGTGTCAAATGTTTCTTGCCGGTATTGTGTGAGTGAGAGCCTATGTCGAAGTCAATACTATCGACTGTTGACTGTTATCCGTAATGACGCAGTATTTAAAAAAAGTTATTTTCGAAATCAAACTAGACGTCGCCATATACTTTGAAACAATTGTAGTGTTCAAAATTATTTGGATGTGTTCCTAATTTGTTTCTGATATAATTAAGTCTATTGAGTTGGAAAATTTAACGAATCTGTGCTTCATAAGTACAATGTAAACATAATATGCCTTTAACTTTCTCTATTAACTAAAAAGTGTTTTTTTCAAATTCTTTTGATAGTTCGCGGGATGAACGCATTCTAATAAAAACTAAGCCCATTATAACATCAGTATATATATAGGTTCTATGACGTCCCCTCACTTTTTTGGGAATATATTATTAATGAAAACATAACTTTTATTTCGCACGCCTATAGGATCTGATTGGGTAGACCCGGATGACCCTACGGTCATAGCTGAGAGCGAACTGTTGGGCGCTGCCGCTTCCATAGATGCTGCAGCGAGAAAGCTAGACGCTTTGAGACCTCGTAAAGCTGTCAAGGTATGTATCATATTTATTTAAGTTGATTAGCGTTTCTATATGTCGGTACTCGGCAAGAAATTAAACTCTGAGCAGAAACTAAAAAAAAATATTATATAATCTCAATAAAGCTTAAAAATTATACTAATCTATAAGGCGGTTCCTTTAAGTTCCAACTAATAAACCACATGATATATCTTCCTTTGGAAAGTAATGATCCACGAATTCCGATAACGACCAAACAGATGATTAAAATTTGTAGTGAGCCTTGTTTAAATAACTATAAAGGGTGTAAAGTACAACGCAATAAGTTTCCGTCTCACTCGCACGATTGATTGGTGAATCATCCGATGAAGTTATAAATGAATTATTCTTATTGGCACATGTTTGCTGTGTTTCGAAATTTAACCGCCAGAAAATCCATTAGTTGTATCTTACTGTAAGAAGTTAAACAAACTTATTAAAGTTGAGGTGGGGTAAATATTATTCATTTACCTACAAAAAACTCCCTTATATCTCTGCATTTACTTTCGTGCCAGGTACAAACTTTAATTTAAATTCCTTACCTATAACGTAACAAGAAATATAAATAGTAAATTTATATTTGGTTTACGTTCCATTCAAAATGTAAACAGGAAAGGAAGATGGAAAGAGGAAGAACGAAGATATGCCTCGTGCCTCTGAGATATGTTTGATATTCTTGGTTGTTGTTCTATCACCCAGGAATCAAACATATTACACAGAGGTCGTGGCCCTGTCTACGCTCATCAGTGAAGATGTCCTTATAATTATGAGAAGCAGAAGACGAAAAATCGACGATGTAGTAAAAATATATGTTTAGTTAAAAAAAATCTACTTTATCCTTTATTGACTCTGAAATAATGATCTTATGTTATACTTGTATTAGTTTAGAAAATATATGTTTAATAAATACGGGTAAATAGTCAACAGCAATGTCAAGACTGTTATAAATATGTTATCTAAAATAAATGACAAATCAAAAAGAGCTATTATGTATATTTTTATCAACCTATAAATAAATTGATTTGTCTAAATTAATTGTAAATTGATAAGTAAGAATTCTTATTATTGCTATGATTGTTAATAAATTTTCACCCATGTGTGTATCAAGTATTTGAGAAAGTGAAGGTATTGAAAATTGGACGTCTTCGAATAAATATATAAACCCTCTATAATCTCAACCAACAGGAAGCGGATGAGAGTTTGAACTTCGATGAGATGATATTGGAAGCTGCCAAGTCTATTATAGCTGCTACATCAGCTCTGGTTAGGGCCGCTTCTGCAGCGCAACGGGAACTCATTGATCAGGTATTGAAATTGATAATATCTTCTTCACTTGTACATTTTAACATTTGTTACAGATAGGAGGCAATATGTGAAGTTTAAAATCTTATAGGACTTTTCGGAATTTACGTATATTTAGTTGTCTTTAATTAAATAGTATGCTGCTCTATGCAGGAATTATGTATTTTTGGATTAACTTACGCTTATTCTAGTTATGAATTAAAACAAATGTGAAATTATTATATGCATTCACAATGCTATACTGAAAAATATTCATCATGGAAAATGCTTAAGATATAATAGAGAAGTCACCCGGATTGCGAAAGGTCATGGGTTCGAATCCCATTTCAGGGTGCCAGGGACCAAGTGGATTTTTTAAGCATTTATTATTAACAAATATTAAATTCCTACTATGCTCACTACTTTAAGAATGATAAAATTTTTTTGATACCGCAATCTGGCGACAAAAAGTTCCAGTAATACGTTTTCCAAGAGAAAATGTTTTGAACCCCTGAAATTTTACCTCGTTTATTCACTTTATAATGTGTACCTTTTAATGGTTAAGGGTAAAGTGGCCCGTCGTCCAGCGGCATCCTCCGACGACGGTCAGTGGTCTGAGGGTTTGGTATCTGCGGCGCGATTGGTGGCGGGCGCTGCTCACGCGCTGGTGGAGGCGGCCAATGCGCTGGTGCAGGGCGCTGCTACTGAGGAGCGGCTCATATCCAGCGCGAGGCAGGTGGCTGCCTCCACCGCACATCTATTGGTCGCGTGCAAGGTAACGTCTTACACAAGTAGTACACCACATAATCGGTCAGTTGCTCATGTCCATTAAGGTTTAATAACGGCGTTAAGCTCTAATAAATGTCAAAATTGTATGGGTAATGTCTCTTTAAACTAATGAATATTTTAATGGACGTTTGTGCAACTGGCTGAATATCATTTATTTATTTCTTAAAGTAGAAGAACCATTAACTTACATTAGTAAGTAATAAACATTTTTGATTCAATAACTGTTGAGTCACCTATGAAAATAAATAACTTACTTGCTCAGTTAAATATACATATAGATACAGTGCTCGACACGAAAGTAAACCAATGTGCCGTCCACTACGCAGATATAAACGGGGTAAATATAAAAAAACGTAAAACACTTGCATATTAATGAATATTATTTGTAACAATGACTAAATTCACTATAGTAACAAGTCACTTTATTTCTTGAGTGTACTTATCAATTTGTATTGAAAGTGTACGGGGATGAGAAACTTAACCATAGTACTAGGCCCTGTTGCTGTGCTTATGTTCTCACTCCGCACACTTCACCTCCTTCGTTACCCATTTTCGTTTACAGCGCAGAGTTTACTTTCGTGCCAGGTGCTGGCAAAATGGATCAAAATGGCCATAATAAATGTTTGCAAGCTTTGCAAAAACTTTAACTTTAGTTCAGTTTAGAAAACACAGGGTATTCGTACGGACAATGTTCTATCTTCCCCCTCGCATATACACTGATACCAATATCTGGAGCATCACTAGTTACAACTACATTTGTCTGGTTGATATTTCAAATATTATGTAATCATTAACGTGTTTTTCATGTTTAAAAAATTAAACAAGCAAAAATTCAATCAATCCCTAACTGTTATATAATGTTACATCAGGTAAAGGCGGATCCGTCATCAGAATCGACGATACGCTTGCAAGCGGCCGGCGCAGCTGTAATACGTTCCACTGACGGTTTAGTTAGAGCCGCCAGAGACGCGATACACTGCGAGGAGGAACGCAGTCTAGTGCTCAACCGTAGAATGGTCGGCGGTATAGCACAGGAGATCGATGCCAGGTATACCTTTGTCATTATTAACACTGATTTTTTTATTAAAATGAAACTACAATTAGCTATTTGACCGTTTCGAGATAAGCATTTTAAACCACTATCAGACTGATTTTTTTATTTGATTGATTTAAAATAAAGTAGAAAGAAACAATTTATTCATTAATTAATTTTTTGCGTTAAAACAATCAGTCACGTGACATTTCGAGTAGTGACGTCACATTTCAATAAACACGAGTATTGGTTGCATTCTCAACAAAGACGTTTAGCTTATTGAAATGTGCGGTCACACGTTGCTCCGTCATGGTCACAAATCACACGTTATAAATGACAAGTTAATTTTACGGAAATAAATTATAGTTATAATCTGTTTTACTACATGTTACTTTTATATGTAAGGTATAATTTCCAACATATTTCTTAATTTATTGTTATAACTGTCAATTAGCCAATTATATTATTAGAAGGGATAAAATAAATGATAATAAGAGGTCGATAGATCTCCCGGCCAAGTCGGTGTAGGAAATATTAAATATTCTCTTTTATTCAATATGTGATACACTTGCAGATCGGAGGTGCTGCGTATCGAAAAGGAACTGGAGGAAGCTAGAGGTCGTCTCACCGCCATTCGCCAGGCTAAATATAAACTGAGAGCGACTGATACGTCAGGAGATGATACCGATGTAGACATCACCCCTGGACCGCAACACAGGTGATTTATGTACTATTATATGATAGCCGTGCTCTCGACTTCCACCGCATGGAAAGTAGCCTAATTTACACCTAATTACATGAGTTATCTGGCCAGTGAAAGTTCCTTTAAAGTGGATCCAAAAAGAAAGCCTGAGCCTCTGCAGTGGGGACGTAAAAAGGTTGTTGATGATAGCACTGATTGAGGGTTGAAATGGAATACTAAAGAAAAACTATTGCTTTCAGATACAAAAGTCCTACCAGCAGTTTTGCAAACACAACATACTCGCCAAACAGTACCTACTCGCACACGAACAATCTCACACAGAACGTATCCAATCTTTCTCAAACCATACACGGCTCGCCCAACGCTTACAGTCCACAACCACCCTACAATCAGTCCCAAATTGGCTATAACCAGTCCCAAAACACCTACAACCAGTCCCAAAACAACTACAGCCAGTCGCAAAACAGCTACAACCAGACGCAAAGCACTTACAACCAATCTCAGAGCCACTACAACCAGTCTCAGACCCCAGCGAGTCAAAGTAACGGCTATCAATATCAGAGAGAAGAGAAATACACTGGTCAGAGTCCGACTTTTTCGAGTTTCCGACCGCAAGAAGACACGCCCAAGCAAAACTACGAGGGATTCACAACTCGGTGAGTTTTTTTCTATTATCTTTAAAAACACATGAGACACAGACAGATAAATCACTTTATAAATTAACACATAGGTATATGATTCAACAGAACAATGAAGTATATAAAAAAGTAAAAAACAACGGCTCGTCGGGTTATACAAATATGTGAATATTCTTCACTCGATTTTAAACTCTAATGCATTTAGGATATAGTAGTAGACCTTAACGGCCTATGTTATAATAGATAACGAAATTGTACTTCAATTTCTTTTATATTGATAATATTTATAGTAAATTCTATCGAGCTGGGTAGTACAAGACTGAGAAAATAAAAATGTGTGTAAACACCCTGCAATGTAACGCTCTGTTGTCTGCCTACCTTGTAATGTAATCGGCTAAAAGATTCTTCTGAAATATTGGAAACAATCATCACATCATTGTTCTGTTGGATATCCGATGTTTTAATGAATTAATGAAATTAAACTGTTGAACAAATACGTTATCAAATCTCCTTAAGGATCATTCAAAATATCATAATTAAAATTAGCTGGTTTATTTTTAAAGTTTGAATATGTATAAATATTCACTTCTCGTTTTATTTTACGTAAACATAAACGCCGTACTAATAAGAAACTTATAACCGTTCTTTAGTAGTTATATATAATTCTGTGCACGTCATTCTAATATACTTTCAGTTCATATAAAGAGGAACAACCACTGTAATACTACACAACTATTATACATTGCTTATTATTACGGGCGTTATTGCAAAAAATATGAAGAAGTATTAGTTACTTGCTGTTTAAGTTTGCGATTCTGTATTTAATATATCGATGGCAAAGAACCTCCTTATCGCTCGGACACTTTCGAAATGTATTATAATTGTATTCTTCTCAACTTTCCACAACTGACTTTTGTTGGAGTCCGTAAACTTAAATAGTAAAAATAAATACTAATTTCATTAAATACTTAATACATTTTTTATTCACCCAATAATTGTAATTATATTTAACTCTTAATGCTTTCTGTGACAAAACTTTTCTATTGTACAACGTTTTTATCTCCTTCTAATCTCTCTATCTTTCTCTTTTGCACGCTGCTGGACACAACAGATGATTTTAGACTTAATTTTTATATTTATGTATGTGCCTTCGTGTAACACTTATGATCTGTGCCTACGATACTTCTATATGAATTATTAAATAATTTATATTTACCACTAAGAGATAATTTTGAAACCAATTTTTCATATTAATGTTATTTATATGAGATCACAAAATACTTCAAGCAAGACGTTTTGGAACAAATAATATTATTTCTGGTGTGTCAATTAGGTGACATTAATTATATTGATGTTTCAAATAAATAATAATAAATTCAGTTAACTGTAGAATTCTATAAAAAATATGATGCCTTATTCCCAGGGAACTGAAGGTGGATCTATATTTGTTGTATTACGACGCTTAACACTAATTGCGTGTAAATTATTGTCATGTAACGGTGTGCGCGACGTCAAAATATCAATTATAGACCCACCATAAGTGATCGCGCATATTTTCTTTGATATGTAAAAGAGTGAATAATACCCATAATTGATTCCATAAAAAGCTTTGTTATGGATTTGTTATCCATAGTTGACCTTAAAAAAGAATCGCATTTACGATAAATTATTAGATACTGTATTTATTACTCATATTCCAAGTTCACTGAAACCACAACGCCCTGACGAGACAAAAATAAAAACACCGCGACTTATCTAAGGTAGACCATAGTCTATAATAAGAATGCTATTATCCACTCTTTACTTCGTCAAATATTATATAAATGCGATCTGATAGTTATCCCTGCTCGTTTCACACTAATGCCTTAATGTTTAAAAAACATAACTGATACCAAAACATTTTGAGACATGTAAATAATTTTGTAATTTACACTTTAGTGTTTAAGAGAACTTTGTAAAACAATTGCATGGCTTTTATATGTGTCAATTAATTACTGTTCCCCATAATCAACCCACAGTAATAGATAGGTCTACTAGGGTTAGACTATTTAGAACATAAGGGTTGCTTGGCAATTGAATATACAGATCTATATTTTACAGTCAATGAGTTAAATCTGTGCATATGTGATGGAAGATGAGTCGAGCGTCGCGGAATGTCAGGACTGACAAATACATGATATGACATTCAACCGTGTACTCAGATGAAAGATTCCTATCGCACTAACGAATACTTCCGTGAGACGCTATGACGGATTTTCCGCCATATTTGCACCGCCCTTAAAGCTATGTTTATCTAAGATAGCGAGGCAGTCGTATGTAACATCATAAAGTTTATCATCATAAAGGTCGTAAAGTTTACGACCTCTATAAAAAGGCAATGCTATCTTTTAAAAACTGTAGCATTATTGGGAACAGATCTAACTGTAATATTGCGATGTGATGGAAAATAAAGAACATATGTAATGAAAACAGATCGTATCGCGATAATATAGTTTTGAAAAGTACTTAATAAATATTTCACGATGCCTGGGAAATTATACAAAGTTCATGAATATCGATTTTCAACACCCTAATATTTCTTGAAATTTATAGACATAAGAGCCATCAACATTTTAATTTTATAAAGCTTCAATTCCGCACACTTGTGTTTTAATTTCTTTTTTCAATTCTACTTACTTTCAATCTGTTTATAAATACATATATCCGTAGTTGTCAGATACCACAGATAACGGACTCATAAGCGGAATTGGAGCTTAACAGATCGAATGCAGTCCTATGGAACTCGCCGTATAGTACTTTTAACATATAAGCGTTTTAGTCGCGCTACAATAGCTTGAGTAAAACACCAAGATGTGGTAGCGCTCTTATAATTGATAACAAGACACCGCAGACCGGTATCAGATTGTAATAACGCTTGAGCCTGTTTTATTTATAATAATATAGTTACTTATTCTAGAAAATTTCGTTTGCAGACAGAATACTGACAGAACGATGATCAATAATAATAAGTAAGTTAAGAGAGAGATAGCGCTTTAAGCTTATATTCCCATACTATGTAAAAAGCGGCCCGTCTGCGCGTTTTTGTTTTTCCTTTTCTAGCCAGAATTATCGTTCTGTACATATATTACGCTGTGACTTTGTTATTGTATTTATGTTTTTAATCAACCGTAAGATGTCTTAAAAATGATTAACCGGGAACTAAAGTTGACTAACTTATAATTCATACTTACCAAATTAATTTATTGATGGTTTTTAGGTAGTGCTACTTGAAACGATGTTTTAGTTTGAATATCCATTCCAAATAGTCAATGGCGTCGCAGCAGAAGGAGCAACTGCTGTAAATCATGTCAAATAGATTCACGAGATAATTTTTATTTTTGTTCAAGATAATATTAAACTCTTGTAGTCTTGAAGTTTGAATTCTTAAAATCCACACACATTTAGTATATTTTTCGCCAACATACACTACCTTTAAATCATCGTCTATAATTTTAATGTACTCTCGATTCTGCAAGTGTTTTATGAAGGCTAGATATTAAAATAGTGGAAATACTTGTAGCATAGAGATATTTCTAAATTATCTCGAATGACGATCCAATTCAAATAAATGTATTTATTCTTAAATTACTACTCTTCTTTGCGTCATTTTGATGCGTTATATTTTATATTGTGTCATCATCTCGAGATACCTTGTAGTTTTATTTTATAATTATAGTAAAGTTTTAACTATAACAATGCAAAAAAAAGTTGAATATCTTTTATTAACTCTAAAAAAATTAGTAACAGTTTAAAAACTAATTTACAATTTAACTAACTTTGTCAGCTCCCGCTTTAGCGTTACTTTAAAACCACTAATCTTAACGTTTTCTCTACGCTAACCTGCATGGGTTTAGAGCGAGCATGGAAGAAAGCGTAGTGGTGAGATCGTTGCAACTGCCGGAGGTGCGCACCGCTGTATTAGTGGACGACGGGGTTCAACGAGACTTGAGGGTCCAACAGGGGGAGATGAGGGTCCAACCTGTAGACAGGCGGGTCCAACTTGGAAACGACAGGGTCCTAGAGGAAAGAATAGTCTACAAGCGGGCGCCTCCGCCGCCGCCGCGACGTGTTTCGCTGCTTAAGTATGAGGAGGCTAGTTCGTGATGGGTTCGTTGCTTTGATTATCATGGGGGTAGGCCATTTGCACTGGTCAGATGCGGTCGTATGCTGTTCTAAATTAAAAATCTATTTTACCGATACAATTTAATAAAAATGTCATAAACAAAATTCTATAAAAGTGAGCATTATAAAAACAATATTTTCAAGTATAACACCTTAAAACTCATGTCCAATTTTGGATTAAAAATTTACTAATGCGTCTAGTGATGTGATATATCTTAAATTATGTAGCTTATTTTTTACTAATTTCATATCAGGAAATTAAATCTTAAAATAAAGTCAGGATAAAAATTGTGAGGCTGATTATTTTTAAAACTACTTTGATAACTTCTCCAATTCGATTCGGACTCAATGACAGTTTGCTAAATTTCGTTTCAACTATTACGTAAAAATATTCTTTTGTCATATGGTAAAAAAGTGCACATTAACCGTTACATTTAGATTTATCTCCACATTTAAGAGTCAATATACTATAAAAAAAAAACTTTGATTTGAATGCATTAATTTTTAAAGTAACGTCACAATTATCTCAAATTTTGACTGCTGTTATAACCTCAAAACATATTTAACAAATTACGAATCTCCCTGGCCTCCAAATATAAAGATGCTAAGATATTATTCTATTTTAAACAAAAACTAATTTTAATGTTCACTAATGGTGCGTAAACGTAACCTTTAAAAATACATGTGACAGGTCAATCACTATATGGAAAGTGGACATGGTTCTTTATTCTTATGTATACTTAAAATTCATTCTTAAATAATATTTTACTGAATGAACGCGAAACAGTCAGTAGTTTTAATAAGCTGAAAAGAACGTCGCATTTGCATGTCAAAATATCCTCATTCATTCATAAATAAATATTTAACTTGAATGATGTTAAAACATAAATGAGACTAGTAGCGAAAATTAATGAGTAGAATTAGAACTAGCTAACCGCACTGACAAGTCACCATCATCAACCATTTTGCAAATGATGCACAACAGATTTCAACTCGTACCATTCAGATGAGACCCCTTCGTTTTCTATTCTAGTAATTATTACCAGTTATCGGACGAAATGGAAGCTATTTTGGCACACAACTTTTAACGTATTTAATATGGATATGACTTCTGGATTGGGGATTTTATAATTATGTTCTTAAACTTAATTTGAAATTATTAGTTGGACTTCGTGTTATATTGAAAGAGAATGACATTGTTTTACTACAATATTGTTTTTAAATCTAATTATCCGAGGCATATCCATATAAAGATAACATCTATGTATTAAAAATAGCTCGATCTATTCCGATAGCCGATTGTAACTAATGGTGGCCTTCAATAAAATTTTCCTTTCCTCTTTCAGTAATAACTCTTAATGCATGGCATGGGTATTTGGCGTTAACTATAAGGCGGGTCACTCAAAAAATAAATCGAATAAAAATATTAATTCACTAAACGAGTAACATTTTCAGTTACGAGACACGACTGTACGACACTCCACGACCAGTGCACGAGTATAAGAAGGAAGAGCACAGGCAATATGAAACCAGTCATTATACCAAAGATCAAAAGTTCGGTTACGACGCACCCACAACATCGCCAATGAGCCCTAAGTTCAACGCGAGAGAGTTGAAATTCGATGATAAACCGGAGCCCATTTACTCGTCCCTCAAGAAGCCGACCACGCCTAAATCTCCGTTTGACGGCGTCGGCCAATCGTTCTCTGAACATCAAGTGTCCACCGAAGCTATACCGGGTGGTACCAAGCACTCGGAGTTCACAATGAAAAGCGAATCTTACCAGAGTTATCCTAAGACCGAATATTCAAAAATGGAGACCAGATCCGAAGTCAAATCTCCTTTCGTTACGTCGACTCCGGCTAAATTAGATCCGTTCCCTGATTACCCGAAAACTTCGACGGAATTGGTGAAAGCCGCGACGCCTGACTACGATAGGATATCTTCGCCTTACGGCAAAGATGTTCACAGTTACGGAGGACCGAATTACATGGAGGAAACCACCACGGAAGTCAAAGATATACCGAACGGTACACAGAAAATTACCACGACAAAGATATACAGTTCGTCACCAGTCAACATCACGAGTACGAATACAAAATACGAGCCAGTGAAACTGGAAGGCATCGACGAACTATCGAAATCATTCGACAACGAATCGAGATATAGCACTTTGGATTCACGCTTTAACACTTTAGAGTCCAAAATGAGTTCGGACACTAGCCGCTCCTTCATGCGACCGTCGGAGTTTCAGTCGTCGGACTATCAATCCACCACGAATGTCACAAGGATGAAAACGCCAGCGGATCTTAACAAAGAGATCGACAGTATCGATAAGAAATTTGGTAAACAGACCATCACGTCGGAAACAATAGAAAGGAAGTCTGTTATGACAAGTTCGCATAAGTCTGAAACTAGTTCGACGGTCACCAAGAAATTCGGAAACTTCTAAAAGGTACGGGCTTGTGTTGGCTTGATGTCTCAATATTAGCGTCAATTCAGTCACTTGCAACATTCTTATTTCAAATACAAAAGTAACTACGATAGAGCCAATCTGGAATAAGGCTGGTAATTGATAAAAGTGAGATGAAAATATTGACTACATATACATTGTTTCATTTCGTTTACTTGCTGACTTTTGCAATTCCTTGATAGCAATAGTAAACTATGAAGAAATAACAAGTTACTTTATTTATTAATGTCTGAATTGACGCTCGCTCGCGCGCCAATGCTTTGTAATCTCAACTTTGACAGCTTTCGAGTTATTGTATACTTGCATTTTCGTGCGTTTGTAAAATGTGTCTTATAGATATAAGATTAGCTTATATTATACAATGCACATAGGAGTTTTATATTATTTATAGTAGTAATAGTGTATTCTTGTGTCTGTACGAATAACCTCTGTGTAGTCTCGAAACTATGTATTAACAATTAACATAAATATTTCTTTTGATATTTTATTTTTCAATGGTTATATTGTACTGCGCACAAGAATAATTTTATAAATTAGGATAGAAGAAAATAACTATGATCTGCGGTGCTAAATAAGTTTTTTATTTACATAATTATATATTGAATAGAACACAGTGCTACCACAAGGCCTTATAGAGAATTTATGCACTGTTCTGATTTTGTTAAAATATTCTACTAAAGTTGTAATTTACGGGATATCAAAAGAACTCGTAGCCATGATTTTCCTATGGAATTCTTTTAACTACTTTGTAGTAGATATATTATTTCTTTTAAACAACTACTTTCAACCTTAATAGCTATTAAATGGTATGTCAATAAATGAGAGCACTATAGTGATATACATTTAATATGATGTTTGCTCCCTTCCTCAAGCTGTCTTACATTTTTAGTATTCATTTTTAACACTAATCAGGGCTCATTGTAATAAGAAAAACACATTCGGTCGCATTAAGAACCTTGTCCTATTTTGAAGTTTGTTTTATAAACCTCATGGCTTCATAGTTCTTGTGGCGAATTCCAAACTTAATTTTTCTTTCTCTCTTGATTTAATTGAAATAGCAGTGAAAATAAGTAATGAAACAAAAAATACGATTCTTATAGTTAGAAATATCACTCGCTGTCATAATTTAGTAAGTCAAGTTGGGAAAAATATTTTTTAGAATATTAATGATAAAAAAAGCCTTATTAAATACTTAACCCCGTGATTACATGGTAAACACACCACAAAAATTGAATTTCCGATTCGTACTACAAAAATTGTATTTCCGATTCGTACTACTTAATCCTGTACTATACACTTTTTAAGAAAAATCGAGTTTGGTATTCTCTAGTCCCTATAGATCACAAAGTGCTAACCCGTGCGGGGGACCTTACACTGGGGCCTTTTTTAAATATAAATTATATATACACAAATATATTTCTAAATTTTTTTATATTTTTAGTGTGTTGTAACAAAAAATTATAACTTACCGAAGGTGCCATTAATATGTTTTTATTTAACTTGTGCCTTCAACGCGACATTATTAAAGTCGTGTCTACTAATTAAAATCTCTACAACGTTACTACCATAGAGTTATATAAGAGATGGAGAAGCGAAGTCTTACGGTTATCTGTATGCCGAAAATGAAGATCGTCGTATTCTATTTGCCTCTCTTTGATAACTCATGCTATGCGCGTGCACAACTAGATAGAGTCAGATAGGATATCACGATCTTAATGTCTTTTACTAACCGTAGGATAACTAGAGGCCTGGCTTCCCTGCTCATTTATAAAACGTCTATGGTTGCGACGCGTAGAAAAATTTAGATCTTGCCAGATATGGTAAAGTACGAGGAGCGCTATTTTAAAACAATGTTTCGAATACCGAGTTTTAGATCTGCTCAAGTAGACCTCCTTGGATAAATAAGTGTTCGCAAGATCAATCATGTTTAAGATACATATAAATATCTTATATAATTCTGACATCAATCAAGGCGGTGAGTGATTTGATAAATACAGAATTAGTTTTTCATTGAATAATGCCAACAAAATGCGGCAATGATAAATAGTATAATTATTAAAATATTTATTATTATACACATGTATAAATAAATGTTTACTTGTTAAAATATAGAATAAGCTTGCATTTACATCAAGTGATATAACAATTATGTGCCATCTAAAGTAATTTATGAATCACGTTGTATATACAGTAACACAGTACGTCGGATAATCCAAAACTGTCAAATTTCTACAACGTTACAGCGTTGATACTAAAGTTCAAAATGGATTAATGGAAATTTGATACTTTTGTAATGCGACGCGTTACTCTGTGCACACAAGTTATTATTTATACTGACTATTATAACGTGTTTGGTGCAATTTCTTTGGACTAAAAATTTATTAACAATTAATATGTATTTTTAAATGTGTATTTTTCTCTAATTATACTAAGTATTAAAACACTAATGAGTGTACAAACACGTGAAATTGTTTTTATAACTCGGTATTCGTTGTCTCTGATAAAACATATTGACATTTTTTCTGTTCACATTATTTATTTTTAAAAATTTATCTGAGGCGACGAAGATATGGTATAACAATTAATTGTATACTTTATAATTATAACATTACGATATAGTTTTGGCCTAAAGTTTGAATGATAAAATAAATAAATGTATTCTTTTTTGTAGCTCTATTGTAACGGTGACTGCGACGCAAGTAGCGTGAAGGAAAGATGGTAAAAAATCAAATCAAAAAAATTTAATCCCAACACTAATAACAAATCTGTTATTGTAAAGTGCCTTATATTTTGCAGTTTTCAAATTGTATTCTTGTTTTTTTTCTTCAATTTTTTATTGTATAGTGTTGCCCGCGCAAGCGAAACGTCCACTGAAGGTAAATGAACACCAATTCTGATAGATTTAGATATTAAACGTAGATGTTGTATGTTCTCATATTAGTAGTTATAAATAAAACGTATAAATATTTAGTGAATAATGAAAGTATACAGCTATTTAATACACCGAACGTAAATTACAGACTAACCGAGATCTAGGAGAATGTGGAATTATTTATACGATTAATATAACAATACGGCTTTGTTTATAACTTTTATCAAGCCATTCTAACTGTAAGATGTCGTAATAAAATGTGATAATTCTCATGTTATATTATTCGTATGAAAATCTAAAGACAACTCCATAGACTCCAAATTTATTATATTGGCAACTATTTAAACGTACTTAAGTGTTGCTATAAAAAAAATAGTGTTGCAAAGTGTCTTAATGATAAAATTTATAGTGAACAATATATTCTTCTTTATAAGTAATGTAATAATGATAATGAATATTAATTAATATACATTATAACTTTGTGTAATTTTTGATAAATCTTACTCTGTAATGTAGTATTTAAGATTTGATTATCTTCTATTTATATCTATGTCAATATATGGAAACCAAATAAAAAATACTAATTGTTTTAGTGTACACGTAAATTTATTTGAATTATTTTTTTCTGTTTATTAGGTATGGATTTGTTAATGTGTTTTAAGATTTTATTAGCTCGATGCAACTAAATTTTAATTTTGGTAGTTTTCGGGGCATCTTACAATTTGTATGATTATATTTGTATGTAATAAATAAACATAACTAATATAACTCCACTTATTTTATTTATTGTATTTCTAGTGTTACTTTCGAACCCTTGTATGAAAGTAAACCTTTCAATATATATGGCGACGCAGCGACAGACCTAAATATTTGAATGTTTGTATCGAATGGGCTCCGGAACTTCTGGACCGATTTTAAAAATTGTTTCACATACGGGAAGCTACATAGACTTTATTTACGCCGGCGAAATCGTGGGAAAACAGATAGTTAAATATAAATGCAGTACTAAAAAAATCGACAATGTTTTTTGCCGTACAATTAAAATATGGAACAGTCCCTAGTCTACGTCTTTCCAATTATACAAACTCAGATCCTTCAAAAGAGATGAGAAAAGGCTCCTTAGCAAGCCGGCAAGAAAATGATATCTGCTGGGAGTAGTTTCGATTTCTGACAGCTGTTACATTCCGCGTATTCATTCAGTATGAATCCATATAGGGAAAACCTATGCCCAGCAGTGGAAAATAAATTGGAAATAAGCTGGTGATGAATGACTTAATGTACCTTTATAATGCTTGAAATAGCTTTAGAAAATGGTCAGCCAGCTGATGACCGGCATTTGTGACCAAAAAATTGAGCGTGTTCAGGCCGGCAAATGTATGGTCTTCACTCGTTCGATTGTCAGCTGTTGATTTATAAGAGGACTCAAATTATAGCCAAATAGCATAAAAAATTTGATGCTTAGGAGAATTTAAACGGCTATTAGAGTCTGTGCATATCTGACGGAAGATTCGTCACGTCACGGCGGTCGAGGAATGTCAGAACTGACAAATTATAATATACGACATTCGACCTTGCATATTAGACGGAAGTTCCATTGCGTACTAAGGGTACTAACACATAGGTACATCCTTCGGATTTGTACCGATTCTTTTAGTTGTCTAGGTGATATTGTGAATTTTCATGAGAGTGATTTATGAATTTAAAGGTTTCTGAGAGAGTCTGAGTTGCTCTGATTCGATAATAGGTGAGTAAACAAATTGCATCAAAATGCCATAAGGCGTTATGTAGGGGGAGTCCGGAAATTTGCCCAGATGGGAAAGTTGAACCACTTCTCAAAATTCAACGTAAATTGCACGCTAACAAAACATTAATACAGTCTTAGATCATGTACGGAAGACCAATAATACATGTGTTTATCGACATAATTATTTTTATCGTATTCGCTGATTATTCTAGTTTGAAGTATGTATTTTTTTAACAGTAATTAAATACCTTGTCTGCAATGAAAATTTTATGTCGAAGTGATGTATGCGGGAGAGTCGAATCACTGTTCTTGTTGAAGACATCAGTGGTTAATTATACCGTCTGTGGTGATGATTCTTCTGTCATAATACTAGCTTGCACTCAATTCAATATTATAAATAATAATAACACAACTGACCAGAAGGCAAATAAAATTTAGAACAGTTTTTATAATTCTTGAGGATAACGATAAGTATCAATTCCAAATAATAAGTATATGAAAGCAAAACTATGCAAAAGACTAATAGAAAGACGATACTGAAAAAATAAACAAAAACTACTAAAACCCGCGATACTGAGTTTCCTCAGACTTGATCATATGTCCCTTATAGTGGGGAGAGTTGATCCATTCCCCATTTTTCAAGTCGGCTTAGTAATTTACAGTATTAAAACATTGAAAAAGTAATGTTGCAAAAACAAGCCTATATAAATCATATGTGAATTAAATTTATAATTTAGTCTCTACAACAAATCTATAAGAAGATATGATAATTCAAGTAAAAAGAGGTTCATGATTCCGGACTTCCCCAATTTTTTATAAACATTGTCTGTGATGCCGTTTAGTACTAATTATTCACATTCACTTTTCGCCCGACAATTGAATAAGCGAATTATCAAGATTATAAAAAAATCTAAGTATTTCAGGATTTTATTGAAGAAACTCCATGCTTGTGCTAAAACATACGGTAAAAACCTACGGAAAATTTACCAAACCATGAGGGCGTTCCGGTCTATAAATCTTGTCTAAGATCTAAAAATCAGTGGCATAGCGTATCTTGGCGGGGCCCCTTATGTACGGTAAAGATTTTTCACATAAAAAAAATATTTGTTTAAACTATGCGAATTTTAATCGTATATACATCGATTATTATGGGATTCCCCCGTTAAGGTCATATGACTTAAACGTAGATATCCCGCAGCCCGCGAAAACCTTTGTAGGGTGTTGCCAACTTTAACGCACGCTTTACGCGGGAAAAAGAAAATTGTTTTTTTTTTTAACTTTTGCATTTCTGAAATAAAAAGAAATATGGGAAGTTTTTAATAATATTTGCTTACGCACACGGCATATACGGCGGTAGCTACGCCTCTGCTAAGTATTGCAGCATTTCTCGACATTTAAAAATACTACCATCAATATTAATGAATATATGTCATTCACCCTTCAATCGCTTTGAAAGACGGCAACTAAGATAAAAGATGAAAAATAAAACGAGTTCATATTTTGCATTGCGTGTAATAGCTTAATAAATATACAAAATTCTCAGTCTGCAAACTATACATACATTGCCAAATGCCTACTGACTTTATAACCGTGACAAGCTTTACAAATTGAACTCTGCTACATCCTCTCAGGTGATTTAAAACATGTAAACGAAATACGAAAACGAATAGACGTACTTATGCAAAACCATTTTGATAATGCTTCCACAAAGGCGATTTTGTCGCGATGTAGCACTTCTAATTTTATCTTTTTTTTATATTAGACAACCCAAGATAGGCAGGTACTTAATTTAGTAGCTTAAGTTATTATGGAAATATGTAACAATGATAGTAATACAATCACTGAGACACGAGAAAATATAGAAAATAACATTTTCTATATTGTCCTAAAAGGACCTTTCAGTCTGTTAAAGGTGAATCTACGGAAACATAAACTTCCTGTTTGATCACCACCAGCCCTTTTACGTCCCCACTGCAGGGGCTCAGGCCTTCCTTATGGATGGTTAAGGAGGATACATCAGTCATTTCATTATTATTCTGATATCGTAGCAGACTCTGATGTTGTCAATTTTATTTAAAATAGAAATCAAAATTAATTATATTTAAAGAACAATAAAGACAAGTTCAAGTTTCTGTAGAATCCACCCTACAGAAATCTTTATAGGAATTAAAGTAAACAATTGCCCACTTTTTGCTCGCATTTCTTAGCTCAGTTACAAAATAACGATTATTTTTGTATTTAATTTTATTTCATAAATAAGGGTTCGGTTTGGCATTATTACATCAGAACAGTGTTTCAAAAAATTCTAACATACCTAATAATCGGAAAAGTTCTAAAGAAAGTCAGAAATATAACAATATGCACGTTTTGGTACTAACGACACTTAGATAATTTTTGTACAAGCTGCTTTCAATAGAGCGATATGGTAAACAGCCTAAACGTGCGTAATTAGTCGGATCCACACTAAACGATTCAAGGCGCTCCGATCGCAAACGGTAGGGGACCACTCTAAATTAGCAGTATTGTGGACGTTGCCTTACACGATCCAAGGTGCCATATTTGAAATTAGAGCCGTGATTCATGTCCTAACCATGAGCTATTATAATAGTGCCTTATCCGTGAAGCGAACGGGACACCGCTATTGTTCCGTAGAACTAATCTAACCAACTTTATTCCGCTCGCTCCATGGATTAAATATTGCTAGAGGTGATGATACCCTCCTGAATCCATATGTATCTTTGGGTGTAAATGTGGTTATATTAACGCCAAAACAGAGAGGTTTTAAATACTATTCGAGGCATTGAGTACATTTGTATAATGATTCGAGGTTTAAAATAGTAACTTTTTAAAATGTTTCGCATTTTTCATATAAATTTCAATTGTAAACTAATAATCACTAGATTAAATTCTTATTAACCGATGACCAAACAAGAATTAGCTAAATGTATAGTAAATAATCAGATAAATGAAAAGAGTACATACCATTTAACAGGCAATTTCGAAGAAATATCTTCCGCTTTCTCTCCGATTTGCTTATGATTCTTTTCGTTTTCTATAGTATTTATTTGAATCTAATTTTAAATACATTTATTGTACACAAACACAACAACAGTCTGCATTCAATGATGAACGTGACGTAACAAAACGTAAAAATAATCTACAACCCTCTATACACACACACATACGCACCTACGTTTGTATAATCACTAATCACACGCAGGCCTATTGCCATCTTAAAGCTATAATTTTAACAGCCAAAATAATAAAATGGAATACTATATAGTTACAAGACTTAAAAAGTACGCAGCAGGACATCAGATAAATATCAAATTTCCGTAAGCTATTTTGCATTTAATTTTCAATACATTAAAGTTTAAATCGATCGGACTTGATATTCGATAATAACTTGACTTGTTGTTGGCAGTACTAGGATGGGTGACACCCGAGGAAGAGTTGATATTGTCTATATGGGGTGTAAGCCCGCAAAAGTCGGCTGTCACATAGAACGGGTGATATCCGGAGCGTATTTCTTGCCTAGTAACAATCTTACATTAGGTTTTAATCAAAATGCATATTGGAATCAATATTGAAAAAGCTTACATATCAAGGAATGCGCTTACAAAATAAACTAAGAATATAATGCTGTATTAGTGCGAGGTATGTGCAGTATAGAACTGGTTATAACCAGCTGTCCTTACGGAAATGAGTTCTTATTTATGTTACAGACACTTTACATTATCATTGAAAATTAATATGACGAGAAAACATAACATGTATCTCGTTTTAACAAAGAGGATTTTCATATTATTATGAATGCTCAAAATATAACTAGGCATAAGAAAATATTTCCACGAAAAATACAATTATCTTTTAACTAAAGCCATCATTAGTAAATTCGCTAAAAATATTGATAAGTCATAAATATAATGTGCACAATTTTCTGATATACGTGATTAGATTAATAGAAAAAATAAAGTTTTCAATTAACATTTAAAATACCTCTTTTTCTATGATAAAATTTATTTGGCCGTATAGAATGAATGCAAACATATTTTTTTTAATTCAGAAAAAACTTATCTTCATTCATATAGGACAAACCTTAAAAAAGTATTTATCCTCCTTTCCCCAATTTAGAAAGTTTTCTTTTTCAAATTAAAATGAGACTTAAATTTTGTCCAAAAGCTGTAGTGATGACTGCAGCTTTCAACCAGTGATTAGAATATAGACGTCAATATCTATAATTATAACTTATACAGCCAGTTGCACAAACGTTCATTTAAACAATCATTAGTTTAAAGCTACATTAGCCGTACAAAATTTCAAATTTAGAACATTCGTTAGATCTTTAAGTCGTCATTAAACATTAATGGACGTTTGTGCAACTGGCTGATTATCTGATAAAACGCCACCAAAATCATCAAGCATATTGAATTCCTATCGAGATTTAATACAACATTTCTCCTTTGCATATTCACAATTCGCTAATCTTTACGCTAAATATTTTTTATAAAAAAAGAAATATATGTCGTTGCGTACTTATTCCACACTCAATAAAATATAGCGCGAACAGGTTAATTAAGTAAGTACCTAAATTAAGGAAGGCAACTTGAATTAAAATTTATTGATTATACCAGATACGCTTCATAATATTAGTTAATCACTTCAAAAATGAACATCGTTACCATATTAGCAGCTCTAAATCATGTAACATCAAAACGTTTACACAAATAGATTCTATTGCCATGAAAATAACAATAAAAAATATAATCTACTTACATTATTAACTAACACACAAACATCTATTATTGTGCCACTTTTAATAACTACACATAATATTAAGATTTAAATATTCTGAACGTGAATTATAAAAAAATACTATATCGTTGGTTATTTGGTCGAAACAATCAAAGTTCATCCTACAACTACATTATGGGTATGTTCCGATATACACTGCGACCACTGAACAGTATGACGTCAATTTAGTATACTGGAAGCCCGTTCCTTTATAGCTAGTTATACTGGTGACTTTTTAAAACGGAACGCAGTCCAGTATACTGTTAATCCTATTTTTGGCGCCATTTTCAAATTTGTTAATGTAAGGTGAATATAAATATAAAGATTCCCTCTTTTCAAAAGAAAATATTATAAAATTGAAAATTGTATAAAAAAATTATTTATCAATCAAATCCATCTTATAATAAACGTAAGTATTTTATTTTATCTGTTTCGACTGATCACGTGGTCAAAAGCACTGCGAGCACTGCACCTCGAAATCTCCAGTGCTCACAGTACAAATATGGCGCCAATTCATGACGTCATAAATTTCCCTACGGTACTGTAGCAGTGTACTGGCAGTCCATAACGGAACGGATTTTTCAGCAGTAAGACCACTGCGCAGTGCTCGCAGTGTATATCGGAACATACCCTTTACTCGTAGTAATTAATTTATACTATATATCATGCTTTTTAGAATTGGTGCAAGTTTGATAGGAGATTCATCGTGTGTGCAATATTGGATATCATATACTATCCTTCATAAACACCCATAAGGAAGGCCTAAACCCCTACAGTGGTGACGATAAAGGGCTGATGATAATATGTCGGCCGCCGAACAGAAAGAAATTCGTACGTTGACCTTTATGCGTACTGATAGATATCGTAAACGTTTTAGTTTCACTTTACTGTGACAAAATTGGCTAGATGCATCTGTGCGAGCGCAATAGCAATATAGTTAGCACAGGAGTGTACGAGATATGTAACTCTTTCTTGCTGTTCGACCACAGCTGTTAATTAGGCCGTAATTATATTTGAAACCGATAAATTATAACCACAAACGTAACAATAAAATAAGATATGCTTTCCATAGTTATTGGACGTTATAAAATAATAGATCTTACCCTAATCTTTGTCTAAATATTTATCTAAGTAAATATAAGGTTGTTACAAAAATATATATACACTTTTTAGGTACAACGAGTGGAATAATGAACTGGCAAGCTTACTTAATTATGGCAACACTGAAATATAAACTTACATGTACACATATTAGCACATCAGGTTACCACTAAATGCCAAATAGCTTCAATCAATTTTTTACTTAAATTCTTAACAATTAGAGAGCTCTGTAGGAATGCCATTGCAGCAACTGATTTAGTGTCGCCAATTAAAATATTTTAAGGAATATAGTTGCAGCAACTGATTTAGTGCCGCCAATTAAAACATGCCTGAGCCTACCACATGTCGTCACATGCTTGGCGACGACGCCAGTTGTTGGCGACGCCACGACTATACATGTGTATAAATCACTACTATCTCACCTCATTCGGCAATTTCTACGATATAAATCAACACTAAGAAGGAAATCCTGTCTGACATATGCTTCATTGGTTATTTTTGTTGGAGTCTCCATTTGTGTTGGTTCACTTCTCATAGACGCCAAGGATGACAGAATCGCTGCTATGATATCTAATAAAATACTTTTCAATTATGGACTCTTTAGATATACACAGAAATTCTACCAATGTCCCGTAGGAGAGTATCTACAAAAGAAACTCCGTAAGAAAGATGCCACTCGTTAAATCCGTTTCGTTGCTTTGAATTAAGACTGTGAATTGAAATCTTAAGGTTGAAAATGGAATAAAGAAGTTTGACAGTTAAGGATAACCTGTTTGCTGTTGAATTTAAAAATGTACACATTCTAATGCAGATAATATATATTTAATATAGTCTGTTCCAAATTAAAGTTATCAATGTAAAATCAGATCTATTTTCCGAAAAGTAAGTTCTACAATCAAACCAACAATATATTTCAGATAATCGTTTTCTGCATAATATTAACAAAAAAATAACATTTGCAAGCATAGAGCTACTTACTATACGGACCTCGAGACATTAATCAAGTAGTGAGAGAGAGAGAGAGAAGATCACAGAAACATCTATCTCGCTGTACTTGCTTATGCGTAATCAGCGCGAGAAGGAATTATAGTAGAACCATTTGAAGATTTATTACAACTCTTTCCATGTATGCGTCAATAGAAAGAGATTTAGAGTTTATCGTGACCTTCCCTTCTTTATAAACGAGTTTCATTTCCACCTACAGCCAGCCACGTTTCATTCAACCTCTCTACCCTGGTAGCTAGATATTGGCAAGTTGTTATTAAATTTTAGAGACTAATAAGCGTTAATAAACTTATATTTTGATAAGTGTTGAACGGTAAATAGACAATTATTTTTTGTTTTACAGCGAAAAGGCAGAAAAATATTTTAAGTGTTTTTTTTCATACTTTTATCTATTTGGAACAGACCATATTTTTTATTAGAACATTTAAGTTTCAATTAGATGGCATTTTGTAGGGAAATGGATAGTTAGTTACTTTATTCTGCCACAAAAAAAAAATATAATTATATAACATATTATGTGCGGGATGAAATTTTCAAATAAAGTCCATTAAAGCAAATTGATAAATAAAAAATCCGCTACACGCTCCGCTCTTTAGAGAATCTGCAACGTTAGCGTTATACATGGTGGTTCGATAATAAGGAAAACATTTATAATACAGTTACTTTGAACGAGTCCTAAATTTTATTTTTATTTTTAAACAAACTAAAGCTTTTGTAAGTATTTACAAAATAGGATCTTAATGTGCGTTTTTTACTATCGAAATACTGGCCTGATTTTTAAATAGCACACGATTATATAAAAAAAAAAACAGTAAAATTAATACTAGCTGTTACAATTCTAACAAATAAACCAAGTAATTATTAAATTGTCTTACAGCGGCGACTTTATTATGTGCAGTCAACTTTCAAATTCTTATAATAGATATTGAAATTCGGCTGCGATTTAATGGTAACTTAATGCGCTAAATTCATATCCTTAAATATGTAACATACTTTTAATAGTTGGTGATTCTTAATATTCAGTCGTATTCAGAGATGCCAATTAAATAAATAATTAAATGTATCGCAATATAGAATCAATATTATATATATATTTGAGCCACACGACCACGAAGGACGGAAATTAGTCCTTACTGCCAACAAAATAAGGAACAGAATGTTTAAATTGTATTCATTTTTAGAGATGATTGCACATTATAAAGTCCTCTTCCTAGATAAGATTCAAAATGTGCCATTTGTATGAAAATATCTCCATGTACTTGACACCATGTTATTCACACAAATGACCTATAAATGTATGTGCCTTAACAAAATTATTTTACCATGTTGCCACTAGCAATACTTAAAATAATACTAAAGCATTCGAACAATTTCAATAATGGCTACATTTTATCATTAGACACCAATTACATTGGGCACGATTCTGTTACACATTCACTAAATTTAATTTTAAGCGCACGTTTCTTTCATTTCCTTTATAAGAGAAAAGGACAGCTTATTAGCTGACATTAAAACAGTAAATTTGAAACTTATAAGACAGCACTTAATATTAATTATAATGAGTGTTGCCAGAATGACCCCAGTTTATTTATATACACATTTTCTATTTTATACTAACTCAATATTCTATAGTTTTATAAACATATACATATAATACATACAAATTATCTGAAACTACTACTCTCTTACACTGTGCTTGAGATTAATAAAAATAAGTGCCTGGGGTATATTGCTTGAGACTCTAAGATATCATTATCACAGGGTATATTTTAATTTAATAAATATCCTCTAAGATACTTTAAACACACCAATTTTTCTCTTAAATTTAATGATAGAAAACACACTTTAAAATGCGACTACGCCAATCTGGCAGGTTTGTCCTTTAATATATATTTTTATTATAATTATTTTTTAAAATTACGGTTTCGCTTTTGTGCTTGTATATCCTTGTCTCATCATTATTTTTAATGTTCATGTCTCATTAACTTTTTGAAACAATTTACTTATTCTTTCAAATTAAATTATTTGGACTTGAGAGCATATTTTGCCATGATAATTATACCAGGTTCACATAAATATCAAATGCCTGTAATCGATTATGAACATAACGGAAAATACATTATGGTTCAAGATCGATTACTACAATAGATATATTTGGTTGAATTCGTGATCTTTTGACGGTATCTACATAATATGGGACCATAATATATAAATATTTTGATTCTACTCAACAGGCAACGTATTTTAAAGTGTATTTTGGTCGTTAATATTTCAAAACTAAAGTGTACATCTACAAATTGTTTAACATAGATTCGTGAAATAATATAAAGTACCAATTGTAAATAATAAGAGGTGATAGTTTTCTGTCCCGAATTAAATCTGACTTAATTCATAACATTTAATTCTTAATTTACATACATTATTGCGAATTGGAATGTTTCTAAGTAAAATCAACGAAACGTGACAATCCTTAATAATTTACAATAACACCAAACTTAGTTTGCGAAAATTTACCAATTCCTATAACGACCAAAAATTTGTATTCAGTCTTGTTTTAATAATCATAAGGTATAAAGTACAGAATTTCGTATCCGCGTCACCCACATAGTTTTTACGTAACTTTTGTCTGAACAATTTTAAGCCGTAATCTACTGATTTTAAAAGTTCAAAACTGATTGCTGAAGATAAACGAATGTGTTACTTTACTGTACTGTGTTATATATATTTTTATTATCACGTTTGGTGGATTTCACTTTATACATCGGGTAAATAAAATGTCTCCCAAACATTTAACTACAGTAATTATTGTACTTGATTTTTAAGTGCTCAATTAAACAAGAATTATCGCTTAGCGTCGTACTGTTTGACCATCTCTGGAATCGCGTTGGGTTCTACTGGAACCAGGCGTGATAGCTCTTCTAAGCTACGCACATAGCTCAACTTGCGAAAGAATTTTGAACTGTAAAGGCGAAATCAAATCATTTTGTATTTTTGGCGACGATATAAGAAGCGAATCCTTCATGGATATATATTAGTTTTTTATTTAAATAAATATAAAAATTCAAGGCAATATAGAAAAGTACATTTCTTACATTCAGCCGGGATTCGAACCCCATTATATTGCATGCATGAAACTGGTGTGCAAACCTTTTAAACACTGAACCAGAAGCGGACACTTATTCAGGTTCTCCCTTTCCTACGATTACGAAGTTCTAAGTGTAAAGGGGCAAATACAAAATTTTGGTCACCATCCTCATTATCGGCCTTTCTGAAAGATGTTTAACCTCAGCAATTGCAGAACGAATGAACAGTGACATTGAACCTTTACACGCACCAGACCAAACTATCAATATGCATTATATGTGTCTAATTATAAGTCGGTTATATAAGTGAACCATCACTATCCTTGTATATAGCTACAACAAATGCTTTTTAAATTTCATTAATTAATACCGGTAAGACAGAAACGAAAACAAACAAACTCCAAGCCAGAAATAGTAATAAAAAAACACAAAAGTTTAGACACTTACCTAACAAAAGGTTTGGTGAGTAGCACGAAAGACTTAAGCCAAAACGTGGGATGCACCAGGTACAAATGTTTCAGACTTTTTCGTAATCTAAAAGAATAAAAATAAAATTATCTTATTGAATACTACATCGCATAGATCGACATCGCTTTTTTAGTGAACAGATTGCACTAAAAAAGCGATTGCTCTAACCATGAGCTTTAGCTTGCTCTCCTTCGCGCAGTCAAACTTTCATAAAACTTTTTAAATTAATACATATTTATGCCAATTCCCACAAAAAAGCCATGTTTATTTATTTCAAATATAGTAGATGCGGACTTGATGCCTTTCAATAACTATTTAACAAACCGCGACTAGGAGAATGACCATTTGCGGGGATAATCTACGTAAGGATACTGAAATATCAAGCTTAAGAAAGCTCTTTCACATTTTTTGAGATGTTTTATAGCTGGTTTGCAAGTAATTAAGTAGATAAGTAGTATGTAAAATGCTAACTTAATTTGAATTGTCTTAAATATAAGTATGTCCTATGTTAGGTTAGTAGTTAAGTTCTTCTGTGTCAAGATTTTTAATTGATATGGTTTTGGTTTATGGTGAAATTAAAAAAACAAAACAGATATTTCATTCATTAATAAATAAATATGCCTTGCCATACATATTAATTGATATAATAATAAATATTATGCATAATAAAGAAGAAAATTACAATTAAGCAATCTAGAACAGACTCATCCCCACTGGCAGCACCCGTTCACGAGGATATAATATAATATTGTTTTTATTTTATAGACGAAATATATCTACAAAAGATATTTTCAATGTTTCCCGCGAAAACGCCACTTCTATCATGGCGTCGGTATAATTTCATGGCCTGCATAAGGTTCAATTCTCTAAGTTCTGATATGAGTAAGAGGGGTGTGACGTCATGCTCTGTTTGCGGTCACGTGCCAAGGGGTTGAAAAATATTTGTTTTTTCATAATTAATTAAAGTATTATTATAAATATTATCAACATAAAAGTGTGATTATCAGTAATAGTAAATTAAACACTACCAGAATAAAAATAAGTATTTATTTGCGTTTACTGACTACACACGTATTCAACATCATTAATGACGCCTTAAAGCTCTAATGAACCACGAATTTGTATGGGTAATGTCGCTTTTAACTAATGACAATTTCAATGGACGTATGTGCAACTGGCCTAGCTGAAAATCAGCGTCGATCTCTTTTTTGCTTTTAAGAAGTAAAAGAGATCGACATATGCTGAGCCAGACACCTTTTTGGTGCAATGGTGGTGCAATCGATTTAATACCTACTCAAATGTTATTATTTTCTATCATTTATGTTTTCTGTTAATTATAATTCTTTATTAATTGTATGTAAGTATTAATGAAACATATGTATGTGTACCAAATAAATTAATTTGATTTGAACTGGCGAATAGAGTATAACTTACCTGCGATCGATTAATTTGTAGCACTCGTGGAGCCAATGAAACGTAGGCAGACGTCGTGCGCCCGCGCTGCCGTGGAGATATATTAGCACATACTCATCCGTTACTAATCGCTCCAACGTCCATATAACATACCTAAAAGTGGACGTTTGTATATATTGTGTTCGTGTAAAAGTATATTCATGGACAAAGACATTAATCGGGCATTATGCACAATACCCATGAAGTATGAAAATTATACAACATGAGAGGGCAATGTGATATAAACTAAAGAAATCAAATCAAATTGATCGGGTATATTTATAATGCTCGTCATCTATCAGGCAGTACAAATAAAATTATGTCTTATTATAGTTACTTTTTTATTTATAATATCAACAACTTTAATATAATATACTGTTTATTACTATTTTTATAATATAAGCAACCCTTTTTTATAGATCACAGAGATCATGGCATACAAAAATAATTATGAGATATTATTGACACGGGCGTTTGTGCGAAGGAGTACCCCAGGCTTTAATATTAGGCCCACTGTTTTTTCTAAAACTTTTGCATGCTATTTATAGCGGAATGTGCCCGGACTCTTCTGTTAGCATCTTAATTGTACATTGTATTCCCAGCAAATGAATGTGCTTTAAATCAATTTTAATTAAGTAATTATATTGATTTTCTTTGCTTCAATAGCTTTAAAATTATTGATTAAAACTATCTATACAACTTGAAAATCATATATCATACTATCTTATTAACAATAATATTTTCATATAAATTACTCACAGGAACAGATTGTCCATAACGTATCTATAGTCAGGTCGGGCGGCGTCCGGCAGATGGCACGCACTAAACACTATCACAGCTGCCCCTCGAGCTTCATACCCGCCATGAGATAACACACGTTTGTACGGTTCTATCACCTAACACAAAGAGATTAATGACTAATCTAATCAGATACAGACACTACACAGTAATAGAGATGATGACAAAAAACCGGCCAAATGAGAGTCGGTCTCGCGCACGAATGGTTCTGCACCATTATCTTTGAAAAACCATAAATAGGCAAACACTTTATTTAAATATTAAATATTTATTCAGTTTTTTATTATTTGTTGTATAACGGCAACAGAAATACATCAAATGTATAAAATTCAACTGTCTAACTATCACCGCTCATGAGATACGGCTTGGCGACAAACGGATAGACAGTCAAACGGACGGACAGCGGAGTTTCAATAATAGGGTTTCAGTTTTTATTCTTTGGGTACGAACCCTTAAACAATATTTTTGTCGGGTAGTATATTAAAAGTTATAAAACACTTTCATTGTTTATTTTTCGCCTAATCAATAAATTACAGCGATGCATTTAGTTCAAATGTCATGACGTCACACCACAGTTGATTCTTTACTTAGTTGTAACGTTTAACTATTATACAAGTATTCCACGTGGTGACAACGGCCGGTGTGACCCGGTCGAAACGTCAGAAAATATAGGTAGGTGAAAAATCTAACTATCAATCTATAGCGTTAATACCTGTTTCATACAATCTAATAAATCTAATAATTATGCAACGCGAAAGTTTATAAATAGAATCCCTTTATTTATCCAGGCAATATCCATTAAACACTTAAAATTTGAGTTTTTAAAAATTTTTCTACATGTTTCGTATTAAAAAGCGAACCACAGACTCACTTTCTCCCTCTATCTTTAACTAGCTATCCCTCTTATCCTGTCTCTCTCCTCCTCCCTTTCTCTCTAATGTTATATTACCTTCATGTCGCAAACGGCGTGCCCCTGACCCCTTGGTACGCTGACCCAGCATCTTTCGTTGCTGAGCTCTTCTGCTGCTGAATATTCTGGTATAGGATCACTACATTCTGACACTGTGTTCGTAGATTGGGTTCTGAGGTAAAAAAAAAATATATCATTCAGGAGTTCAATTTTTTTAGTTTAAGCAAAATTCCACTTCAAAATTTAATACGCAGAGTGCAAACAAGATTTACCAATAGTTGATAAGCATTCGCTGGTGTGTTTAGATCTTTTAGATTAAAAGGCAGAATAGCATAGATTTCTTTTTTTTTAACCTTTAGGAGGAAGATTTAACAAATTAAACAAAGATTTAAGTTTATAATTCCATTTTAAAGTAAGATTGTAAAAGTAAGGGTTGGTTACTCCAACTTACTTTGACAATAATAAACATGTTAAAGTATCGCTTAAGCAAAAAATTATTTGTCATTTGGCAATGGTTAGATGACGTCATAACTATAAATATAAACAATATCCTCCTAAGTTTCGCTAGTTTAAGTTATTGTTTTGCTATGTCAAGAAAGAGGATGGTGCATCGCATTCCGTGGTCATTGTTAAAATCAGCGTGGCAGATCAAATTTTACATAAACATTAACTGCCATTATTCTGCAATCCGGCCACTTAAAAATTTTTCTTATGTGAAATACCCTACATAAGGGCCCCCAAACAAATTTTATACGGGGCCCAGCCAAGACACGCTACGTCAGTACATTAGTAACTTAAAAAAAAATGTATCATCATCAACCAGATTATGATATTCTCTACCAAAATATAATTTGATACCAACCTCTTACTTTCCTCGTCGTCGCTCGGCGGGACACCGGATTCCAATTCCGGAGGAGGAGGCTCTTCTTCGGACTCCATAGAACACGCACTCAAACTATCCAGGCTACATTTATCTTCTTCAGGCGGCTTGCGACAGAACGAGATAAGTGTTGATAAAATAACATGTTAAAATGGTGTATTATGTATCTAAGAATACGTATCTGAAAAGCTAACTCAATACTGCATTCAAGACCGAACTTTTTTTATTTACGCTGTCTAAATATATATGTCGCAGTAAGATAAGTATAAATATTTAAGCCTTAATGTAATTATTTCCCTGGTCATATAATTGTACCGTCACAAACGATTTATTACTATTTCTCCAGGAATATAATTTTAATGGTTCAAGTTGAGTGATATAGTTATTTCTCTAAACTTACTATTTGGTTAAGTGTGTGGGTGTAGTGCAGGAGTCTGGCGCGGCGTATTCTATAGTTTTATATATGTATATATCGCAGGATTATAATAAAGACAAGGTTTTAGAAAAGGTCCGTAGAATGATAAAATTATAGCGGAGGATATTTAAGTTTTTCTATATATGAACTAAACTAAATTTCCTATATGATTCACTACTGTAGTTCACCTGAAAGTTTAGTAATTTAAAACGATCATTACAATCTCAATCCAATAATATCGCTAATCATAGTTCTATTGAACAAAACCGATTCAGTTATAATATTTATGATATTCAACAAAAGCTTGTAATTATCAAAACACCTACATTTAATATACATTTATACTCTTACTAAATAACACAACAAACAAACAAACTTATAGCCGTTGTTTAGTTTACACGTGGTTGATTTCAATGTGACTTTAAGTTTGAGAGAAGACAAAACATTGTATAACTATACATATAAGTGAGGCCTTTATTGTAACCGAACCTTTAAAACAATGTGAGTTCTATAAATCTTTTTCCGCATACCCACGTACGATTTTCTAGCAAAAAACGTTAACCCATTTTTCCAGGCAACGACATAATCACCCATTGTGTTACAGAACAACTTACAAACTGCTATTCACACGGTCGTGTTTTATAAACTGTAAAACGCAATCCCAAAACTAAAAAGTACATCCAATCGATTTGAAAACTAAACGTGGTATTAATTAAGGCCCTCTCGTACCTCCGCTTAAGTTATAAACAATATATAAATACGCATCGAGAGTTAAGACGCGCTCACATGATTTCATACAATTTTAATCAAAGAAAAAAGACAAATGCAGTTATAATCTTTTTTATATACTTTAGATTATATAAAAACCATTTTATATATTTTTTTATATTCTTAAGATGAAATATATTATATGTAGAATCGAATAAAAATCCCGTTTAAAGTAAAGTCCCTTTTTTTTCTTCTATCGAACCAATTATTTAGATTTATGTTTGTTTTTATCAAGCAATCGATCATACGTTTAATACACGTATAAATGATTTTTATAAGGCAAACATTAGCATAGCCTTAGAAAAAAATTGATTTTAAAAGTGGTTATTTTGTACACCCTTGCCTTAAATTCAAAAGTAACTGCAGAAACTTTGACATCTTGTGGTGTGTTTAACATATTTTAATAATCAAGCTCTTATCAAATGAGGTTTGAACAGATTTTTCATTATAAGTACGTTTAATCTTTGGTTTTATGTAAATCGATTGTCAAACAAGATTTATGACTGGATTTTCAAATGTAACATACATATTCAATATCACTTATTCAGTCTAGGCTGTTATAAGCACTCTTTAATATAAAACCTTATAAGTCAAGTCTCATGTACAAAAAGCGTAGAATTCATTTTTCTTTCGGTTTTGATGTGGAGCACGAACAAAATTTCTAAATAGATACTTATTGTAGAGACAAAGTATACTCACTAGCTGTATCCTTCTGCGTGTTGTAGTAGCAGGACTTTTAGCTGGAGTATGCCGTAACGCTACACTACCAGTGTAGGGGTCCAGGAGCGCTTGGTAGGCTGAACGATCTTCTTGCGTGGACGACGATACCACATCAGGGGAATTTAAGTCCTGTTCAATTAATAAAAAAGCTTATTATATGTTTGTCATCATCGGCGTGTATTAATATTTCCACTTCTGAGGCAGAGGACGTCTTTATTGATGGAATCGAATATAGGTCATGATCCACAAAGCAGCCAGTGCGGATTAGTGGGCGTTAATGACAGCAGATGCAGACGGGACCAACGGCTTAACGTACTTCCGAAGTACGGAGGAGGAGGAGTAAATTTTTGTTACCCATCCTAACGTAACATGAAGTGCTGCTGTGTGTACAATAAGGAATAGATAATTACATATAATAATTATCTATAGTTTAAAGGATTATGTGAAGTTATTAAATAGCTGATATCAACCATATTATGTTATTAAGTGTAAACACCTGTTAGTAAACAAACAAAGAAATAATAAAAATGATAACAAAACCTACATTATGCCACATATTGCATGAAGAGAAAAAAATGGAAAAAGAAAAAAAGAATTTATGTATATGTCACCGGAAAACAAAAAAATACGAAAATTTAATAAAATCCCGTAAGATTCTAAACGAGACATATTGTATTATTTTACGCCCACATTTCCGCCAATTTTTTAGTTTGCGATGTATCGTGGTAAATTTATAAACTAAAGGATATCTCGTAAGCCTGAACAGTTCAACCAATCACAAAGCTTATAATTTTTATGCTTATTTGAAATAATATCTTGCTGTTGATTAGTCAATGTTGATTGTGGCAATGCTTGTGTCCAAAGACCTTCTTTATTGTTCAAAATAATAATTATGATTAAATTTGTAGAAGAAACGTTGTTTATGATGTTAACTATTATAGTAGAACTCGCCGATTGCTGGTATTTTTCAAATGACCCTGTATATACTTACATTGTGCATCCCTATACTGCTGGACATCTCTATAGGCAACTCGAAGTTCGGCATGGAGCGCAAATGCGACGGCGACTCGCACCATTCCGCCACCTGACAAAACACGTGGGTATATCATATACTGCCCGTACGAATAACACCTGAAGGCCTATTTAGTGTTTTTTTTTTGTTTAGAATTGGCTCACTATTGAGGTCATGCCTCAATCTAGCCTAAGGGTGTAGATGATGCGATCCACGGTGGGACGAGCTTGCCCAACAGGAACCTATTCACTCTTGAATTCATTAATAAAAACATATAAAATGTCAATAAGACAAGGAGATATTATAATGACGTACTATATTATCTCCTTGAACGAAAAGCGTCAGCACTCCAGCGTCACCACTTTTCTTATTCAATAGTGAAATATTTAGCCTTTTTCATTATTTTAATTAAATAAGTAATATAATATTAGATTTAAATTTTTAATAGGGGAGTTAAAGTGGACACTTCTACTCTCCACTGTGTTTAGTGCTTAAGGTTTATTAGATTTTGATGTAACAATATATTTTTATGCTAGTCAAGCATCTATCGATTGCACAACACTATGGATTACTCAAACATTCTATTACTTATGAGTATATATTGACATGAAAAACAACTAAGTGCTTAGCGTTTAATGTATTTTTTTTTAATACTTACACCACTATGGAACTCTTCAGATTCAGGAATATCAACATTACGGCTAGATTTAGGAGTAGATTGAGATTGACTAGTAAGCTTATTCCTCTCCATGAATTCCCTTATGGCACTATCCTCTTTTCCATTATTAACACGAGTTAGCCTCGGAGGTGTCATATCGATTTTTAAATCGTTAATACGCGACACGACAACCCTTCTTTCGGTCTTCTCGGAGAGTCTACTTAAGGACTGAGAGTCCAACTTGGATTCGGTCAAGATCTGACTTTCAGCGGTCACGAAATTCTCCGTGAAATAGAGATTATTTTTCGATGTGTTGCGTTGGGGGCTGTAAAAGCCGTTGGTTTCACTGTGTCTCTCATCTTCAATGCTGGACAAGCTGAAATCTTTATCATCCTCTATTTTGTGCAACTTTTTTGGTATCAGATCTGGATAGTTCTCTTCAGGACTACCTAGGCCCATTAAAGGATGGTTAGTAGTCAAAGTGAGGGTAGAACTGTGTCTAGGAGGACTGATGCCAAGATTCTTTGGCCTGTTCTCGACTGGATTTAGGTTTAAGTTGGACATTTTTAGGACTAAACTGTCGTTCCATTCTTGCTTGAGTTTAAGCACATTAGTTTTCACGTTGTGATTGGCTTCCGGCTCGGTTAGTCTCAGGACGTCGTTTTCAGGATTCTGCAGGCGTAAAACGTTTTGGTCTGGGTTGTCGTCGAAGTCGGACGATAGGACGGAGTTCGGTGTGTCCTGGGAGCGGAACGATTCTGAGCCGGTGTCCATCTTTTCGTCTGACGATGGAGAGAGAATTTCGTCGTCATTCAGTCTTGGTAACTTAAAACTGTATTGGAAATAAAAGAAGAGGTTAGATGTTTCATGATACCAGCACCCCAAATATCACCTACGATTCAAATTCGAATTCGACTGATATGATATGATTCCTTTTGAAAATTGTATTTATTATTGTTATAATACGTACTATTATGGTAATGATATGATTTATGTAATTCTTGTCAGCTAAAAGACGTCCCGAATTAGTGTTAGGGGAAAAAAAAATTTGTAAAATTTTATTTTGTGGAAGCGGCTTCTTCAAATTTTTAAAATTCTATCTAATAATCCCGGGTCCTATATAGAAATTTTGAGAAGGCAGATCTATTTGGTAATATGGCGTGGAAACGATGTCCATGTCCAACTATTTACCCATAAATTGTAACGGGAGTTAAATATAAAGTTTAAGTAAATATAATGAAAATAATAATGTAATCCCATACAATATATGGGTATGTAGAGTGTAAGAGAAGCGAGTATTAATAATAAAAAATAAAAAAAAATCTTAATGTAAAATGATAAAAGAGTCCACCAAACCCCAGGCACTCTAAGATGGGACTCGAACCCACGACTACTCTAACCACTGAGCTACCCAGAACCTAACAGGGACTGGTGAATTATTTAAGCATTTCAGAATATTTTTAAGTATAGCATTGTTAATGCAAAACAACTGAAATATAAAGAAGTATTAACAAAAAACGATACAAAAGTGCATTCCATAACAGCCAACACTACAACTTTAGGTAAACATGGATCTGATTAACCGATCACTATGTAATAGGTATATTGCGCTCGACTTTAACATTATTCAAAAGTGAAAGCATTATAACGCAGTGCCTATCGACACTTAGCCGATGCAAGGCTTTCATTTACCGCCATTTTTGATGAAAGAAAACACTTTCTTTTTTCTTCAATTAACCAAGCGTTCTACAGTTTAAATACTTTATGCACGCTATTTTAGGGCCTTCGGAGTATTAAAGTATCTATATTTAAAATATTTATTTAGGGTACCGTACCCAAAGATAGCCGACGATGTATTTATGTTGCCATTTCAACAACAAATATTAAAAACCAGAATAAAATAAATATTTAAAGGGGCTCCCATACAATAAAAAGTTATTTTTTTACTCGTTATTGAAGCTTACGTGCACGAGTACGGTTCGCACTTGACCGGTTTTAAAATATTAAATTTTTTAAATCTTAATGTCACACAGAGCTGTTATTATTCTTGCAAGAGCTTTTGGTGCACCTAAAATTCATAATACTTCTACTAGTATTTGATAACAGTTTTTTTGTTACACATAGTTCTTGACATTATTTCCATGTGACTTTTAGTAAACGTAAAAATGTATAAATAACCAACACTATTTATTACTAAGGTCGTGCAGTCGACTGTACATCCAAATAAAACAAAAGCTTACTATTGATGTCAATCTTTTTTCTATCAATAAAATGTTATGATAAAATTCCATATTTGAAATAAATGTTTTTCTGTTAATATTTAACCGACAGTAGAAGTATGTAACCGAGAGTTTATTAGCGTAGCTCTGTGACGTGGTGGATAAGCACCGCGACTTAGATCGTTGTTATCGTTGTTCGCAAGGGGCGGTCACGACGATGGTTGACCAAAAATTATTATATCAAGCTAGTCAGTGCTGCATAATTACTTATTTTAAATCATAACTCTTATATCATGTTACAAGTTACATTGTCCCAAGATAAATAATGTAGCCCCCCTGCATTCTTGGGAAATTCTTATCCTTAAGTGCAATATAGTGCCTTAATCAGTTGTGATACAGATCATTATGCTATGTTAAATGTTTGACACCACATCCCCTTATCTACAATGTAGATTAATCTCAATAACGCCAGCATTAGCTATCAAATAATAATTTTATGTCCATTGTTATAATGAAAAGGTCAGATGAAAAACAGTGAATCATGTTCTCTGGAATGGAGATAAGCACTTTTTACAAATACTATAATGATTTATAATTTTTTTAACAAAAGCATTAAAAAACGCTTTTAAACATCACATGATTAATGGGCTGCCCCTTAGACCCACTGATAACCAGCTAGAAATCAAACTATTTACAGCAATATTGACACAGTAATATACGTAATATAATAAAATTATAAATGCATTACAACATAGCGGAGTAGTATTTTTTTTTAAAGGCGATGTCATTGTGATGAGCATCTCATTATTCACATACAATACAGACTCAACTCTCTCATAATTAAGGTTGAAAAGTAAGAACAAACACTGTTAATTTTTCCATATATTTTCTTGTTCAGGAATATGTTTGGCCAGTATAAATATGTAATACTTTAATTTATATTTCTAAAATAACACATTATAAATATAAACATGTTTAAATAAACCTGTTTGTTGGTTAATTAAAATTCAATCTGACAATTATTTTATTTATTTAGTAATACAAGTGCACTTACATGCTGAAATAACTACACCAAAAGACTGGAAATTTAATTACCTATAAACCATCCCAAAACTATTGACACCTGTTTAATAGCCATAAAACAATTTACTGTAAAATTCTCACCAATATGAAACTTATAGGTGCTGTCATCTAATAAAGCCCACTGTTTTTGACTGGTGGAGTGAAAACTAATTAGAACATGATTTATTTATAGTTCTACACTAACTGTTCCGTAAGTACATAAGAATGTAATTTCAACCTAATTTACTTGATAAATTTACCTAATTTGCTCACTAGCAGTCATAAATAGTGGATCTTATAAGGTGTTAATAACTTATAATATTGTATATTATGTTTTAGTGTAAAAATTTGATAGTCCATAACATATTCCCTTCTTGTAAAACTTATAAATAAAAACTTAACATTGAGCATGTGTTGAAACACGGGTTCTATATTGAATATGTTTTAAATACAGCACCACACTTAAGGGATTAAAATGAGATGAGGAAAATGTGGCATAGGTATATCATATCACGGCATATTACTTATTTTTTTCACTTTAATTAAAGCTAGCTTTATCTAATGTTAAATATTAAGTGGACTTGATAAGCTTCTATTTGTTTATGTCATCATTCTACAATCATTACAGAACACTTTCATATAGTAAGTAGAAATAAACACAAACAATATGTGGGTATTTTATATGGGGATAAATTTTATAGTTTAACAGAATACAATAAAAGTAATAAGATATAGCCTCAAGACTCAATTGTATGCTTTAGCCCTAAAACACTTTTGAATAATTATTTTAACCATGACCTAAAGAATGTTCAAAAATGTCTGTAGTTTGAGGGTAAACAGAATTACTGAGCTTATTAATTATTCATAAGTCAATATTAAAGTTAAACCTAGTAAATATACTATAATTTTAAAAGTGTAATTTATATGAAATAATTTAACATTGAACTCCAAAATAGGATTTTAGAATAAATAATATTTGATAAACACTCCATGAATTATTGTATTTTCACACACAATCACACCAAAAATAAACGGTTGAGTACTCACCTCATAGCTAGCACCGTATTTAATACTAAATCATAATATTCTGTAATAATCAGTGTATTTATTTTTAGTGAAAATTTAAATAGTTTTCGATAAAACACCCTCTACTTTTTTTTATGTTCTTGACATGTCAAGTAACGTTTCGTTCGATCACTATGATTAATATTATTGTATTTATTGATGTGGTGGCGTTTCGTTTTTATTTTAACATATGATATTCGATAATTATTACATATCGATTAATTCAATTATATAATTCATTGGGAATTTGATTTCTTACATAAAATCATATTTTTTAGATGATACTTAGTAAAATTAAATATTTACACGTTTTTGTATTAAATTATTAAATTAGCTTTATATATTTTTGGCGTTTTAAATAAAATTAATAATTTGCTATTGAAGTACTATGCTTAGCACATATAAGTTAAATAACACGGTAAGAAAATCTTAAACAGCCATGAGCCAAAGAAAGTAATACGATAACAAGTTATCAACAACACCAATGGATTTCTTAGAATATACCTTTCAATCCGTAAACCTTAACAGCACCATGAACCAGTTATGAATTTCATAATCATTTGAGTGAGGTATTTTGTGTTGTGTTAAGTAACTGCGGAAAACCACACAATAAAATGAGTGAGTATTTTATGTTTAATTTAAAACATTTCATTTCAGTAATTACATATATAAATCAGTTAAACACTAATTAAAAAATAGTCAGATTTCATTTTTGTATATATAAATATTTTAAACGAATTTATTTTCTTTTATTGGATTTATCACTTGCATAAATATTTGCTGGTTCTTGTAACTGGAATATGTTCATTAATACCAAGTAAAAATTTTAATATTCATGTATCATAATTTAATTTAAATTATCCTATGTCTATAACACTTAGGTAAATAACTGAAATAAAGTGGAACGTGAACTGTTTGTTGACACAATGCGGATATCTGTGCGATTCACATAATATTTAACAGTTTTCATTCCCCACGGATATTACATTTCCTTGTTTGTTAAATAATCAACTTCTGAAAGTATAATTCTAGTTGAAAACCCATATATAAAGCAGACCAACTTGTGCATTCTAAAGAGGTGGTTTAGAAAAGGTGTAATTTAGCATTGAAAAAACTGTTGCAGATACTGTTGTGATGGTGAAAATGCAGCTAAGTGTACTAGTATTTTTTGTTTATCTAATAGTTCCAGCTATATTTGCTGAAGATGTGAGCTGTAAGTGAAATAAAAACAAAACTCATTGTTTTTGTAATATCATGCAGTTTATTGAAATTAAAAACAGTGCAAAACTATAATTACATTGTTATGAACCATTTACTGATTAATTTGAAATTTCTAAACTTCATTATTTTTTAAAACATAAATAAACGATTTCATTACTCGATAGACGTCACATGCCCTCTTACGAACATATATAAGATATCATTTTTACAAAAAGAAGTATTTAATTTCATTTAAGTTCGTACAATCAAATATCGTTCTTTAAATACTAGTTCATTTTTTCTCACTTTACAATAATATTTCAGATCAAGCCTGTGTTGATAAATATTCTAGAAAGGGGTACCAACCTTGGCAAGAATGGTCTGATCATTATACTTGTCATAGGTATAGGTGTGAGATAAGGGACGGAAAATATTTCATAGCTGCTGTTGGGTAAATAACTTTTGTAAATAAATAATATCAAGTATTTAAGTTAAGTAAACTTGATTTGAATAAGTAATTTTAATATTTTACTTTCTTCTTTATTATTACAGGTGTCGGAAACCTAAAATTCCTGAAAATGCGTTAGAATGCCACGAATATATTGAAGATGAAAACGTTGGTGCGTATCTTTTAAGTTATTATTTGTTCACACAATTCAAAAATCATGTTTATTATAATTAAATTTTCCAGAATTTCCAACATGCTGCGCTAGGCTAAGATGTGTGGTAGAGCTCAATGGTGAAAGGATTGTCCAGACTAGAGGTCAGCCTGGCGAATTGTTCCCTGATAAGTAAGTTATATTTCCCTTAGTAATAACCCTTTCATGAAATCAAAAAATGACATGAAATCAAAATTATATTCAAAATGAGACGTGTTATATTATAATGTACTTATTCGGACGTACGGTACATTATTCAATATTTTTATACTAAAATTCTTATATATAAAAAAATATTAATATTCATATCTATATTTTATATTATGCGTGAGACTAATAAATTGTGACTATTTAAGGCCTTGGAAGGGACAACAAAATGAGCCTAATCCTGCCGTAGTCGGTATGAGTGGCATCCCACAGACCCCAGTTGGCGGAGAACCTCAAGGTCAACCAGCTCCTGGCATCTTCAACAACCGTGGCGCAGGCAAGCAAGATCATTATTAGCTGCTGATTATCATGACAAAATTCCAATGACAATCAGAGCGGAATAATATCATATTAAATTTGGGTGTGAAGATAATTATCACTCAGCAGTTATAGACTTTTTCATTCAATGATATATTGATTTTATGAAATTTCTAAAAATAAAATTAGATACACCTATAAAACATATTTGTTAGTCATGTGAAATATTTATTTTGTCCACAAGTTATTAAGTATTTGTGGTTGAATATTTTGTTACAAAAATGATTTGATTGTTAAATATCATAAGACTTACCAGAGGGAGTCTCATAACGTCCATGTTTTATTAATAGCCAACGATATTCCCGACAGCGGATGGCAACGATATTAATGGAAGAAGATATGTAGACCCCTACCCAGCACAACAAATGCAAGATTCTCCTAGGAAGAAACGATCCACTATTTATCCTCTTTTTGACAGAGGATTATTAAAGGAATCTGGAAGAGAATACCAACATCACCAAGCTAAAATCATTGGGTATTCCCCAGAAAGATACACTTCTTATTTTTCTAACAGTGTGAAAGATCTTCAAACACCCAAAATACATTAGAGTGATTATTGAATGAAAATAATATTATTTTTTCGCAAAGTAAATCCAAGTATTTCAAATGATTATGAATAATATATACAGTGTTAACTCAACTTTTGATTTGTTATATGGTCATGTTTATTTAATGTGTTAAATGTTTTGTTGTGAATAATTTGTTATAAAATATATTGATGTTTTAAATCTTCGTTTTTTTTTGTGTCACCGATATCTTTTGACCAAAATGTATTTTTTGATCCGTCGCTTTGTGCGATTCAATTAGTGTTCAATTATTAATTCAATAGAGCATTACTATACAGTTAAAACGCGTCTCACTATAATTTATTTTTTGACAATCCATGACAATCAATTGTCATTCTCTTTCAGACAGACTGTTTTATGATAGGAAGAGATTTTTATTTATAATTTATTTAAATTAAAAAATAAAGACAGTTATACGTTACAAAGAATAAGTATATTATCTGTAATTGTACATGTGAATCATTCGATGCTTTATGAACAACTTTTTAATGTTTGCAGTCAGCTTGAGGCTAATCAGGCAGATTGTGTCGAAGTTGAGTTTCCTGTAGTAAAATTTATAGATCCAACAAAAGTACATTCTATCTGAAGTAATTACTGGGTTTGGCGGACAACAAGTGCTATAATGGTTGAACCAGAAAAGCCTTTTGCGTGCACCATACCAGATTGTGGTATGACATTTACTAATGAAGATCACCTAACAGTGCATACGAAGAAACACGACATGTATCTACAACTTGGATTGGAGCAAAAAGCGGCATTTGTTGGTAAATATTGCACTTAAAAAATTCATTCAATTACCTAAAGTTTGATTGTACCTACAGTTTTGCCACTTTATCATCATGAAAGCTTAATTCAAGGTTTATTTTATCAATTAAATTTGTAGAAATACCAGATTTCATGTTATTTATGACGCATTGCCAAATCAAAATAAAAGCATTTTATTTCTGAATTCAGATTTGAATGCTTTTTATTTAAGTATATAACTTAATACCAAACAGTCTTCAATCAACAATACAACTAGATTCCCAGTCAGAGACTAATAAATTGCCAATGAAATAACACCTCACTTCAAAGCAAGATCTTATTTTGATTTAATTTGTTTGCAAAGGCATCAACATTAGTATGTGTTACAATGCCACAGTGTGTATTTAAAATCTACAAAAATAATTATCTGAATAAATTTGTATCTGTTAAAGTAACATATTATAAATAAGTAAATGTCATTTTACAATGTCTACAATTAATAATCAAAGTTTTTACAATAAAATAACACAGTTTTGTTTTTGAGCTAACTGATGCATCAACCTGGACAACATTTGATCAAAAATGTATAAGACAGAGCATACATGTAAGGAGTGTTCTATATCAATTATTATTTGCTAAAATTTTGTACAAATGTAAAGACCAAGATGGACTTGATATGTAGAGGTAGTGATTAGTGTTCACAATAGGCAATTGGATAGCAATGAAATAAAAAATTTGATTATGTATTGTTAAAATTTTCTTAAAGTTTAAAGATTACTTGCCCAATGTTTTTGCTAAAAAACAATTATTAATATTTTTAAATCAATAAAACAAAACATTATTTTTCAATATTTGTAGTCTGCGTCTCTCGTCAAATGAAACACCAATTAGAGTGCATGTCGTAATTTGCGGATACATTGGTAGTAAATGTATCTAGGAAAAGCATGGGAAACATTCAAAGTGTAAAATAATTTTTATGATTTTAAACTGGTTACAAGGGTCAGTTTACTGTTATATATGAGTGAGTTTACATAAAAGTACTGCAGACAATGATTCATTTTTACATTGAAAATCCCTTTTGTTTACCCCCACAAATTACGTCACGTCCTCTAAGCCGCCGTTTACGCCGTTTTTTAAACAGTTAAATTTTAAACTTAGTTTTGGGAACATAATGTGTTTAATTTACATAAAATATATTTTCTTGTGGGAATAAGCGCCCATAGAAAGTTGTCCAATCCCCTGCTACAAAGCTGAATATGTCGGTTTGTATTGATTTGGGTGTTTTATACCTATATTTCTTTGAGTATCTATTTACAACTAAAGTATTGATATGTTTATATTGTTTTTTTCCAATAATGATAACTTCTTATAATAAGTTCTTTAGCTTTGGCTGTGAGTGGCTGTTTCTTCCGCCTCCATGCATCCTCTGCACTCTGCCAGATTGAAAAGGTGCCTTTTAAATTTGCCGCGACCAGTAATAGCACCCGTTACCAGGTGCAAATATGGTTTACTTAGCTGTAGAAGGGCTTTGGAGAGGCGAGCGTTCACTAGGTGTAGTGCAAGTTTGGCCTGTCTGGCGGTTTCCAAAGTGTGTTAGTACTGTTGATGTAGTTTACTCGATTCTCGTTCATGTATCCTACCAATTAACCAGCATACCGGAATAGGAATGATCGGTACGAGGCCCATGGTTGTTGCGTCTGATCCACGTGATCCACTGTGTCCTTTTATCTGTTGGATAGTAATTATATTGTGTGTCCTTACCATGTGTAGAACCTGGTGAGACTCCTGTAGAAGGTTCGGTGGAATAGAACTTCCTTTGAAAGTATGTAAGACTGATTTACTATTCGAGAAAATCCGGATTTCTGTTACCTTCCTTGTAGTTATCGCTCTCGCTGCCAGGGTGATCGCCATACATTTAGCCTGGAAGACTGTATTGTATGCGCTAAGGAGCAAGAACAGGCGTATGTTGAGGTCCTCAGAGAATACACCAACCCCTGTGCCTGATGAGGTTTTAGAGCCGTCCGTGAAGACTGTGACGGCCTTGTGTGTTACCTTTGGATCGTCATTGTCCATAAGATTGTATTGTATTTCTTGTCAAAGATGAAGGTGGATTCGATACTGTCACACATCGCCTCGACAAGCGGGGTGTTTATAATTTTTTAGTCACGACGATGTCTTGACCGCTTCCTTACTAATATGAATGTGGAGCGGTGTGATATTCAACATAACCTCCAGAGCTGCCGCGGGCGCCGTGCACATGCATCCCGTCAAGGCGCAGCATGCCTGCCGTTGAAAGCTTTGCAGTTTGTATTCGCAGGAGAACTGAGTAGTTCTTGGCTACCAAACAATGGCACCATAACTTACCATCGGTCGTATTACCGAGTTGTAGAGCCACAAGAACAAAAAAAATATGAACTTCAAACAGAAAATCTTTGCGGCTTAACAACAGATGGTGCGCCTGCAATGACAGGAACAAGAAATGGCTTTATGGCTTCAATGACTAATAGCATCACACATACAATCATACAGCATCACTGTATTATTCACTAAGAACAACTATGTGCAAAAGTTCTTTATCTGAAACACGTGATGGATAAACTCGTCTTAAAATCTTATAAGTGCAAGAGGGCTTCATTTGCGTTCGCTGGATCAGCAGAGCAGCCCCACTAAAACGATTCTACTTACTCCCTGCTCGACGATGTAAATATTTTTCTAGAAAACAAAGACCAAGATATTAGTTTCTTTACTGACGAGCAGTGGTTGGCTGATCTGACTTGTTGATATAACTCGTATCTTATCTTGAAACTGCAAGGGAAAAACTAACTATGTACACGGTTATACGAACACGTTCTAGTTTTCACAAAAAAGCTTGTGTTGTTGGAAAAGCAGCTGGATCAAAATCATTTTATTCATTGGTAGACCTTATCTCCAAGAAAGCAAGATTATTAGGATTTTGACTAGTACGAGTTGTACTAACAAAGATTAAGGAACGAGTTTAACGAGAGATTCGCAGACTACAAATCAGATAATCCCAGCATGAAAGTGTTTCAAAGTCCATTTGATGTTGAAATTGAAGGCGCGGCGTTGGATTTACAGCTGAAGTTAATAGAATTGCAAAGCAGCTCTCATTGTCTTTGTCTATAATTGTCTTCCAAACTGAATTGAATTTTACAAAAAGTATATTACTCCCAATGAATACCCGTACAAATTTCTTTATCTGTTTTTTCGAATGAAATTTAACAAATCATCTTTATCAGATAGCCATCTTACAGGCGCTTAGCTAATTCTAAAACTCCAGCTGGCATAGATGCGCTGTGCAAAAAAAAAAAAACACAATTAATTATAAAAAATATAACGTTAAATTTTTAATATTAAATTATAATGCCAATTAAAATAAAGTGCAAAGATAATAGATTTTATAATGAGAAAGTTTCTGATGTTGATATTATAATATTTGAAAATAATAAAAATGTAGGTCGAAACTAAAATAAATCTGAAAACAAAATTAAAATCCGGTAATAAATGACAAAGATTATTTAAAACTGCGTGTTTTCACACAGAATGTCTGGCTTACTACTCGCTTGTGACGTCACGGTACCGTACTCGAGATCGTCGCACTACAAATTAAATAGAAGTGCAAATACTTATTATTTTTTACTTATTGTGATTTCCGGCAAATTTAAGTTAAGTTTTATTTATATGTATTATATTTTAATAATAAGATGAAAAAGGCAATAATGTATATATTTTCTAACCAACAAATGGTAAAACTAAAAATATTAATGTGTATTAAACTGTTTAAACACCAATCAGTATAAAAAACAGGCAAGTGCGAGTCGGACTCGCGCACCGAGGGTTCCGTAGAATTATTACATTTTAATACCTTAGAACCTATCCAATAAATACTAACTTATAATACTTTGTAATTGTTGTTTTCTTAGTGGTTGTAAGAATAATAAATAGTAAATGTATTATATCTCAGAAAGTTTTCGTTGATAATGTTCATTGGGGTATATAGCATATTTTTACGTTGGTATTCCATTCCATTTTGATAATTCATTAATTTTGCCAGTTAGCGGTTTTTGTATTAACTGTTGACTTTTATAATGGCATATTAACATTGATCGATAGGGCCTGCGTGCATAGTGCGAGTGATTCCTACAGGCTCATTTCACTGGCCGATAAAATCTTTCAGTTTTATATACATATATATATATATATATTTCGTGTGGTATTCTATATATTATGTGGTATTCTGTTCCTTGGTTGTGAAGACGTTTGAAATGTCTTAAGTACGTACTTAATTTTAAATTCTCATTTCAGAAACCGGGTGTATGTATTTATTTTAACAGATGGTGCACTATTGAGTGTTGTTTTAGTTTGTGAGGCGCTACTTAGTTTTATTGTTGATCGAAGCAAACAGTACATAATATTTACATGTGTGCATTACATTATATAGGTACAAATTATACATACAAATTTATCAGTTACTTAAACAATACGGGTATATTTATAATATCGTTTAAATTAATTATGAAAAACCAAATATTTTATCACGTGATCGCAAACAGCGTGTGACGTCACGTCCCTCTTACTCATATCAGAACTTGGAGAATTCAACCTTATACATACATAGAAAGATACTCGTTTCAAAATGCAGTGAGTATGATCATAGCGACGCCATGACAGAAGTGGATTTTCACGGGAAATTTTGAAAATTAAATTTATTTTTAGTTTATAATCTACACCCCTATAATTTCACTTCTAAATTTCATAAATTAATATTTACAACAGCAACATAATAGATATATACTATAAAAAGCCATAGTTGTACAATCAATTTTGAATGAAAGATCTATTGGATTACTTTGTCAGCCAGTTGCACAAATGTCCATTAAAATTTTCATTACTTTAAAGCTACATTACCCATACAAATTTGACATTCGTTAGAGCTTAAAGACGTCATTAAACCTTAATGGACGTTTGTGCAACTGACCATGTATCTCACAGATGCGTTGCAGAAGTTGTGGAATGTCACAACTGACAAATATATATTAATTGAAATTCGACCTTGCTTGGTTGTCTTCAATTTATAGGGATTATATTACAAAAACATGCTGTAATAACATCTAATTCTGAATGTTTTATATCCTATTTAAAAAAAAAACCACATAAAAAAACATTATATTCACAATTCAATAAATTCCACCATATGATTGCGTATTCCAGCTGACCAGACTCCCACACCGACACGTTTTATAAGGAACTGCGAGGAGGTCGGCTTGTTCCAAGACCTGCAGAATGTGAACCCCTTCGAAGAAGGTTTCAAAAGGGCAATGGAGACATGCAAGTACTTAATTCATTGTTTTTCTCTGGTTATTAAGAGGCACACTTTAGTACCATTAATTTTACCTAGTCTATTCAATACAAACTAACAAGCAATCAAATCTTTCCAATTAATTTAATCGCTCTAGTATCGAGATATTTAAAGTATGCGCATTTGGTGATAAAATTAGTGCATTGTGGCTCTTAGATAAGATTAAACTTAAATAAGGATTTACGAGAATCAAAAATAATATTTTTTTTATATAAACAAAATTATAAGTATGTTTCGAAATCTTCGAATTATCGTTCAAGGACAATTAGAATAGGCCCTCAGGTGTCATGTTAATTCGTACGAGTTATTCTGTGTATTCTTTTTTATTCTCTCTCTCCCTCTACTTTTGTAAACTGTATTATACTGTATATCGTATTTTTCCAACAGGCATGGTCTTTTGCTGGAGAATGCTGTATCTACATCCACATCTGATGACCTCCATACTCCTCAAATGGTATTCCCAACACTTGACGCCGGAGATGCCACACTTTATACAAGCAACAATAAAAAAAATATCACAATAAGCAGGTGAGTTTCAACAAACAGATCAGCAGATTTTTTTCTTATCTCTTTTAGGTTTTTAGATTCTTTTCTCCATAAAGATAGAGCAGGGAAGCGAACGCAGACCTTCTGCTATCTCATGGTGGGAAAGAGGGAGATCGCTTTACCGTATTTATCTCTCTTTACTTGCGCATGTGTAGTTAGCGCGGAAACAGAGCATAGCAGAACGATTTGACGGATTCTTTATATCTGTAGTTTACTGTAGGTTCCATCGTTAATTTTAGATAGAGCTGAATGTCTCCTTTATTAAATAAGATACGCTGTTGCATAGTTTCAATAATTATACCTAATTATTATATTTTTATTAATTTTGCATTCACAATGCCATACTGAAAATTATTCTTAAAAAATCCATCTCAGGGTACCAGGGAGCAAGAGGATTTTTTAAGCATTTTGTATTAAGAATATTAATTATACCTGATTGATTAACATTTAAATAAGCATTGACTATTTCAATTTGTCTAATAAGAAGTCTACTTCCTGCAGATCATCGAGCGATGAATCAGGAACAATAAAAGAGTATGAAACGACTACCATATCTAAATTGACCAATCAGGTGACGACTATCAGTCGCATCGTTAACAAACTAGACACTGTTGAGAAATCAGAAGAATCACAGAAAGGCGACGATCACGTTAGACACAAAGACGTACATAATGAAAGATCTGTGTCATACACAAATAATATCATAAAGATACAAAACAACATAGAAATTAGGAAAGACAATCTTGTCAATGTCGAAACTACTAAAAGCATGCCTTCAAATAGAATTACATATGATACTATAACGAAAGAAACAAGTGGTGTACCAACGAAAGACGTCTTATTAACAGACAGTAACAAAACACACGAAAATAACAAATTGCCTCCGATTATGAGTCAGAAATCTTTAGATTTCGTCGTTGACAGTCTCACTTCGGAAATATGTCAGAATCATAATGGCAAACCTGTTGTTAAGATGAGAAATAGAAGAACGAACAAGATTTTACCTAAAGCAACACTGGCTACTAATGTTCCAATGATAGGCATGTCAAAAAATGATAGTGTTAAAAATGACGCAACTAAAGTTAAATTAGAAAGTAAATGTAACGATGATTACGAAGTTACAATCAAACTGCCGAACGGTAAACGGGTAAGAATGAAAGCGGTAGATGAATCAACGAGCTCTGATAAAGTAAAAAAAGAGAGTGACGCAAAAGAAAAATTGAAAAATGCAATAAACAATAAAGTGACACATAAGAATTTACAAAGACTGCATAGTATTACGGCGCCAATACAAAGCATAGTGCCTATAGCTGCTGGTACTTTAATACCTGTTACTATAATCAATCCCACCGCATTAGCTGTACCTAAAATACCTATACCGCCGTTTAATCCATTCGCCAAACCAAGTCAAGAGTTTAAGAAAACTGTTAAGAGAAAAATTGTTGGTAATAAAGTGACTGATAATGGTGAGAAGAATCCCGATGATGGTAAAATAGGCTCTAAAGATGATGATTGCGCATTTATTGAACAGCCACAGAAGAAGAGTAAAGAGAATATGGACAGCCGAGTGGCTGCTTCGAGACGATATAGGTATGTCTTATATTGTTTAGTTTTGTATCCAATTGAGTTTGCGATTTAGGCCGTCATTCTGGTGCCATCAATAATAATAATAATAAATCTTTATTTGCGAATAAATGTTTATAATGATAACCAAATTCAATTAACGTTTTAGCGGCTTTGAAATCAGCCATCTTGTTGAACGGTCTAAATGTCATAATGATTAGACTAGAAAACTAATTGAATGGCGCCATTAAATAAAACGGGTAGCCGCCCAATTGAACGACTGTTTAATGTTTAAACCAGTTGGCATATAGACGCCTTTATAAGGTACTACGGTTAGGAATTATTTTAATACTTTAAATTTCTTGGCAAGTTATTAAATTTAATGAGGAAGTATTCTAAAAAAAATATTTGTTCCCGAAATCAAACTAGATGTCGCTACGGTACGTTCTTGATTTCTTCATGACAACCCTTCCGGTTTTCTTTCATGTTTAAAAGTAAATTAGTTTATTAGTTTATTTATTAGTTTATTAGTTTTCAAAACTCAATAAACAACTCATATTGTATTTGTACTTTTTCGTATTTGTATTTATATCTAAGTTTCGAACTTTTCAAATTTTAGTTTTTTAATATGTTAGTTAAAAGGAACGGAAATGACTGTCTTTGGTCCATTCGTTTCATGCAAAAATCAACTTTAGCTAGAGTCGCCATCTAGTGGAGGTGCTTTTTAGTGCTTTCGTTTTCTTTTAAATACTCCCTCATTACTAAGTTCTATTCATATTCTGCTCCTGTAAAGATTTTTGAAATAGATTTTCATTAAGATGCGTAAATTAAACTTACTTTTTATGTAAATCACTTATAAAATCGATATATTTAAAAGTGATTGTGATATAAAAATCTTTCTCATACATTAAATGAAAAGGTATATTTTTTAGAGTTCGACTAAGAGAGACCATGAAGAGGCAAGTAAACGAAATAAAACAACTCAGGGAAGCGAACCAAAGACTGGCCACTGACAAAGCCGTGCTTCAGGTACTCATCACTGAGCACATGAAGACCTGCCCCAACGCCGACGATTTTAGTGAGCTCATTTTTTTTATACAGCGTGTTTGGTAATACCTGTATAATCTCGATTATGGCACATACGGTATGATGAACAGAACCCAGAAAAATGATCACTAAGTCTGAAACCCAGCACATGACCTAGATATTTAGCCTTTTTCTTCGAAGTAAAACTGTACACTGACAGCCCTAAAAACAGCTGTATTTGGTCATCGACTCCATGTGCCGAACTAGTTTAAAAAATAACAGAATTTAAATAAATCTAAAGATAAATGCCTAGAATAAATATGCATCCGAGAGTAATTTGTTATTTCAAAAACAAAGAAATAGTTAGTAGTAAATGACTTTTAACCATAAAAGAACACCAATCTTGTGATTAACGGTGTTTCACAAACTATTATTAAGAAAACTTCTCTAATAATACAGTCAAAAAAAGAAAAAGAAATTGCAAATACTTTGATTAAAGTTAGATATCTGCACTATTGCTCACATTAGTCTATGCAAGAAGGAGCGACAGAGACATAAAATCGACGACGATGTGTATTGAGAAACTCGGGTTTCTGATGTGCCAGTAAGGTTCTGTAGATTATACTATTTTCACGAAACAATAAAATACGGACTTATACAATGATATTAATAATCTAAATATCTCGCTTATTCTTAGTTTCAATGATAATTAAATAAAGGTTAGATGTAATGGAACGGTCTAATAATAAATAATATTTCTTTTCTTTTCTAATTTAATAAATACATAATTTTTTTTATTCCTTATAATTTTGTTAATGACTTGGTCTTAAATTAGGTACCCACTTTTAATATTATGGACTTTTTTTCTTTAGTAACCGTGAAAAGCGTAAATAAAATTGTAATAATAATTAAACAGCCTAATTATCAATTTCGTCAGTAAAAAAATAGTATAATAAGTTACCTTGAAAATTCATTGTTTACTTAAAAAAATAACGATTTTTTGTTAGGTAGGTTACCTAACACAGAATTTGATGACGCGGAACCCTAAATCGGTGCACTTTTGATTAGGTACATTGTTGTTCGAGTTGCAATAATTACCTATGTAATTTTGGTCATCGCTTCGGTCGCGTCCGAGACTTTCATCGGAATTTAAAAGGTCAACTTACGTTTTCGTTCTTTCGGGACTTTTGGTTTGTTTTTCATACTCGCTCTGTTTACCTGTGTGTTGTGTTTGTGTGCGGTCAGTGCAATGAGTTCGTACTAAAATGCCTAATATTACGAGTTGATAATGTGTGTTGGTGCTTGTGACGGTAATCTTGCTGCGGCTCGGCGGCGTTATGACGAGCGCCACGTGTCAGGAAGATCTGAAAACCCTCGACGTCTTCCTTCCAACCGGTGCTTCGCGGCACTTGTGAATCGGTTACATACAACTGGTTCATTCCATAGTGTGCCACAGGAAGGCCGGCCGTACACCTATTCCATCGAGACAGAGGATATGATTTTACGTCGACAGTAACACGGTCTGTGTCGAGTCGAATGGAGATGTGTGTTTTATGCGGTGGCCGGCATATCGAGACCCTGGACTGATAAAGTGGAGGTGAAGTGTAGGTAATGTTGACAAGTGAGAGCTGAAAGAGTGATTAGAACGCTGCCTCTAGGTATGGACCTGTTTAATCTTAAATTGTTTTAATTACAAGTAAATTCATACGCAGTCGAGTGCGCGCGTTGGTGACATCAAATTGTATTCTAGGAAACGAGAGAGAGTGAGAGGTAATGAGAGAGAGAGAGCGAGTACGCCGGAACGGCACGTGTATGCTTTCATGGTTGTAGCATATTAATTGAAAACAAATTGTTCAAATATTTGTATGAAAATCTCAATTTACGTGAAATTGTTTTTTGACATATTAATTGTGTTCTTTGTGCTAGGTTGTATGGCCATATTTCGGGATTATACATGTATTTCCAAACATCCTGTATAACCCGAAACTTCTATGTATACTAAACAAGTTAAGCGATTTTATTGATATGTATATAATTTCAATTACAGGATCTGTACAAGAGAAGCTTGCACAAACATCAGGGAATGTTTGAAAATTGGTAGCATACTTATCAGAGGTGTTGCCAGCCGATGGCAAATTGATTATTGAGAATGAGTTAAGTATGAATTGTAACTTTAAGTAAAACATGAAGCTTTTTACTTGTAGTACGAACCTTACATCTACTGCAATTGTATTAACAACAGTACAGAGTTCAACTTATAAAGTCAGTTCACTAGCTCATGACTACAATTAATAGAACTTGTAAATAAGTTATTAAATTTATTAGAAACTATGAATAAATATAATTTGGGAGTTTGAATGTACATCACTCTCCTTCAGCCGATAACGATAGCATAAAACAGACCGTAGTTGAATGTAGGAATAGAATTGGTAAGTTCATTCGAGTTTCGACGTATGGGAATGATCGATGATGCAAGTCAAGTTATAAAATTAGGAATTTGGTCGTTTTACATTAGGCAACTTTATAGAATCAGCTGCCCCTCCTGGCGATACTTATAGAAATATTGGCAATTTGATTAATATGGTCTTTATTACATTAGACTAATTTTCAACTTAACCACCGAGAGATTTAAAGGCAAAAATTGTTATTAACCTGATGTAGTAAACTAGTGTCAAAATTGCTTAAATTATTTTTTCTTTAAATAAAGATTAAAATCGAAATTCCAGAACCGTTGTATTCAATGGACATGAGATCAAGTCACTAAAAAGATTAAAGTTCTACTCGTGAATTAAGTTCCAAAATGATCACGTTCAGCAGAAAGAATCACGTTCGCTTTCCATACATTGATTGGTTGTTTCTTTTTTTTTAAAGGCGTGTCTAAATACCATTAGCGATAATTTAAATAAGTTTCCTAAAAAATAAAATAAGAACTAAACATTTCTATCTTTATATTTTTACACAAGAAATGAAAACAAGAAATAAAGATAAACTTGCCGTTCCAAGCTTCAGACTTCAAAAAACCAGAGGATCATTTCTGGGTAAATGTATTGCTATGTTCAATAAAGTTCCACAAAATGTAATTGACCTACCCATAAATAAATTTCAAATTCATGTAAAGAATATACTTATGAGTAAAGGCTATTATAAAGTTGATGATTACTTTAAGGATCGCAATGCATGGAATTAATAGCCTTCGCTTTGTTCTATAAAGACTAATTATATGTTCAACTTATGTCCTACAGACTTTGAAAGTTGTATTTACTATTGTAATAAATTGATAATACATATTATTTTGGTAATGACATGATTTATGTAAATGTCATTACTTATGATAAAAAGCTGATAAGTTTCTTTCGCTTGTTCTTCTTGTCAGCTAAAAGACGTCCTGAACAAGTGGTAGGGGAAAAAAGTTTTTTTGGACGATTCAAAGGTGCTTGTAATAGCCTACTTGAATAAAGATATTTTCATTTCATTTCATATATCTGGAGCAGAATTAGTAATTTCTAAATAATGTTTTGAGGTTATAGCAGCTGTCATAACTCGAAATAATTGTGAAGCTAGTTTAAAAATGAATAAAAATCAACGCTTTTTATAGTTTGACTCTTACATTTATTTCTCTTCTTTCTACAAGAGAAATAAATATAAATGTAACTGTCAATGTGCACTTTTTAACCATATGACGAAAGAATATTAAAAAAGTAGCACACCGTCATGTTAGGGTCCGAATCGCATCAGAGTAGTTTTATAGAACTTTTCAAAAAGAATTATCAGCCTCTCAATTTTTGTCTTGACCCTTAAAACTGAATTAATAATTATATATATAAAAACTATATCATTAATTATATGATATGAAATAAGTCAATTTTAAGCAACAATTTGAGAGTGACAAATCTCCACAATGTTACTTATTTTTTAGCTTATCACTAGACACGTCAGGAATTTTTTAGGTTTGATTGAACATGATTCTTCGTCCTTACGTTGTAACGTTGATGTGTGTACAATAGAGTAAATGTTTCTAAACCATTTTCAGAGTCCTAAAACCTGCAAACGCAACTAACTAAATATTTGAAAGATTATTTATCGATTAGATACTAGGTCATGTAAGGATTTTGCACGATTTAAATTTACAAAAGGGGGATATACGTAGATTTCTGAATATATTGAATTTCACACGTATTTCTAGTGTACATTTAACTTTTTAATTTTAAGGTTTACTTTCGAAAGCGAATTATAATTTTATTTAGGTTATAAAAAATGATCTCTTATAATATTATTTTCATATAAGTATTGATATATTATTTTAATATAATGAATATTGTTTTAAAATTGTAGTTAGGAATATATCATTGTTACAAATTATCGGGAGTTGCAAGAGATGTATGCTGTCCACTAGGACATAGAATCGCAGGTATATTTATAATAATGTATATACCTGCGATTCTCGTTTTTAAACATATTTTATTTTTATGTAGCAATAAATAAATAGCTTCGATGTTTTCTTTGTTATTAATGGAAATTTTAGCTACTATGATTTTGTTCATTTGCAGTTTTCGATAACTTTAAATTCCCGGATTCACGAGTCATATCTATATTAACATACACATTAAAGTTAATGATATTACATCTTCAAATAACTATATTCTTTAAGTTTTTTTTTTATAGTATACGTTTTAACGAATACCTACTTAGTAACTCATATATTGCCATAGTCCACACGTAGACGTACGATTTTTTGCAGTATTAAAATTAAGACGTATATTTGCTAACAAAAAAGAGCAGGGCAGTGTCATGTGTGTACACAGTTTTAGCACGAAAATTATCAAGTGAATCTTATATCAAAAAATTGTTATGATATTTGTGCCAGAACCATTAAGTTCATTAAGAGCCAATATGCACTGTCGACTGGTCAGCCGTGGCCCGTGACATTGATTTCCTACAATTTGGATTTTTATGCGTTTAGTTGTAGGTTTTGCGATTGGGCGACCGGCAATTTGATTTTCTTGTTTTTTTTTTCTTTTTTCTTGGTACAACTTCTTCAATGCCGTTTGTATGCCCAAATGTACAGTCAACTTTAGGTTCTGCAAATCTGCCAATTTTTTTCACTTGATTTTGAAACTTAATGCAATGAAAGTAGAGTTCAAAAAAAATGCGATAATTTGACATATTATGGTTTTTATAAAGACGATACGCAACTTGGTAGTTATCCATATTTGGTAGACGAGATATTTGGTTGCCAGCGACCAGTTAATATACGTATTGGCTCTAAATGCATTTGAAAAATCAAGTACAAAAATTAGAGATTTGTACTCGATTAGGAATTTAAGCCGAGTAAGAGTTTCTGTGACATTTAATAAATACTTTATAAATACTAATTATATTGATTATTTTACGCTATGGTGGATGAACCTCTGTGTATTTTTAACCTACTGCATTATTTTGACATGACAAACGACAAAAAATA